CGATGGAAATTCTGAGCATTAGGTGCAAGCGGGAACTCTGTGTGTGGGAATTCCTAACAAATGTGATATCTCCCACTGTAGAAAGGAGATCTTAAAATGAAGCATTCAAACTAGTACAGGGCCACCTTAGTTGCCAGCATCGCCAGTACATGAACCAATGGTCAAAATCGGTCACGTCGATATCCCAGGTGTCCCAGGGAGCAAAAAGACATGAGCACACAGTACAAATAGTAGTAAAAAAGCACAGTGTTCACGCCCGGAAAACGAGTAATGAAGCACGTCGACGAGATATGAGTTGAAATGAAGGCTGAAATGCCGAAATCTGAGATGCATCGTTGTCGGCGCATTATCGAGATCTAGAGGCAGTCGTCATGTAGTCTCGAGGTAATCCCGTTGCTATCAGTACTGGGATTCGTATATGTATGAACAACACCATTGAAATTGTGTTAAGCATTGTTGCAACTCCGTTTCAATCATAAGACAGCATCAACCTTACCACACTTTTGGCAGGCCATTGTTGGCAGTGATATCATCTCCCATTCAATCCACGGCATATCTTGCTCTTACCGCAATCCCCCAATAAAAACTGTAGGGCTTCTGAGTCGATTGTTCGAAATATGTACTATGGATTATCCACAGGACATGTTGATGGACTACAGATAACAGCATCCAAAACTGTTAAAATAAACAATAACAAATCACAATCAAAACGATATCACTACAAAACCACCACGGGGGCAGTGTTCTGCCACTTCACAAAATGAAAACATCCGCGTAATTTGTTAGACCTTGCGGTCACGATCGGTACTAATCACGAAACTAGTGTCAAGAGCGATGAGAATAGAAAGCAGCTGTTGAGTGCTAGGTTTTAAGGAGCGTTTTTCAACGTTTTTAAAGAGGTTCACTTTTTTCATTTATCAGAGGGGAATGGATCAGTTTGGAGAGCCTCCAAACTTTTACCAAAATGAAGGAAAACCCCTGCAGAATCTTACAAAAATGCTAGCAAGGTTAAAAAATGAAAAAGCCACACTTTTCCATTTATGAGAGGCGTCTGGATCAGTTTGGAGACGCTCCAAACTTTCACCAATTTGAAGCGAAGGGCCTGCAGAATCTTATAAAAATGCCAGCAAACCAAAAAAATTAAAAAACGGGCAAAAAACATAAACCCACAGTCTGGCGCGGGAATCTAGTCGCGCCAGAAGCTTAAACGCCGGGCGAGGGTGGTGGCTGGCCACTGCGCCACCCGCGACATGCTACAGGGCCCACGTCGTCAGAAGTCACTGCGTCCAATTCGGCGCGCCCTCGAATCACCAGGGGAGGAGAAGGGGAAGAGAGAGGAGCAGACGGCAGCGACATGCGAGCCAACCCGCACAGAGCTCGCGCCGCCGTGGGCTGGGTTCTCTGAAGAGCTGCCGCGGCTGTCGTCCTCCGCCGCCTCCCTCCCTCGCTTCTCGCTCCCCTGTGATTCGAGGGCGCGCCGCGGTGTCTGCGGCTGGAGCATGGCCACGCACCGCCCAGCGGCCCGCGGGCGTGCTCCCGTCTTTTCTGCTAAGTCGTTCCACCTGTTCGGCCGTCGTCTGGTCTGTCGTTCTGTCTGTTCCGTCGTCTTGTCTGTTCTGTCTGTTCGGTCGTTCTGTCTGTCCGGCCGTTCTGTCTGGCTGTTCGGTCTCTCTGTCTCTTCTGTCACTCTGTTTGCTCGGTCGTCTTGCCTGTTCTGTCGCTCTGTCTGTCCCGCTGGTCGTTCTGTCTGTTGCGCCGTTCTGATTGTTCGGCCGTCTTGCCTATTCTTCAGCCATTCCCGCGCGCCTGTTCGCTCGTCCTGCCTGTTCAGTCGTTCTGCCTGTTCAGCTTGTTCGGCCGTTCTGTCTGTTCAGGCGTCTTGTTTGTTCAGTCGTTCTGCCGCGCGGCTTGTCCATTCGCTCGGCCCGTTCAGCCGGTCTGCTTGTCCAGTGGTTTCGCCTGTTCTGACGCTCTGCCCGTTCAGTGGTCCCGCCTGTCCCGTCTTTTCGGTCATACAGTCGGCCGGGCCAGTCGTTTCGGCCGTGCAGTCTTTCCGCCTGTTCAGGCGCCGCGCCTGTGTGCAAACGCAGCAAAGTGACGACGCACCTGAGCACCGCGCCACAGCGATGCGGCGGCGGGGTGCACAGTTTTCCCGGAGGCTTGCGCGTTTTTGGTCTGTGCTCCTACTGTGGTCATTGGGGAAACACTTCCGAAAACTCCAGAGCGGTGAAGCCTTCTACGGTGGGCGCCGTCATCGGTTTCGCCCGCGTCGTTTATCGGTTTCGGCTTTTTCAGCCTTAGGCTAGGAAGCAAGCCCGCCAAAAAACGAGACACACGGCGAAGCCCCTCAGGTGCAGAATGGCCACAAAACAAAACACAAACGCGGGAAAAAAGGCCAAAAAAGCGAAGACAAAACGCAAGAAGCGCCCAGCCGCTTTGTAAGTCCCTCCGGCGGTTTCGGCCTGCCTAAAGTCTGTCTCTTAATAATTTCGAACTTCGTGCGGGCATCGGTTTCGAGTGGTGCGCCATCGGTTAAACCCGAAAGAAACTGCGCCGCAAAACCGCCCAGCGCACCCCCGCCGCGGCCACAAGCAGCCGCCCCCGAAACAAAGAGGGGAACCAGCCCAGAGACTTCGCCCAGCTTGAGAGACACAACGCGGCGCACGCCGGCCGCAGCGACCGCGGCGCGCCCTCGGATCACCGGGGGAGGAGAAAGGGAAGAGAGAGGAGCAGACGGCAGCGACATGCGAGCCAACCCGCGCGGAGCTCGCACCGCCGTGGGCTGGGTTCTCCGAAGAGCTGCCGCGGCTGTCGTCCTCCTCCGGCTCCCTTCTTCGCTTCTCGCTCCCCGGTGGTTCGAGGGCGCGCCGCGGTGGCTGCGGCTGAAGCGTGGCCACGCACAGCCCAACGGCCCGAGGGCGTTCCCCCGTCGTTTCTGTTGAGTCGTTCTACCTGTTCGGCCGTCGTCTTGTCTTGTCTGTCGTTCTGTCGTCTTGTCTGCTCTGTCGTCTTGTCTGTCCCGTCGTTCTGTCTGCTCCGTCGTTCTGTTTGTTCGTGCGTCCGTTCTGTCTGGGGGTTCGGTCTCTCTGTCTGTTCTGTCATTCTGCTCGCCCGGTCGTCTTGTCTGTGCTGTCGCTCTGTCTGTTCCCTCGTCCTGTCTGTTCTGTTGCGCCGTTCTGCTTGTTCGGCTGTTCTGTCTGTTCAGTTGTTCGAGCCTGCCTGCCCGTCCGTTCTGTCTGTTCGGTCGTTCTGCCTGTTCAGTCGTTCTCCTTGTTCGGGCGTCCTCTTCTGTCTGCTCAGTCGTTCTGCCTACCAGGTCTCTCGGCCTCGCCTGTCCATTCGTTCGGCCCGTTCAGTCGGTCTGCCTGCCCCGTGGTTCTGCTTGTTCCGACGTCCTGCCCGTTCTTTCAGTCGTTCCGCCTGTCTTGTCTCTTCGGTCATACATTCGGCCGGGCCAGAGGTCTCGGCCGTTCAGTCTTTCCGCCTGTTAAGCCGCCGCATCGATGTGCAAACGGAGCAAAGTGGCGACGCACTGGAGCACCGCGACAGAGCGACGCGGTGGCGGGGTGCATAGTACTCCCAAAGGCTTGCGCTTTTGGTCTGTGCTCCTACCGTGGTGGGTGGGGAAACACCTCCAAAAAGTCCAAGGCGGTGAGGGCTTTTCGGGTGCCGTTATCGGTTTCGCCTGGGTCTCCTATCGGTCTCGGCTTTTGAACAGATAGGGCCAGGAAGCAAACCCGCCAAAAAACGAGCCACGCGGCGAAGCCTCTCAGCTGGGGAATGGTCGCTAAACAGAACACAAACGCGGGAAAAAAGGCCAAAAAGTAAGGGCAAAACGCGAAAAGCCTCCGGCCGCTTTGCGACTCCCTTAGCGGTTTCGGCTTGCCTGAATTCTGTCCCTTAACAGTTTCGAACTCCGTGCGGGTATCGGTTTCGGGTGGTGGTCAGAAGCTCGCCCGGGCCCAACTTAGTCAGCAATTGGAAGACAATGCGGCCAGCAGTGGCTCGCAGAAGTTTACCTCTCGCGCGCTCTCTTATTGAAATTAAACTTTTCCGGGGCTCTTGGGATCGGCAAAAGAAACCAGAGGCGAAAGCGATACGAAACAAACAGGAAACACAGAAGAAAACGGAGGGCCTTGGCAGAAGGTGCGACCGAATTACGGGGCAGAAAAAGAAAAACTAGATGCCAAGAAAATGAAAAACGCAGAAGAGCGACGTTGCCTCTCAGCAGTTTCGCTTAAAAGTTTTGCGGAGAGTTGAAACCGATAGCCTGGAAATCGGTCGGCTGAGCTGCCTTGTAGTTGTACTTGAATCCATGTAGTGACGCCGTCGGGCTGTTTGCTTTTCTTGCTCTTCAAATATTTTGGGGGAAAATGCTCCGACCTGCTACCCCTGGCTCACCCTTGGAGTGCTGGTGCTTTGGGTCGCGGTTAAGGGTCATTGGGAAGCCAGGGCGGCGCCTGGTGTTCACCTGTTCCGCGGACGCTGCTGAAGCTCCATCAGATTCCGCCGGAAATCAGCAGCGCCCGCGCCCCTCCTTCAGGGCCCGGCGGGAATCCTTGCGGGCAGCGTCGCCAACGGTGGCGGCCTGGGGGGAAGCTGGTGTAGCTTTGGTCTCCCATTCGGATCCCAGTCGAGACCGCGCCCAAGGCTCCACCGCCTGGGCCCTCCTCTGGCCAAGGTGGGCAGGAAGCTGCTTCGGATCCCGCCTCAGCGCCACTAGGTCACCACCCGCAGCAAGATGGCGAGGCAATTCCTAGGGGTCTTTTCGAAAAACCACGAGAGCCCGCGGCCCCGGCTTCGGGCCGGATGCTCCAGGCCCGGAAGCCGGCCTGCGATGGGTCGCAGACCTGCGCGGCGCGGCGCTGCCGCGCTTCTCCAAAAGGCGTGGCGGCTATTTGCAAGCTTTTGGCCTGTGCCTTCAGTAAACAGGGAGGGGCGCCGGCCTTGAAGCAAGGGGCCACGGCCCCGCACACAAGGGCCCGGCTCTTGGCCGGGCGCTCCATGCCTGGCAGCCGGTCCGCAGTGGGTCGATGGCTTTCGCGGACCAGCAAAGAAGAGCCGGCCGCTGGCAAGTTTCTGGCCTAAAACTCTAGAAGGAGACCGGGAAAAAGGCCGGCCAGGGGGGAACGGGCAACGGGCTCGGACGCCGGGGCCCGGTTTCCGGCCTGGTGCTCCAAGCCTGCTAACCGGTCGCCGGCCTTCCCCTCTTGTGCTTAGATGTGCGGCCTCCCGGTACTTACTCACGAGCAAAAGAGGCCGGCCTCCGTTCCCGTGGGCCGCGGTAGAGGGCGGGGCCCCCCCTTTCGTTACCCCCCTCCGGATGGTGAGATCCCGCTGGCACTAGGTCGAAAACCGGTGCGACCCGCTGCGCCCCCGTGATCCCTCTCGCGATGAGTCGACGAGCCCGCGGCGGCCCTCGTAAGGGAGCGGGCGCCTGTCCACAAGGGGGCAGCAGCGGTGGCGCCTTCATCGGATACGGCGCGCGGATGCCATCGATGGGCCTGGCCCACTCTTCTAAACCCAGGGGAGGAAAGGGCGATGCCTTTGCCCATCGAGGAGCAGCTGCCCCCCCGGGGCCGAAGGAGATCCGCATGGCCGCCAGCTGTAGCGATTTCCTGTAAACATCACGAGGCCCCGCTGCCGAGAAAGAAGGTCCGGGAATCGGGTTGCCCCCGCCGTTTCCTGTTAGTTTTCTCCGGGGCGAGTCGGGTCCACCGGTCGAAGCCGAAGAAGATCCGCGGCGCCGCTGGCCCCCAGAGACGCTGACGAAGCGCCACGCGGCCTCGTCACCGAAAAAGAGGGCCCGTACACCTGGAGGTCCCCGGGGTTTCTCGTGGTTTTCTCCTGGATGGGTCGGGCCCATCGGTCGAAGCCGGAGAAGATCCGCAGAGCCGCTGGCCCTGGCACCCGAGACTCCCCTGAAACACCGCTGGGCCCCGTTGCCAAGAGGGCAGGCCCGGAGATATGGAGGCCCCAGGAATCCTACCGCCCCTGCTTCTCTTCCTTCTGCTTCAAGCTTGCGGCATTCTAAAAGCCGAGAGCCTCCAGCGGTGCTGTCCGGCCCCTCACTCTCCTTACACTAGAATCCAACCAAAAGCAAGAAACGAGGTAACAAAAAGTGGCCGAAAGAGTGCGCTGAGTGCGTTTGAGGTTCTGGTGGCCTTTTCATTTTAGAAATGGGCAGACCACACTAGGCTCCAGGGGTACAATTTGAGAAACGGAGATGGCGCTAGACTGCCCGCAGCGTCGTAGGATCCGTCCCCTCGACCTTGAGGGCGGCCGGTGTCCATTTTCGCACCTCGCGCGCCATTCCCTCGAAAAGGGGCGCCAGGCCCGTCGACCGGCGACCGGCGAAGACGGCTCCGCGCGACTGGTTCCTCTCGCATTGCACTTGCAGGCTGCGCTGACCCCCTTCTTCCAAACCCGGCGCAGGCTGTGTCGCGAGGGGCTTCGACGCACGGGCGCCTGGACCCGCTAGCCGCACTACTCCCAGGCACCTACCACCCCAGGACGCGCGGAGAAGCGAGTCGCCTGGCCAAGGAAAAAGGGCCGCCGGCAGGGCGGTTCGGGGCGAAAGTCGCTGCGGGGCGCACACTTTCTGCTTGCCGATGCAGTCGCGGCGGGTCGCAAGCGTGGAGGAGATGGCGCAGCGCGCTCCCTCCTACCGGGGGGCGGCTCCGCAGGGCAACCTGGCTGAGCCTGAGTCCACGCGCGCTGCCCGTTGACGCATATTCGGGACCGATTTGATAATCTAATGAGGCTCGCAGCTGAGCACCTTCAACTCATAGCAACAGCTGGGATCCAATTTTGAATATCTTCCCTTAGTCACGATTCACTTCAGTGGCGGCAGAGGCTGGCTACCGTAATCCGACCTGTTTGCCCACAGTCGCCTTGAGGTAACAGTTTCTATACATAGCTATACCAGCCCCTGAGAACATACAAAGATCATGTCGCTGGCGCTTGTTCCGGGTGTCTCCCGTGCGCCTTTTGCAGCTGCTTTTCCGCAGTCCCCTTCGGGGCTCCGGCCAAGCCCTGTTCGCGTTCTCCCCGTGCCTGGCACCGAAGCCGGGCGGGCGAGCGCGACGCCCGACCGACGAAGAAGAAACACAAGGGATCGACTTCCGTATGGCATCACTGGTTGAGAACTACAGGAGCGGATAAATATGTGGGTCGCAGCAGCACCTATTGTATAAATGCGTGTGTTGTGGTGCGAAAGTAGTTGTAGACACTCTCTCTCTCTTTGGTGTCTAAGAATCTCTCTCGCAGCTGCGCCGGACTTTCTGTTGCCCATAGCCTCTCTTTCTCTCTGCGGTGTTCTCAATCAGTAGAAGCACTCAAGAGAAGGCAGAGCAAAGCATTCGTGAACATCGTAGCAGCTTTTTCACCTCTCATTTCTACGAATCGTTCATCATCAGAGACGAAGTTTTGCCTTCTCTGGTGGCAGCTGCGTTGGACTTTCTGTTGCCCATAGCCGCCGCGATTGTCATTCTGAGGGCATCCGTTTCCACATCCCACCACGGACCGCTTATTTTTACGGTTTAGTACAATTCATTTCTACCCGTCATTTCTCACTTGCTTGCTCCGTCTTAGGAGAAGTGAATTGCTTTGCGCTCTAATATTTGGAATGATGATAGTGATCTCCGATTCTTGCTGTTGTTGTCTACTGCGGTCGTGGCTCTACGTGCGGTTCTGCGTTGGGGGATGCATCGAGTATCATGTACCTTCATGATCATAAGAAAGATGAAAGTGACCAGAAAGAAAAGAGAGATGAAAGACCAGAAAGACTTTTTCAATTTGAAACGAATTTGGCAAGAACTTAAACTTTTTTTGTTTGGTATTTTCTCCTAGGGACACCTTGTTTCCTTTCTTTCCAATCAAACCAGGGCTAGGAAGGGTTAGTGGGTACTTGATTGTTCATTCTTGACTTGATCATCTAGTACAGAATGGAGTAGCGGCTGCGGCTGCAGTAAACACCTCAATATGTTTGGTATTTTCTCCTAGGGACACCTTGTGTGATAACGGAGCAGCGGCGCCCTATCCTAGTCTATCCTATTCTACTGCTACTCATTAATAGTAAAGTGCTCCTTCCACAACCATCTTCTTTAAAAAAAAATCAGCGAAGACGAGCGTCTGTCTCACTACCGTTTTTTCGAATTTTTCCCTAGCAAACAAAGGACTTCATTGGAACACGAGTCGGAAGCACGAAGAAGGAAAGCATCACCCTTTCGTGTATTTTCCGGAGATCGGCGTTTGGCGCATAGCTTCGGAAGTGCTGCCTCCACAATTAAGCAAATTATAATATAATTCGAAGCTACAGGGCAGACCTCCAGGAGGGTAGTTTTTTTTTCAGACTATTTTCTTGCTTTTTTATGTTTTTGTTTCCTAGTTAGGGTGCCTCCACAATTATGCAAATTATAATAACCAGAAGCTACATAAAAAACAAAAAGATGAAGTAAGAACATGATCAGTGCTAGAAGATAACTATGTGAGTGACTACAAGTAATCACATAAACATATAGATATACTCTGCCCTGCTTAGTGAAAATATTTGCTCAACATTTTGTTCTAAGAAAAAAGCGTCCCGTGCGACGAACAATCTGGAGTCAAGGACGCGCGTTGCTCCGCCAATGGCGGTTCCTGGCGCAAAAGCCGACGCGCAGTGAACTCCACCAGAAAGCGCTTCTTGAGGTGCGGCCGCATGCGATTGAGGGCTACGACCGCGAAGCAGTGAAAGGTAGAGATATGGCGGAAAGAAAAAATGGTTGGAAGTGATAGAACTGCAAAGCTTTTCGTCTTGCGGATAGCTTAGAGGAAGGACTGCTTGATACGCCATGATGATGACTTGATTATATTCTGTGTGCGAAGAACAAGAAGATGAACTACATTGTTCTTCATAGTGCCTTTGCAGGAGTCTCGATTACTGTGGGAAAAACAGTCCCGCTGGCCAAGAGGAGGTACGACTGGGCGAAGCGGAGAGCAGTGGGGCTGCACGTGTATACGCCGCACTACTGTGCGGTGTGCGCGGAGAGCAGTGGGACTGCACGCGTCAACAGATGACAACGTCCTTGTGCGTGATCGACGGAGAGCGTGGAGTGTTGATCGAGTGACGCCTCTTCTGGAACACTGCTGTAGCCACGTTTTACTACTCCAGTTTTTGTTTCTCTTACGACAAGAATAAGACGACAAGCTGATAAGATAAAATACATCCGATGAGGCTCTTCTCCGAGTCTCCGATAAGCTAAAAAAAAATACGATAATAATGCTGTCCACTCTCGAGTTTGATAAATGTATGAAGTAGAAGAGATGACAGCACTCAGATTTTCTACTTCACGGTCTTGTAATTCATCGTCTTTTAATTTGATGTGTAGTCTTTGCACGGGGAGTAGAGGTGGTGCCACTTTTTTGCAGACACGAAACCCAACGTCCTTGTGCTTACGCAAAAAAACCAGACTCGGGCGAGGGCGTGCTTTTGTTTTTACGGATATTGTTATTAGACACCACAGGGGAGAGCAGCAGCAGCACCACCAATTCCTCCATCAGACTACCACTCTCGAAGAACGAGCGCGAGCGGCTGACCTGGCAGCTAACTTCCCTTCGAGTCTTGTTCGCATCTGGCATCATCTACTTTCTACTCTTGCTGCTGTGCTACGCCGTCGCCGTGGGACAAAGAGAAAGGCAAAAAGACGAGCGGACCACGAGGAAAACTACTAGGAAAACTTCTGCTTCTTCTATAGAGAACAAGCGGACCACTCCGACTCAGCGTGGGCAGCAGCCTTCTTTGAGAAACTGGGTTGCAGCAGTGCTAAAGGCAGATCTTCGGACTAGTTCCCGTGCAGTAACAGGACGCAAGAACAAACATGCAAATGCAACATCAAGCAGTGGTTCTGGCATCACAAAAGCGACATCAAATAGTAGAGGAATCACGGCAACTGCGAGCTCAACAAAACCAGCTTCATCTACGCGAAAGCCGTCTACGCGACAAAAAAAGGCATCCGTCGAACAGGGTCGGACTTTGTCTGCAGTTCCAGAACCACGGCCCCCGGAAGCAGCTCCTCCGGAGAAAAGAATAGAAGATAATACAAATCATGTTGCTCCTGCCACTACTTCTGGCGTAGTTCGCCTTTCCCCAGCCGCGTTTGAAAAGGGTAGACAACATCACCTTCTTCACCCCCAACTACGGGGGGGCGGTTTTCCTCGTAGTTGCAAGCACGTTGTAAAAAGGTGGTCGTTTATGTTTCTGTGGTGGGGACCGGCGGTTGGGTCGTTTTTTCCGGTTCATCGGGGTCAACCGGGAGTCTACGCGGGGCTCACGGCTGTGCCATTATTACTTCTATTAGCAGTGGAAATCGTGTTGATGCCCACTTGCATCCGTTTCCACTGGTCAGTGGGGCTAGTCGTACCGCTCGCGTTTGGAGTTACGAGACTTTACGTGTACTAACTACTTGCTTCTTAGATTTATAGTGGCTTTTTAGAATCCTCTTATACCTAGGCTTTGTACCTTTTCCACGCATCCATCAACTGACTCAACCAATGAATCAACCAATCATAGGTTACGACATGCGTTTCCCCGATTTTACTTTGGGCACAATTACATGGCCAGATTGTGTTACAATGAGCAGCGGAGTTTATCCGCATCCAGATGGAACGAAATTAATCGCTTACATTTAGCGGCAAGGCACAAGACACAACTTGCCAGGATACGGGAAAAAAATAGAATAAAAGTACGATAGTTTCTGCTCTATCATTTCACTTCGTATGAGAAAGAGCTGATTGCGCCTTGGTAGGTTCTTATCCCAAGAACATCGAAGTCCTCCCATATGGTTGCATGCCCAGAAAACGACTAGACAGATAAGGCTACGACGAGAGCTGGCTGCGGGTAAGCTAGGAAGCTGGCTATAGCTAAACAGCTGCCGCGCTGGGTCTCCTCGAGCAGCTACGAAGCTAGCTATGGCGAAGCAGCTAATAGCAAGCTAGCTATGGCCCTCTGCAAACTCCCCCAACATCGAAGTCCTCCTAGATGGTTATCAAATGTACAGTGACATATCCAGCAATTCTTTTCATCTGTTGCTAGTACAGCAGCTCTACTAGTTCTCCATTCCATTAGCTCTCTTTCTCCATTTCAATATCTTCGTTTTCGAAGATGAGCATTGTTGATGTCTTCTAGACGAGTGTGTTCTTCAGATCGCTCTGAGTGGAGGCCTTCTGGATCTCTACCGTGGCGACGCACAGTGATCTGTGGGCCCTTGATTTACCATGGTCCCGGACTGGAGAAGATCATCAAGTGTCTAGGGCATGAATGTGGTAGCAACACACTGGAAGTTCTACCGAAACGGGATTCACTGGGACTCTGTCATTTACAACGCTACAAATTGATTGATGTAATCGTCGACCGCAATTGATTGATGGAATCGTCCTCGACCGCTTAGTTTTAGTGCCACAACTAATGATTGGAATAGTCCGCAAATTCCCTAGTACTCAACTTTCGAAATATTTTATCCTGACTTCTTCACTTGTCAACATCCAACGAATAATAATAAGTAATAACGTGGAACAAACAACACACGAACTACAACACCTCCAGAGAAAAAATGCCGTCTGCTTCGACTTCATTGCTACGTAACGAGTCGGGGACTACCATCAGCGGAGAGGAGAACAACCGCATGGCAGCTGATCTCGATGATGACAAAGTGGAGGCCTTGATCTTTGACTGTGATGGGACGCTGGTGAACTCCATGGAGTATTTTTGGCAAGGTTGGGAAGTGTTGTGCAAAAAATACGAACTAAACTTTCCGAATTAAGGCATCGAGCCGGATGTTTTTGATTTCATTTTTTGTGGTAACGGTGAGTATGACGTAGCTGTTAAAAATGTCGTCAGAACGCAACCTTTCTTATATACTTTAGTACTTAGAATCAACAGCAGTGGCTAGTCATAATCCGATTCTTCTGCAGTTTGATTAATTCAGCTGATCTACTCTACTCCATCGACATGACAAAACAAAATATGATGTTGATTCTAAGCGAAGACGCGATTCTATGCTCTAGCCGGTACGCCGATTCGTGAGATTGTGCACATTGTCTTAACCGAAACCGACCCTGCGATTGTCGAGAAACTAGTCTCTGTCGAGAAAGGCGATGACGAAACAAAACGTAGAGAACTTTTTGTTGATCGTTTTCTTGCTGAGAAACTTGAGTTACGGCGTTGTTTTTCTTTGACAGAAATGTGTGAAAGTGTTACAGGAAGTGAATAAGAAACACCTTACTTCTACAGTGAAACTCTTTTGGTCCAACGTCTACAAAATAGACTTTGTGCGTGTAGTACTAGTCGTTCTCTAATCTCCGCCATCGAAGAATTGCGGTCTCGTGGTCTTTTCCCTGGAGAAATTACGTGTGTGACGAAGATCGCAAAACAAGCAAAAGAGCGTAAAATGCGAATTGGGGTAGCTAGTTCTGGGGAAAAAAACCACGTCCTCGCAGACTTGGCCCATCATAATTTGACGGATTTGTTTTATGAAGACATGTGAAGGATGAAAGATGTACAACAACAAACTTTCTACTTCGTTGGAAAGAAAACTTTGTTCGTTCTACTATCCTATCCTATCCTCCCCTATCCTTTCATACCTCCGAAACGATCGTTACACGGGAAGATGTGGTGCATGGAAAACCGGCACCAGACTTGTTTTTGGAAGCTGCTAACCGTCTCAATGTTGATCCAAAGCGCTGCAGAGGATACGAAGATGCGGATCTAGGTCTGGAGTCTTTGCGCCGTGCGGAGTTTGTGCAAGCAGTTGATGTTAGGCTGATGAAGGGGTATCCGAATTAGTGGATGGTGGATACGATGTAATCTGATGTCGTTGGATCATGGGATGGATGGATACGAATTAGTTGGAATCTGATGTAGTTTGGAGGGATGTTCGGATGGTGGGACGAATGTATTTTTATGCAACAAAGTAGGACTTTTCTTCTTCTTGTCTGGGTACGTAATGGCACTTCGCTTACGCGCACAGACGCAGATTGTGGAACCACAGATCATGGTTCTTCTCACCTCATGTGCGCATCATAAGGATTTTTCTAGCGGATCTGGGATTTCACAAAATGCTACGTTTCATGAAGCTCTGAAAATGCTACGTTTTCATGTCTCTGAAAATGCTGCGTTTGAAGAGGGATCATCAGCGAGTGTGTTGAGAATCAGGTTATTCAGGGACTCTACAGAGTCTATCAGGCTGTTTCAGATGAAAACTTTAAGCTAGAATACTTGCAAAACATGAAGATGAGTTCCTTGCCGCAATCTTGTCGTTCACGAATGTTGAGGAGGGAGAAGCGTGCCCCTCATCCGCGACTTGCATGTCTGCTTGCTTTCCCTTTTAGAACATGCACGTGGCTATTTTCGTCTGGAGCTGGGGTCGTCACTGGTCAAGTGTCTCTTCCTGGAGAACGAGCAACTTTACCAGAAGGCTCGGTCGCGACCGGCACGGCTCGACGCGTCCTCACAGAGGAGCAAGGCTCCGCCCCTAGAGCAGAGGAATCTCCGGAGACGGACCCAAGACGACCGCCTGGCACGGAGCGGTTGACAGGACTCAAAAAGCCCGTTCTTGAGGAAGGAGAGAAAGCGGTGGAACTGTCACCTGGCGAAGCGGGACACCTGAAGAATGAAATGGTCAATCGTGCTCAACAGCAGAATCTTGCTCAGAATCCTGAGCAAGCAGATGGAGGCGAAAAGAAGAAACAGCATGGAGTGAGAAATACTTTGAATGGATACTACGAAAAATACATCACGTCCATCTTAGACGATGCACACGGGAAAAGGGTAGCTGTGAACGTGAACAAAGTTTTACCAGCTGCTAGTCCGCAGGAGACCTATCGATACTACGACGTTCCGTTAGCCTGTCCTCCAGACCTTGTGTACCTTATGGTGATGCCGGTCTTTGTTTATTCTCTGATCCAGTTGAGAATTCGTTGCATTAAAATTATTCACGTGAGAATATGGGAGGACTCCACTACGCTATTAACAGATTATAAGTAGCCCAGATAAGGAGCCTTTTACTTGCTTTAGAGGAGAGGAAACTTAGAAGTCGCACATGATCTGTCAATAGAAGGATTGCCACTCAGCAGCAATATTTATTATACTTCAATAGTTTTGATCGTGGTGCTTCAATCTAAGTCTTCGCAGTTGATGAGTCTAGGACAAATTGTAAAGGGCGACCGACTGGTATCTTCGCGCCTCGATTTTCCAAGATTGCCGGCAAAATTCTATAGTGCGAAGTTGCCCGATGGCGACCAGTATCTTTATGATAGATTTTCTTTTTGGAGATATTCTTAATGTAATATTAAGCCTACTTTTTGGAGATGGTCTTCACCTACAGGAAAGTAATGATAGTCGCACTGCATCTCTAAGGTATACAGCAACCTCATAATTACTTCCATCGTGACACAGAAGACAGAAGTAGCTATCACTTTCCCTAATTGTACTGCTCTCACTATTATACACCACGCATCTCAGCAGGACCTCTTCTATTGGTCTCAGTACCGTAGATACGCACCATCTCGTCCTCCCGTCTTTCATACTCGCGACCGCTTTATCCACCAAGAACCGGAGCGCGTGGTGTGCACCCGTTATTACGGACCCGAGCAGCTTCAAGATCTTAGAGAGATGATCGATCGACAGTTCATTTTCGAGCTGGAAGTGGATGAGTTTCCCATATTTATGGCTTTCCCCTCTAAACTGATCTTCGATGGTGTCCTTCTCTTTAACAAGGGAAGAAGAAGGGTGACGAAGGGATAGACGTCGAAGATGAGTGGCTTTGAAGATGCGTGACTTGGAATACGTTATCCTCTAATACGTCTGGATTCGTCGGACTCAAAATCGACACGGAAACCTACGATAGCTATGCCACCCTGGAGACGCAACAAAAGAAAGAAGCCAAGGACGATCCAAATGCAGATATGGAAGCCATGGTATTTTTAGGTTTTGTGAGTAGCTGTAGGCTAGACCTAGAGTAGAGTCAATTATGAATGATATGCATAGCTACTTACTTGTTACGCACTGGACTAGAACAACCGCACTGGACTAGAACAACACCTCGTAGTACTAGAACGACACTACGTTTTTAAGAAAGCTCGGTAAAAACTAAAACAACAGACCGAATACACTGCCACGCGGATGTGGGGTATGTATCACCAAATAATGTCTGATGACGATTATCCAGCAGAAGATGCGGATGGGAAGCCGCTGAAGTACAGGTATTTTCTCGCTACCCGGTTCAATTTGCAGTTGACGCATCAACATGGCGATATTCGAGAAGTGAAAATGCAAGAAGCGCCGCTCAAATACCTCTTAAGGCTACAAGCAATGCATCTTAACAAGCATCTTGGTCCCATTTCTAAAGGGAAAAGGGGGCTCGACTTTCTGCCGAAGACGGATTCTCCTTAGTTCTAAACCTCACGGAGATTACTGAGATGCCAAAGGATGGCAGCTACCTGAAAGTCGATTGGAAACTGGCGGTATTCTGTGTTAGATTTGGGACTTTTATTCAAATTTTGTACTTGTTTATGTTTTACGGGGTGTTTGCACTTGCAAGTCGCTTAAGTAGTGACTTTCACAACTTCAGCGAGCGATGCAGAGCTGGGTCGCTTAAGTAGTGACTGTCACCACTTATGCGAGCGACGGAGTCACCGGTTAAGCGCGCGCACTTGACGCACTTTACGAGGCACTTCAGGGGCGCTCCCTTAAGTGCCTCAAGCAGCGCTTAGCGAGGCACTGACTAAAGGGACGCGCCCCCTAAGTGCCTCGAGCAGCACTTAGCGAGGCACCTTAGGAGGCATTTCCGGGACACGTCCCTTAAGTGCCTCGAGCAGCACTTAACGAGGCACCTTACGAGACACTTAAGGGGCGCGCCCCTTAAGTTCCTCGGGCAGCACTTAGCGAGGCACTTGACGAGGCACGTAAGGGACGCTCCCCTTAGGTGCCTCAAGCAGTACTTAGCGAGGCACTTAAGGGGCGCTCACGCCGCACTCATCCAGCGAGGCGGCCTCTAATTGTGTATCTCTGATTTCATTCAGCCACCGACTTACCTATACTTGCTCCACTTACATAGATACCAACCAGTCGCAATCGTACTTCAACATTACTTCTACATAGCCAATATTCTTCTCGACCCTCACTTATACCATAAGTAGATAGAGTAGATCGAGATACTAACCAAGAACATGAATCTATCCCAACACGGACCACACTCAACATGCAGGTCGGGTGGTGGCCTAGTGAAGATTCCTACCCCACAACACGTGAAGAAGCTATTGATCAGCAGATCGAGGATAATGATTTTCATATGTGGCACGATTTGGACGAGGACATGGACGATGAAAAGAAGAGCGAGCAATGGTCATGGCTGGACTTGCCGGATATTATGGATGGATGGTGGTGGTGGATTGTGTACTGGGGCTCCTCGTCCGGCAGTTTAGTTTCAGCTGTAACACGGAGCGAACACATGACATGACTAGTTTCAGCTATTGGACACTTGTGCAGAGTCCAAATTTACATGCTCTAACTCTCGTCCCAAATTCCGGATGAGGGTGCATTGGATGGGCATCGGCAACTCTCTGCTTATCCTCTTGGTCCTTCTGGTGGTTCAAGTTTGGTACCTATCGCGGAACGTGACCCAAGACTTGCTGAGCCCAGACCATTTCTACGCAGAAGTTGCCGGAAGTCAGGGAAGCGTGTTACCTACAAGCCTTGGTTAAGGCTACCGCTAAAGGATCCTCAATGTCATCCTTAGTCCTTTTTCTAATTGAAAAAGAAGTTCTTAAGGATTACAGTCTCCAGGAGGACGCGAAAGCGGTGGCTCCAAGTCGGAAGTTCCGTGGAAATGACGAGTATGAGTGGTGGTGCGGGAAAGAAAAAAGGCACTGGCGTGCCTGGTACTGGGGGAACACGTGAATTGAGGCCATCTGAACTCGGCATCGCGATCGGATGGAAGCTGCTGCACGCGTTATGGCTATAAAGGATTACTCTTGATGGGGGTGTCGGATTGTAGTGATCCTCGTACAAAGGAATTTTCTATCACCCACCATTTTCAATTTTGATTCGCACGTAGTACTTACAAGCAACCAATCTCAACATAAAAATACTGCTTTTAGATTCTCCCCTTGCCCCCTTCAAACGCCGACGTCTTCCGAACACCACCTATGAGACTGTGGCTCTGTGCGAGCGTTGGCGCAGGCATACAATTGCTCTGTATGAGCTTTTTCGTCATTGCCTGTGGGTGCATCGAGCACTTCCATCATCGCGGGAGCGTCATGAGTGCCTTGTTCTACTTATGGAAGCAATTATACTTCTAGACGTTTGTCAGGACTCGTTTTTGCACTCATGTTAATATTACGTCTCAACATTCTACAAGAACTTCCTTTACTCTCTCCAAGGGTTATCTCGTTCACCCTATACTAGCGCCGCCGGCACAAGAAAAATTGTCATGATTTCCATAAAGTCTCATCTTCTAAGCCATGGTTACATTTTCTCCTCGCTTGTTGGTGGGTACGTGAGTGGCAGTTGGTACCAGCGTCTAGGGGGACAATCGTGGACCCTGAACATGTTCGCAACTAGTGTCATCTTCGCAGGTCCCTGTTTCGCGGTGTGGGCAGCGGGAAACACGATCGCGATATTCTACAACTCGACAGCGGCACTGCCGTTCCTCTACATTGTGCTGTTCTTTTACGGCTAGTATTACTTCTCTGGTACTAGACTAAATTTACTAAAGTGAGCAGCATTATAAAGTTATAAACAATTCTACTTCTGTAGTACTACCGTTAATATGCACATTATATGAGTACATCTTGTGAGTACTAGTTTCAGTAGAAATATATATCATCTCGTCCTCCACACTTGAGTCATCCTCTCCATCTCTCTAATCTCAGTTTCTCTATGTTTGTGTTACAGTCCCACTCACACTAGTAGGCTGTGCCCTTGGGAGACAGGTTGCGATACGAGATCTGCGAAAAAGCGAACAGGCCAGCTATTTCCCCTGTCGCACGAACAAGCTAGAACGCAAAGTTCCGCGATCACCGTGTTAAGACTGGTTTTGTTTGTGAAAGTAAGGTGAGTGAAGGTGGCTAATCTCTGCGCCGTCCAGTAGTTGCTTTGAGTTGAAACCAAGCATCCTCTAATCGCCGTTTTGCACACCACCGGTCCAGTATACGATTTGCGGTCTTCTCCCCTTTTCCTCGCTTTACGTGGAGATTCACTATATTTTTGATAGTATGTGGGGTCCTGCTCGCTACACGGTGTACGGCATTTTGCTGTTTGCGGTGCTCCTCGCCTTGTTGAACTCGGGTCTCGTGTCAGTGCTGTTTCTGTTTATGAAATTGCGACTTTAGAAGACTTGGATCTTCAGCTCAATCCTGTTAATGTCAGTCAACAACTGAAGACTCTCGTAATCATGAGAGGGTCAGGATGTGACTACCTCATTAGGAACTCCGCAGAATAGAAATAGATTTGGCACAGCTGGCTCCATGATCACCCTTTCTAACCCGTACCTGCAGTTGTCCTCAGAAAATTGGCGATGGTACTGGAATTCTTTCCTTAGCGGTGCGGCAGCGGCGGCCTTCTTCTTGCTGTATTGCGCTTACTTCTTCATGACCACCGAGATGGATTCCTTTTTGCAAGTAAGCTTCTACGGTCTTTACTGCATCCTACTGGCCTACGCGGCGGCGCTCATCATGGGAGCCCTCACATTCGTCACATGCGCAAACTTCATGCGCTTCATATACAAATACGCGAAAAGCGACTAAGCAGAGATACACAAGGAGTTCATCTGTAGTTGGATGAAGATTTAGATATTTTGTAAGTGTCTACTAGTTAAGTACTCATGATCATTCTAAGAATGCTCCTTCATCCACATCAAAGAATACTTGTAATTGGTGCGCACAGATTGATGTTGTTTGCCACCTACCCAAAATCGTGAGACAATCCATGGCTATATTGTTGACATTCAAAGAATATAGGACAAGAATAATAAAGAACAGGATTGTATTCAGAATTGACGAAGTTGTAGTGCTTTTGCTAATGAATAATGAGGTCAAGATTGTCCTCACTGAAAAACGATTATATAACGAACATGCCTAGGACAATTTCGCAAGTGAATTCGAAAACATAATGGAGTTAAACGTATGTGCTAGCAAAAAACAGTTCGTGTTTCATGAAAAAAGAGTTCGGTAGGCATCGTTCATAATCGGCTCGCACTAGATCCTGTGATCAGCGTCTAGAGAGAGAGAGAGAGAAGATTGTGATTTAGAGTGCGAGGGCTCGTAGAATCGAGAATGCCCGCCGTAGAGTGCGAGGGCTCGTAGAACCGAGGTGACGATGAACTCGGTCTGTTCGATTCATTCGTCTCTTATCGTGAAACTTCGTCTCCCCAATCCCAAACCGGAAAAAGCTATAGATTCTGCATCTAACTAGTAGAAAATGATAATCACAACTACAGCAAAAAACAAAGCAATAAAGGTGATTGATTTAGTACTATTGAGACTAACTTATGTGTAGAAGTTTACATCGCAATCTTTATCTACCACAAATCAATGGACGGTCAATTATGAAGTAGATTCAACCTACGCGGCTCTTTGAAGTGTTGAAAAACTCGTAGCGGCGTCGACCCGGAGCGGGAGGAATTGACTCGGATTCCCAGGACTCGCAAGACGCACCCCTTAACAGCTTCTTCTAGTACCCCAACCCCAACATCAAGAACCACGAAATACCATTACAACGTCTTCGGCTAAGAATCAACAACCGACTGCGAAGAGATGTCGTTGTTTTCGCGGCGAGCTGCCCTCAGTGCGGCTTCGGTAGGATTTACCACGGCTTTTCCCTATTATGGGAGTCAGCGGACCGCTTACGACTTGGCGGATGACGCACAGGAAGTCCAGGATTTGCAAAACGGGATGATGCTGGAAGAAGACTATGGCCAAAAGACTAATATTTGCTGGTGTTGTTAAGTTGTACTGCTGTTACAGTAATGGATTTTTTTTACATGCTAAACAAAAATAAATGATCCCTCCATGATTTTTACTGTAAGAGAATGCTGCTGGAAAAGGAGTCTACTCATACTCAAGACCACTACGTGTTGGTTCGTGAGTATGAGCACACCTTTTCCTTTCATAGCAGAATCATGCTGGAAGAAGAATACGGCAACAGAATATCCTGTTTGTTTTTTAGTTCCCAAGTACAACTCGTTGTTGAGTCCTAGCGGGACAGGAGGACAGCTGGACAAATGACAGCTGGACAGAAGGAAACTAAATCAGTCAGCCTGTTAGAATTTAATCAGTACTATACTCCTCAAATCCGTCAGCCTGTTAGAATTCAGTCGGTACTGTATTCCGGTCGTTGGGGGTGAGTCCACGCTGGTCCCTTGTTGTTGAGTCGGCTGGTTCATCCTAGCCGTACTTGTATAGGTGATTAATGTGTACAGAGTTTCCTAGAACCAAGATGAATAGACACAACTTTCCGAATTTACTATTACCACACAACTCTTCTTCCCCGCTCTAAGACCAAAGAATGGAAGCTGCTGAAGCAGTGGCGGAGCAAGTTGCGATCGAGGAGGCTCTCGACGATATGCTTGGCGTCCAGGATAAAAGAATCGAAAGCCATTTCGTCAACACAGCTTCCCAGAGTATGTTGGAAGCAGATATGACCGATAGAAGCTGGTCGAATATGGGTACTTACGACTCAAAACCAAATCTCTTTTTTGTGGATGATGGAGGGTACGAGAGTACAATTTTTTAATCCCCAACACGCAAAAAAGCAGATGGATAATATTAATGATCCCGTCTCTTGTTACTCTTTGATACAACTGCGCCACCAAAAATATCCATTCTCACATCGTCAACAACAGGTTCTGAGCCACTCTGCATGGACACTAAGACGCCGATCCCGAACACGCCTGCGCCTCTGTACTCCATGATGACGCGAGATGGACGTTGCGGACCGTCCCAGGGAAACCAAGCATGCAAGACTGGGTGCTGCAGTCAATACGCTTGGTGCGGAGACGGACATGATTTTATGGGTCTCTTTCTAATGATAACAAGGATACCTGATAACAAGGATTAGGATAGGATACCTGATAACAAGGATACCAACAAGGATAGCACTTACCCTCAGAACATCATGAAGTCTCGTCCAACTAGTACTCTATTCCTCGCTATAATTGTTCCTAGGAATGCGAATGTCTTTCTTGTAGTGTGCTGTTGGTGTTGCTTTCATCAAATGCCCCTGAGGAGATATCAGGAAACTTCAAATGGGAAGAAAAGTTCTAATTCCTGGTGTGATTGCAATGCTGGATGCGATCCCCGTTTCGGACGCTGTGAAGCCAATTGGCATGACTACACTCTGGGAGAAAACATCTGTGCGATGCCTTCCCATGTAAACGATGCGATGAAGAATCTCTTATGAGACACTGATAAGAAGAATCTCTTAGATACAGTCAGATGAGTATCGAAATCGAAAAAAGTTGAAAGTACAAGTTACAATTCTCGGCTCCTCCGATATCCGTAGTTTTGTGGCCGAATGTACGGTCTTATGCGCCCCCAGTATGTAACTTGGATGACAATAGTTGAACATGTTAATTGATTGTTTGAAAGGGCGGTGGCGTATAGTCCTAAACCAAAAAAAAAAAATCTACGGGTACTACGGACAGTGCCATCAGGGACCCACACATGACATGTTCTCTATCGCGCCTCTGCTAGTGCAAATGAAGAAGTGCGCTTGTCAATACTGCGCCACTCCAACCACCTTTCCTCCCTTTTCCCACCTCTCTTTCCTCCCACTGCCTACAACCTCTCCTCCTCCTTCATATCCCTTCCAGGCTCAACAAGACGGACAGATGTACTCATCCAGTTCGAACACGGCCAGTCTTTTCGACTCCGAGATCGCCGATATGCATCGCGCCATGCCCACTGCGACGTACGAGCAGTTCTACAATTATGGACAAACTTTTACATGATTCTGATTTTGATTCATTGCATTCTTCACAACTTGAAACATCCTTGCCTTATACTTTATTTGTTTCTAAGAAGATCAAGATGAAAAGTATTAAGTCAAGGATATTTGTTGTGAAGAATGCAAAAGTGCTGGAGCCTTCTCTAACGCAATGGTTTCAAATGCCTCAAAGACGAGTGGCCTTCTCTTACCTTGCCTCAGTTACAGCGCATGGTCGTCGCGGTTGGTACCAAAGCCAAGATTCGAGAGGTCGTCCACAGTTCTCTCATTTTGCACGAATTCGCGGATGCAGTACAACTTGAGTATGTGTGGATTTGGCTGTTGTCCTTGCGCAGCAGTTTCAGCCAGTACCAAAACGTGGAGATCACGCGCGTTGCGATTTTCTTGCGCTATATTCGCGGTCACCTGTGCGCAGAGAAGGTGCGATCCTGTGATGATGTGACGCTGAAATTACGGCTTTGTACCTGAAAATGAGACAGTTGGCTGGGGCGATGATGGCCTGTGCGTACCTGAAGATGAGATGGAATACATACTTATATTGTAATACATACATGCTGATTGTAATACATACATACGAAGTCCCAGAGGATACATACTTACAAAGTCCCACAATTACCAGCCATAATAGCTCCGTTGACCTAGTGAACACCGTTTATATTTACCGTTTACCGTTTATATTTACCGTTTTGTATATTTGCCGTTTTGTATATTTACGGTTTTGTATATTTACGGTTTTGTATATTTACGGTTTTGTATATTTACCGCTTATATTCACCTGTGGTTTATGTTTATCGCTCACGTTTACCGTTGGTTTAGATTTCCCGTTGATATACTCCATTTAGTGAACACATTTTTCATTGTTCAGCAGTATTGCAAACTCTTTCATCCAAATAAGGAAGATATAAACAAGTTCCTCCTCCTCATCCTCTAATCCAAGCCAGCGTGGACGCTTTGCAACGTGTTGCTACGCACTTTCCGCATGACCAACTGCCCGATATCGATCGTGCCTATACGCAGATGCGCTTGCAGTGGGATGGTTTGGGATTTTTCCAGTTTGCGGATGCGATGGGCATGTTTGCGAATGCACTCTTGCAGGGCAACGGAGCAAAGTTGCCGCCGTCTCAACAGACCCTTACGCCACAAGGAGCTGGCTCACTGCTAGCGCCTCAGGGACTCACGTTGTCTAGCGCAGCGCAGCCCGGATTTGCAGGGTTATGCACGGACTAAATGGGGTATCTTAGTAGAGAAAAGGACTAAAAGTGCTAGATAAAAGGGCATTTCTCTCCCAAGTGAAGAGATACTAGAATAGCGTTCCATGAAGTGATGCAGTGAAGTAGAACCATTAATGGAAACTACCTTTGTTTTTCTTTTAATGGCACTACTTTGATGAAGTATGTTATGTCTTGATTTAACATGGCTTGATTTAACATGTCTTGATCTTATCAAGGCTCACGTTGTCTATAGCGCAGCGCAGCCCGCGTTTGCAGGGTTATGCACCATAGGACTAAACAATAGTATAGTTTGCTAGGGTTTTTATGCATAGTCCGCGCATAGGACTAAATGAGAATGTTGAGATCACAATCTTCTTCCCTTGACCTTGATGAATTGATGAATTGAGTAGTCTCTAGTAGTCTCTAACTTCTCTAACCCATGAATTTAGTAGTCTCTAACTTCTCTAACCTCTCCCATCGGCGGGCCGCAGTACGTTGTCCCCTTGGACCTGATCAAGTCTTCTCTGCAGGAGCTGAAAACGCGTACCTACTTGGAAGGGGAGTCCATCATGGTCATCATCGAGAGTCTCACCTCCCTCTTCGCGACTGGGCAACCGAGTTCTTTGCCCTTGTTCTTCAGTGGTCTGGTTGAATTGCTGGACACGTTTTCTTTGACGAAGACGCAGCCAGTTGCCAGTTTGGCACCTACGATTTCGCAGGTACTGTAATTATTTAGAAGTTTTTTTAATTTGTAGCGAGTTTGGCACCTACGATTTCGCAGGTACTGTCTAAGATTAGAAATTTGCTCAGCCTTTCTGTAAAGCAACGATTGGATCTTTCTGCTCTTAAGCAACTATATCAAGTGATCCATACAATAGTTCCTCGAAGACCACTAGGACCCAAAAACCAATGATAAGGCTTTTGCACAAACGAGTGCTCCGTTTGGCGAGATTGCTTCGATGCTGTCCAAGATCCGCGACTTGTATCCAACTGACTCCCGTCCTACGCTTCCGATGTGCATTGAGCTGTTCACGCAGTTTCTGGCTGCACACCCAAGAGAGGAACCTGGCGACTTCCGTTCCATTCTGGATACCATGCGCCGCGATACACCGGCTCTGGCTACGGTCGGCTGGGGTGAAGGGGTTGCTAATGGCGATGCTGCCACGGTCTTCGCGTTGGAGAAGTTAAGATTTTGATTTTTTTATCCTCCTAGTACTATAATTATGAAATAGAAGTAGTATCTTAGGCAGCTCGCCGAATAGATTAATTATGAAATAAGTACTACTAGTACCGGCGGTGTAAGTAACCTCTTCAGTCTCAATTTCTAAGGCAAGAATTACCACAGCATTTTACTCGTGGAGGCTATCCTTTGGTGCAATCCGATATCGACTCTGGTGTGGAGCAGTTGATTCAGGCTTATGGCGGTCCGAATGAGGTGCAACGCATGGAAGTGGTTTCCAGTCTGCTACGTGCGGGAAAACGGTTTGGTCCGCTGTTAGGGCAGGGTTTTTACCCGTATACAATTGACTTTGACTACAACTATCATCACGCGGTTAGAGTATTTTGTCTCGTAGGCGACCTTCCCTTGTAGCACGTCTGCGCATAAAAAATGAGACTTTCTCCTCCAATTATCTCCACGTCCCTTCAATTCTAACCTCTGCCGATTTCTACAACACGGTGGAGGCATTGAAGCCTTTGGCCTCGTCGGGTGGTGGCATTTTCTTCGGCGGTGCGGTGCGCAAGTTCAGACTCCGCACTGTGGTGGCCTCGTTGGAGGTGTTGAGTCGATTTTCGGATGTCGCCCATCAAGGAAGTGTGGGAACCACTGAGATTATGAACTTTGAAGACACCAGATCATTAGGTATCGATGTCCGCATCGTTAGTTTTCCCCTATTTGCACTATCAGCATTTAATTTAGTGACCGATTATTAACGTGTAGTGAAGAATGTCATAGCGTTTCATTTTCATTTACAGTCTAGTCATAGAAGGCAGTATAAGTCATACGCGTCGCTCTAATCTGCGTCGTGAAAACGGCAACTTGTTGGCGAATTCCCCGTCGACGCTTGTCTCTACCGCGGTACCCCTGACTACCTGTGCTGCGACTATGTCCGCGATGCAAACTGAGCTGGCTAATGATGATGAACTCTTTGCCGTGTCCGTCGATTTTGCCAGTTTGAAAGTCGGGCTTGCGGATGAAGTGACTTATGGAAAAGAAGGATAGAGGTCGGTATATTTGCTCCATACTTAGCTGGTTTTTACGTAAGTATGCTAGTTCTCAAATGGTATTCTTATTTCGCCAGTCGTAGCAAATCTGGATGCAGAAGAGAGCGTACTTATTTAGAAATAGAGAACAAGCAAAATGACCACACCTCATCTTCTAATTTTCTCTCCTCGATGTTTGGACGACCATGAGCGACATCAAGAAGGATCTCGCCCCCACCGAGAGCTGGCGTACAGTCGCTGACAGTTTGCACCGCTTGCTCACCAAGTTTCGCCGAGTGACGCATCTCCACCATCTCCATGACATGTTGGCTGATGCGAAGGCCCTCTACAAAATCACCAGTCTGGACGATTTGCTGCAACCATTGGTCGAATTCGAGACTGAGTTTGTCTCTTTTCGCGAACAAGGCAGTTTGGAGGAGTTGATGGAGTTTTTGTTGGACTTGCGTGGGGCAGAACGAAAAATCGGCATTGTCAACGACAAGAAATTGGGGACGCAGGAGGTCACCCGATTTATTCAATAGAGAGGATTATGAAAAACGTTTTTTAGGTCGTCTTGTTGAATATTTTTCCCAAAGAATATGTATCTCTATGTTCGTCCTCTGTTCAAGATGACCCTGGAATTTCCTATCCTTCTCAACCCAAACAAAAAACACCAGACCTCTCTTTCCGCCGCAACGCATTCGATCATCGAGCTTCAGCCGTTTGCTGCGAAATTTGCGAAGCCGACCGAATTTTTCGATGCCCTCGCAGAAGCTGTGGACTATCTGGAGCCTGCTTTCCGTGATTCCCATCTGACGTTTGCCAACATGGCGAGTTCCTTCGCACGTTTCCATGCCGATTTTCTGCACGCAGATGTGGGAGGTGCGTTGAAAAGAGGTCAGGAAGTGAGCCTCCACTTAAGGCACTGCGAGTTAAAGAAATATTCAGTCTCTGGTCTTCCTCGTTCAACATCGTCATCATTTGCACAGCCCATTTCTCAGTGTTTTCCCTTTGGAATATGTGAAATTATAGGCAAAAATAAATGAAATATTTCGACGAGCTCTAATACACGACTTGATCCATGCGATGCGGAGGATCCATGAATACTACCCACTCTCCAGTTTGGACGCGACACTGACGGCCTTGGGCAGATTGCCGGGATTGTTTCTTATGAAGACAGCGCTGATCTAATAGGAATACCACATGCAGCTTTCTCACTAGCCTGGTAAGGATACCACAGTAGCTGTAGTTTCCTTACAGTCTTTCTCTTCCTCTACCTTCTCTTCTATCTTGGTTTTTGTCTTGCTTTCTAATCACTCAGAGGTCACCATGCATCAGCTGATCGAGGAGGTGATTGAGTTGAGGCAGGTTGATATCGCCCTAGTGGTGGACGAACTGGAGAGCTATCGCAAGACAGCGCCAAGGCTGACATGGGAGACTGCGAAAAAAATCTACATCAAGAAGCATCCTGGGAGTGCTTTCGGGGACGTGGGAGGGTCGTTGTTTGGAGGGCTCTTTCGGTTGATTCTTATGGATTTGCTGGGAGATAGAAATTTATTGAGGATTTAGATAGAAATTTATGATATACCAGTAACCTGCTTCTATTCGAATGGACAAGCTACAACTTGTGGAGATTTGTCGGTTATCTCTTTCTAAAATCGATTATCTCTATCTAATAATCGAATTTACAGTATAAAAATTTCATACCCTTACCGTGATGACTTACCTTATCATACTTCCCCTTTCCCCCTCAACATTGCTAATCACCTCTGGCTGTTCTGGTTTGCTCTCTACATGGGTGGTGGCGCCTTAGTGGTTTTTGCAATGTACATGGCCATGCTGAGATTTGTTCCTGGATTTATGAACGGACGCTCTATGCCAGAGATGCCAGATTGGCAGGAGTTTCTTCGCAACGGCGCGGACCTAAAAAAGATGGCGGGTGCTTTGGGAGCAAGCCCCTTGCAAGCCAGCTCGCCGCTTTCGATGGAGGCAGGTTACGGTTCTTTCCGCACCGAAGACGATTTCAGCCTCGGAACAGCAGGAGGAGCAGCTCCGAGTGTGGCGATTTATGACAAGAACCAAGTAACAACAATTATTCACAATTGTTTTTTAAGTGGTGTTGTACTTGTTGTGATATGATCAGAAGATCCGCGAAATCTTTCCGTTCCTAAGTTCATGAATGTGAGGGTCTAATTCAAGGATCAACTCGGAGGTTCTTTGAGTGGAGCGAGTCATCTTGGCGGAGCGAGTCATTTTTGCGTTCCTAAGTTCGACCTTCATATTCATGAACTTAGGAAGGGAAAGATTTCGGGGATCTTCTGACCATATCATATCATTTGCCTGGCGATCTTGGTCATTTTGATGATCTTTATCCTTGTGATCTTTGTGATTCTTCTAGGATTATGACCTTGGCCAACAGTTGCACTGCTTGCCAGAAGAAGTTGTTGTATTATTATTTGCTCTAATTCAAGGATCATACCACGGAATTCCCTATAGAGCTGCCTATAGAGATGCCTATAGGGCTTCCTATAGGGTTTCCTATAGGGTTTCCTATAGGGTTCCCTATAGTGCTGCCTATAGAGATGCCTATAAGGCTTCCTATAAGTCCGCGGTCTCAAATACGGGGTCCTATAGGGGGTCCCTATACGAAGGCCCTAATAGGCGTTTCCTATAGAGCCTCCTATAGGGCTCCTATAGGAAAAGCCTATAGAGTTTTGGTTTACCTCTTGTATATATACCTGTTAATTTGCTCTAATTCAAGGATCATACCACGGAATTCGGAGGTTCTTTGAGTGGAGGTTCTTTGAAGACGTCACCGGCCGATACTGCGAAAAACGCTGTTTCGACACTGTATGCTATGGGAGCCAAGGCAGCTAGTGCGGTTTCCCATGTAGCGGTAGCACGGGGCATGCGACGACGTGCGCCCAGCGATGAGCCCAGCGTTGTCGCGAAATCCTCATTGGATGACATCGAGGCAGGAGTGATCAAGATTATGGCCCCTTTTTTGTGTGCCCATCGGATCAATATTTTGAGCACCATCTTCATCTCTTTGGTTGTTTTTTTTTTCGGAATAATTTTGTTGTTAGTTCCTACAAGAGTATTGAATAAGTACAAGGAAAATATGGCACCGAGATGAGGGAGCCAGCTATACCGAGATGAGGGAGCCAGCTAAAAAGGAATACATCAAGGGAACACTCTTATATCGAATACATCAAGTGAAGAACACTCTCACTCTAACACAAGTCGCAATGTGGCAGACATGCGTTCGCCAAGTGATGTACGCCATCCACTGCAACGTGCGCCATCGTCCAGCTCGAACAGCAGCTCCGACAACTCTGAGGCTGGATTGCTATCGGCAATGAATTTAAGACCGGTTCACTACTGGATTATTATTCACTGGAAGTATCAAAGCTAAAAAAACACTGGTTGTAAGTACATGTAACTCGCTCCTCTTCTAATAAGCAACGCCGCAGCCGCCCCGTCACAGCTTGTGGATCCTTTTGCGCCTAGCGCCAGTATGCCAGATCCCTTTGCGCCTAGTGCCGTCGGTTCATTTGGGGATATGGGTAATTCTGCATTAAATGTGAATTGGAGATAGAAGATAGAAATTTTGTAGATGGGATAGAAGAAATCTTAATCTACTAGTAGGCAGACTACATTTATTCATGAGAATCAGAATGATTTTTTTGATTTTTTTGTTGTTGAAGATTTGCACATGTTTCATCTCTCAGATTTCGGCCACGGGCCAGATTTCTCTAGAACCGGACTGGAGAGTTCGGCACCAAGCTGGAACACGGAGAAGGATATGACGCCGACACAGGACGCAGGCAAACGAGGAGGCTTTGATGATGTTTTCGAACTAGACGACATTTTGTCGTAAGTACTTAAGTAGGTAAGAGAAAATCAACATCTTAGATAAGAGAAATGAACATCTTAGATCATCAACGTTTTTGACTAGAAGTAGTGTTGAAGGAAATGAGAGTACTCTCCTGAATGGATGTGGGTTTCGCTTAAGTAGAAGGCCGGTGGACGACAACTTTAGGGGAAACACACTCAGGGGAAAACCACTCAGCCTTCGATGATTGGGGAGCTACTACTACTAGTACTACAACTTCTAGATATATCTGTATTTAGGTAGCTCATTATGCTCGCTGAACTCTCGTTATCATGTTAAGAGAATTTTCCAAAAGTTGTAGCTATGGTTTACTCGACAGCAATTACCAAGGAGAATCACCAAAATGTATCATGAACAGTACCGTGTTAACTTTCATCATTCGTCCACAACTAGAAGTAAGAATTATCCTTGTCACAACATCCAAGATATGAGTCGAAATTGTCATAAAGGCTGACTTAGAGAAGTTTTGAAACGATTGTTTAACTGTGTTTGCGCATAGATATTTCAGAAGATCACTCAATATTTCGTAACAAGCTCTCGCTCACTTCGCATTGGAAGTTCTACTAAGAATATTAGGTTTCTGACCGCACTATCAGGTTTCCAACCTCTTGCACAGTAGTTGCATAGCAGAACAGGTAAAGAAAACAGGCACAGACAAAGAAATGAAGCAACCATCTCTACTCTTATTCGAAGTTGTATCGTCCACTCGAATGGTCGGTTGTTGTATAGCTAGTAAGTATGTCATAGAAGTAGATCTAGAATGTAAGAATACAAGGTAGTTTTCGCTTCTATATTTATTATTCGCAACATACCTCCTTCCCTGTTAATATTTACGACGTTCGTGGTCAGAACTAACAGAGAAGAACTAAAGAAGAACAACAAACCTCGACTTATATATGATGCAATGAACTACATCAGAAGTTCTTCGTTGATCAAGAACAGTATCGGGAAGGGAATGAGTGTGCAGTCTGATACCAAGGAGGAGCCCAGCTTCCGAGGTACCAAGTTTCCGAGGTACCAAGTTTCCGAGGTAACAAGCTTCCGAGGTACCAAGCTTCCGAGGTACCAAGCTTCCGAGGTACCAAGTTTCCGAGGTACCAAGCTTCCGCATACACTGCTGCGCTTATTTTCTTTCCGACTCTGTTGTCAACGGTAGAACTAGAAGTTTTTAAACATCAAGAGGGACGAAGCAACTCGCTTGTAGCTGATCTGTTAGGGAGTGCCTTGGCTCCAGGGTAAACAGACAGCACTGCGTCTTTTCACTCTGATTCTAGCTCGTCAGGCTGTACTGCACTACACCAGACCGAGCTATCCGTTAGCCAATCGCTCGACTAGAGCTTTTTCATCAATGAAATACACGAGTATTCTTCTACTTATACCCCATGCCCATAATCCTTATAATGTAGGGAGCTAGGCAGGGAAAGGCTAGGCTCGAATCAGAGCTTAACAGGCACTCTCCGATGTATGAATATGAGTCAACAAAAATGAATCAAAGTCGATATTATGATTCTACTCATTACGGAACAAAAAGGTAGCTTGAATAATCATCTAAATATTATTTTCGAAAAACTTAAGACAGCCTCACGACCCTCATGATTCAACATCCCAAGAAAAAGGTCTACTTTTATTATATTTCCAGCAAAATCGTCCTTCCCTCACAGATTCAAATGTTCATTTCTCTTCTGCCTCTCAATGGAACTCCGGTGCTGATAAGCCACACAATATTAAAGTCAACCGAACTCATATAGTAAATCACAGGATTAAATATAAAATCATGATGTTCATAGATATGATCATAAAAATATAATGAGTGGAAGTCCTGGTACAAAGATAGATGATGAACCTCTTGTGGTCACATTGATAAGAATGAATATTCCCTATGTTCCTTTATCCTAACCTATGGTCCTCCATTATCCTCTAGTACAACATCTCAATCATTGCGTGTCATGCATGATATCCTCTTGCATAAAATGCTCGTTCCTGTGATCTTAAAAAACCCAAAAATGGATACCGACGACGAGGATGCACTAGGGGTAACACGAACGACGAGATTATCCTCATTTCACGTCGTGTTTTCACACCAACGAGGAGACTATCCTTCTTTCGTCTATTGCTACCCGACCCATAAGATTGAGCATTATTTCCTCATTCACAGCTATCACTGTCATCCCAGCAGTTCTAAAAGAAACCCACTGCTACGACGCTACCATTGTCATCCCATTTCATCCGATAGCACCCCACTGCTACGCCAATGTCTGAAAGAAGGCGGACATTGCGAAAAAAGAACGCTGCTATGTATACGACTATGTATACGACTATGCGTGCGACTATGTAGACGACTATACAGGCGACTACGTGCACGACTATGTATACGACTATGTATACGACTATACATACGACTATGTAGACGACTATGTAGACGACTACGTATACGACTATGTATGCGACTACGTATACGACTATAATGCGCACGACTACGTATACGACTATGCACGCGACTACGTATGCGACTATGTATACGACTATACATACGACTATGTAGACGACTATGCATGCGACTATGTGCGCGACTCTGTATACGACTATTTATGCGACTATGTATGCGACTATGTATACGACTATGCATACGACTACGTATACGACTATGCATGCGACTATGCGTGCGACTATGTACGCGACTACATATACGACTATGTATACGACTATGTATACGACTATGCATACGACTATGCATACGACTACGTATACGACTATGTATGCGACTATGCGTGCGGCTATGTATGCGACTATGTAGACGACTATGCATACGACTATGTATACGACTATGCATACGACTACGCATACGACTCTGAAGTTTTTCAACACACAAAAGTATCTTGTTTCTCATCGCGTACAGAAGATGTCATGTGCAGTGTTGCCGTCACAGTGAACAGTATGAGCGCGGATGTTGTTTGTAAATGTTATTTCGTGTTCGCTAACAGAACTAGCCTCTACCGCAAAAAAAAAAATCTACTGGTGCTACGGACAGCACTAGGAGAGACGCACACATGACAAGGCTCCATGGCGCGCAATTAAGGTCTATGTATAGTACGACTACGCAAGTAGTTAAAAAAAGTGGACTGTCACTAAGATGAAAAGAAGGACATACTATGGCGTAGCAACTCGAATACAACTTGTTCTTAGACTCTGAAGCAAAATGACATGGGAGCTCCGTTTCTTTTCTCGCTTGCCTTTCGTATTGAATCGCACTGCGGTTTTCACGGACGAAGTGCAGCGTCAGGATGTTTATCTCAAAGTAGTTCCAATGATACTGGAGACGAGGCAGATGACAGATGGTGAGGACGGTGTTGAAGAGACTCCTATAGTTTCATCATTGACCACTTCTGGCGCAGCTCTCGCTCTCGAAGAAAGTGAGCCGAATCCGTTCACCACCTCTTCAACGTCGTGGTTTCCGCATGGTGTGAAAATGCGAGGTGGGACTTCAGACGCGATCGAATTAAAACAGCTGTTAGAGGTGAAGAAACGCGGAGCGCGAAAGTACAAGAAACATCGTGTGCCAACGTCAATGTCTCCGACAGCGACGACTGCACTTAATTCTTCATCAGTTAATTCGCTAAATTCACAATTATCGGAGCACGCAGCGGTTGGGCGACTGTTTGAAAATTATACGGTGTTAGAAAGCAGCTTTGTGACGCTGAAAAAGACCATCCAGAAGCAGTATTTCGAGCTGCCTACAAGTGCAAAAAAATCTTCGTCAAACGCAAACCCGAAGATTCTGATCGAAAACACTGTTCTCTTCCACGTCGAGTCAGAAACCTATTGGTACTCTGTGTCTTTGGAGGGGGACAAAGCAGTACTGTTGTACGATGCAGCCGAAATGCTGTTGGAGAAGGAGGTTCTCGAGAAGGCAGTTGCTTCAGCATTGGGACAGCCTCCTGAGAGGGTTCAGAGGGAGACAGAGGATGAATCTCTAGAGAAGTGTCCTACGAAGATAGACGGAGAAGTCTCTGCAGCATCGTCTTGTCTTGATGAGACACCGATCTCATCCAGTGAAATATCTTCAACAAGAAACAAAGACGTTTACGTGCTTGTTGTAGGTGGCTATCCCGAATTGATTGCGCACATTATGATGAATGAAGCTACTATTCCTGATGCAAAGTCAGTTGCTGGCAAACAAGATTCTAAATCACACGGGCATCAACATCAGCTGCAAGAGCTGCTGATGATATGCGAAATCCACTATGGGATTTTGCAGAAGCTAGTCCTGTAGGAGGTGCCGTTACTGGCATCAAAGAATCATGTGTAAACAAGCAGGTATCTTCGGTTCAGGCATACACAGGAGAGAGTCACGCAAGAAATCGGCTCTTGAAGTCATCGCTTCCTTGATCTACGGAGATCCGCGTCGGTCTATTCGGTTCTATCGGATCCACACAGTTGTTAGTAATCGGTTGCAAGAAACTTCTATCGGTCATCATGCGTCGGTCCTGAGTGCAGAAAAGTCCTAATAGATCTCTTCTTCTGATTCAACTCTCCCCTGCTTACGCATCCGCTCAGATTTCACCTCATTCATTGAATTCCTAGTAAACATGATTTCCTAGAAGTCTTGAGACGCAGCCGCGATTAGAGAGTAATAGTATCACAGTCCTCAGCACACAATAAAAGTCAACTTTCCCTGCAAGCAAACTTAGTGACTACAACTCTTAGTTTCTACTAGTATCTGTGTGAGAAATGCCGTCCAACCGATACGAGCAATGCCCCTCAGGTCGATCCGAGGGTGTGCCTGAGGCATATTATGCGACAGGAGGACAGCCTTCAGGCGTCTTTTCCTCTCCGGGATCGTTCTTTTCACTATCGCCACCGAGACGAGACCGATGCCCTGTTGAGGTGCAAGAACGGTATGTCCAAAATATCGTGGATGAGGTGGCAAGTTACGCAAGAGCAATGATCAGGATTTTTTTCATAGATCGGCTAGACAAGAGCAGTGATCGGCTAGACAAGAGCAAGTGAAATAAGTTTTTTGACTATCTTCTAAGGTTCACCAGATTGATTCTTTTGTTTTTTGTTTCCTAGATAGCTGATAGGGGCTTTCTTCTAGCTAACTATTTTTCTCTTACAAGAACAAGTATGAGATTCGGTTTCCTCTAGGGAGTATCAGTTTAACCTCATCAACATCTACGTCCGTGACAAGAGCATCATAGAATATCAACATAAGCACCCTGTCACCACTCTAAGAACCGATCGAAATTTCTCCGAGTGATGATGGCTCACCTCATATGCGCTCACCAGAGGACTGGCAGTCGAGCTCCTTCGACGATGCAGATGATGAGAAGTCTGATGACTACACGGATACAAGTCCGTTTCTGAGTCCCACTACGAGGAGTGAAGAGCTACCGCCAGGTACTGATTAATCCTACTACCTATTAAGTAGGAGTTACATTCACGACTCCCTAAGAAGTATGTAAATGAGTTAAGTACATTCACAACTTGTTTCTACATTTTAAAATGCAACATTAATGTTAATCATGATTATACGCTTTCAACAGAGGTTGTAAGTAAATGAACCTCCTCCTCCTAACCTACCCCAGCGCCTCTAGGTCCTCCCTGTGACATTATTTCGGTTGATCTATCGGACACAATGCCTTTTTAGCATAAACATGCATTTCCAAAACATTCTTCGGGAACACAGACTACGCCTTGTCCGTCACGTCTGGCTCCTCGAGAGCGGAAGCGGAGACGAAGTATCCTAGTCGAAGGAGTGCTCTTCTGCTGCTGGTGTTGTTTTTGGTGGTTGGAAGCCTCCTGGGCTACATGTTTGGAATTTCGGTCACACCGGCGCCACTATCTTCATCTGGTACAACTAGTACACGACCAGGAGGACCAACAACAAAACTATCATCATCAACAAAACTATCCTCAACAAAACTATCATCAACAAAACTATCATCATCATCGTCATCATCAGGTGCAGGTGGTGGGCCACTAAAATATACTACAGAAACGAGCAGCTTCCTAGCAGGCGGAAGCATAAACAAAGTCGACGTGACGTTCTCTCCGGCTCTCGCTCCTCCCTTCCTCTCGACCGCATGGTTTGTGTCGAAATTTGGTGGGGAACAGGATCTAGACTTAAGGCTCAGCTTTCAATGGTCACCATTGAGATTGGAGTCACTGAGATCGAAGAAGCAACTTCCCCTTGAGAGGAGAACAGGGGAAAAGGAAGGAAAAGGGGAGAGCTTTGGAGGGGGTCTCTTCCGTTCAGCATCAGTGACCATTGAGTGCTGAGCTTTAATAGACCATTCTCTTGGACGAGACCACCACCTAGGAGGGTTCAAACATCACGGACGAGGCAACAAGAGGAAAAACTGGAATTCCATTCAGGATCATGAACAACATGTTGGAGGACATAATTTGAACAGGACTTCCGGATCCTCAGAACACGCAACATCCATCGCAATCGCGAGAAAGATTGAGACTTCCCCGACAAGCCGTGGCTATTATGCCAAGACGAAGCAAGAACTGCACAATGGACTACATGGCGTAGGAGTAGTAGTAAGACACCAACAACATGAAGATCTACAACAACCACACCACGGCAATCATCACTATCATGATGATGATGTTGATGTTGAGCCTCAATCGCAACAACTACACCATGGTAAAAAGAGTCGTGGCAAAAATGACGCTCCTAGTATTGAAGCTGCTCCATCCTTTCTCCTCAACATGTGGCCTCCTAGTACAACAATCTTCGGTCAGCACAAGAATCACAACTCTTCTTCTGCAATTTTTGGCGAACACCTACCTACGTCTTGGAGTGAAGCTTTGAGTAGTTTCCTAGGTCTGTCCAGTACAGCGGATGCGGAAGAAAATGTCCCCGGCTGTGACGCAAGCATGTGCAAAGCTTCTCAACATAAGGACAAGTGCATTCCCGAAGAGAAGCAAGCTGACATAGTAAAAGGAGCAAAAAAATGCGAACTCTATCGCCTGGGAGACGGATCATTCAATCGATATATGGCTTTTGGAGATAGTAGATGAGGAATTTTTCGTCTATAAAAAGGAGTACGTGAATTATAATAGTAGGAAGGTGGCGGATCATCGCGGTGTTAATGAACTACAATTGAGATGATGGAGTGTCACTTATAATATTTCTAGTACCGTCTTTCCATCTCTTCACTTATAATATGTAGCACCCAGCATCCTCAGAGGCGAGTAGGCGCCGGTGGGTCTCGTTGTGCAGGATCCATAACCTAACCTAACCTCAGCTTCGTCAGCAATAATGACCTATCCTCTTATACAGATACTATCTCCCCACGTAGTCTTCAATTATAATCTATCACGCTATAATCTTCTTTGTAATAACTACTTCTACGGCCACCTACAACAATATCGTGTAGCTTACACGTTGTAGATGAGGTCCCAAATACTCTGCCGCCCCAACAATATCGTGTAGCTTACACGTTGTAGATGAGGTCCCAAATACTCTGCCGCCCCAACGATGACGCCCCAATAGCACGTACCACGTGCGAGGCGATCGGGTCGCGCGCGAACGAATAATAACAATAAAACAACAATATCGTCCCATCCCTCCTATCCCTTCCTCGCTTCATTGTTTTCCCAAAGATTGAGGAGTATTGCGCGAAGGCGATGGATCCTGTTTTGTGCGGTGTGGATACCAATCGCCGATTAAAATGTGGTGGCAATCCAAGTGGGGCTGTGTGGTTTATTATGGGAATTGATGCTTACCGAAGTATGAACCATTTTACATACGGTTAGCAGTTTACTCTCATTCTGCTTCCTGAAATTTGTAGTTCGACGATTCTTGGGTAGTTGTAGAGGGACCACCGGATAGAACAACGACTACCACAGAACAACGTGCTATAATTATACTTACCTTATTACCACGAGTATTAAGGGTAGGCTAAAGGTGCTTTTGTTACCGTTTGTTACGGCTCTTCTAAGGGGGACAGCCATAACAAGCGGGATAAACGAACACCAAAAACCTACCTGTAATAGTAAGTATGGCGCAACCTTGTTACCACTGGTAAAGTAGTAAGTATGACACAACCTTATGAGAGTCCGTCTGTTCTAATCTTCAGCCAGAGCACTGTCACGATGCACGCACAAGTCGCAACAAGCACCTTTTGGTCACGGACATCTGCATTCCACGTTCGTTTTCGCCTGAATGCACGGAGACGAGAAAGGACAAGGTGGCAGACAAGTGGCACTTTCTGCAGTTGAAAGATTACTTTATGCTGATGGGTAGTGGTAGCTTTTGATTAGACTTTCCTGGTAGTAGGAAAGTCTAAAGTGCAGCTCTTTGTTGTACTGTGTCCTCGACGATGTGATGAGGCTGTCATATTATATTGATCCGAGTACATTGTGTGATGAGGCCTTCATTTTCATATTTTGTTGACCCATTATAGGTTACACCTCGACGTGTAAAAATCATCATCTCCTCTCTACTTCCGCTTTCATAGCCAGCAGTTCGCTCATCGCTATCTCCGGCGACTGGTGGGGATATGAGAAATTTCAGTGCCCGCATACGCCAAACAATGAGGTGGTCGCTGTGAAGGTTGAGAGAGAGGAGACCGCATCCATCCGCGAACAAGCGCAGGCGTTGAATCCCGAACCACCAAACGTGGAGGAACAGCCAGAGCCACAACCGACACCAGAGGAAACGCCTAAGGAAAGCTGTTGTTGCTGAAGAAGCAGTTGGTCTTTTTTAGTAAAAAGAGATAGTTGTTGTGCTGCAGTGAGGAAAAAAGATTATACTGGTAGCCTACTGAGGAGAAGAGACTACAAGTAGTTTAGAGGTGGAAGAGAGACTGCAACAAGTAGTCTAGTAGAGGGGAAGAGAGGACGATCATAGACTTGGATGAGGAGAAACTAGAAAGTCTAGTTTTGAGGAAAAGCATAAGAAAGAGAATCAATTTTCAGCATAGGAGGAAGTCTTGAACAAAGTAAAACGATCATAAGTTGAACAGCCTATGGAATACCATAACTCATTATTTGGAGACCATCATAAGAACACCATCTAGCACACCAGAACCTAATTCTCATATTGACGTTTTGTCCTAACCAGTGGCTTACCCAGAATTCATAGATGCCATGCATGAAAATTCATTCCACACAAGTACACACATTCTACATAGTTTCGAAGAACATCGCAAGAACATACTTCATTCGCAACATATTACGTAGGCAGGCCCATCAATGATTGAAAAACAAAAATTTACATCGTAAGATATTTCTCGACTGTATTCAAGAAGACTCGTATCCACATAACGCTCACAGTACATACAACCTCTGCCATAGATATACAACCTGTTACGTAACAAAAGCCATCCACATAAGACTTACCTCATTCTCCCCGATTACCAAACGCAAGAACATGTCATTCCGATTGACCACTACAAGATACAGAATTCCGACAATGCAGCCCGTGATACATCTCCCGGCGTGTAAAATTGCGCGTGTCCCCCCGATGTGTGTTTCAACTCAACATGATAAGCACTCCAGGTTTTGTGATGGCTCGGAGGATTGAGGGAATCACTTCCATCAGGTCTAGAAACGTAATAGAAAAGTCTTATCAAGAACAGCGAAGTATATCTACTAAGCATCAATGAATCATGGGAGAAGCCATGTCCCTACGTCCGGTCTCGCTGGTTGCTCTTGTCGGCATTACTACCGGTGTTTTCGTTGTGATTGTAGAGCAAACTCTGCACATTGGGGGCGTGAACTTAGTGCATGGGCAGAATGTGGATGACCTTTACTTCATCTACGTGTTGTTAAGGCAACCAAAAGAGCATTCCCAATGCCAACACCCTCCCTGGCTTCTTTTTCAAGTAGAAAAAGGGCACGGAGATGGTCTCAAGGATGCGACTATGGTAACTCTAAGGCTGCAGGGATTTTACGTTTTTGCGATGACTATCTGCCTCATCGACCTCTACACGCACAAAATCCTACTGAAAGAAGAGGCACATCCCATCGCATCTTCGAACCTCCAAGCGTCCGCTGCGAGGATCGTGAATATCGTGTACGCGTTAGGGCTTATTTTTTTCCTTGTTTTGCCGCCAGCATTTGCGCTGGGCATCGAGTTCTTCAGCAGAGTTACAGATGATCTCCCTGTGGGAACGTTCCTGAGCGTGGTTCCACCGACCTGCCTGTTGCTGTTGTTCTTCCTCGACTACGACAGGTTTTGCAGGCGCATGGGGAGCACCGTATTTCTCCCGGCTTTGATTCTTGCCTACGACGGAAAATTAGCCTCAACTGCTGCGGGAAAACTGCGAGCACCGGGAACCATTGCCCTGTTGCAGTTTTACTTGATGTCAATTTACCTGCACAAGACACTTAGTCGTCGAAGAACTTTAGACGTCAACAGGAATGCAACATCACGGAGCTACATACGACTTATCGTGGAGCTTCTCGCATTATTTCTGCTGTTTCTTTCACCTCTCGCAGTGATGAGTCTATCGGGAGAGATCCAGCTCTTGACTCTAAACGGTCCATGGTACGCGTTCCTGCCAATCTACGCGTCTTTGCTGTTGCTGACAGTTTGTCACCATATACTACCGGTCTGGACAGACCTTCTGAGTGGCTCTTCAGCACCAGCAGAAAGTCCTTCCACTCCTCAACAGCATCCGTTCAAAAGCGACCTCACTCTCTTGGAAAATGCGTTTCACTTTCTGCTGTTATTCTACGTTTTTTCGCATGCCTGGTGGGGCCTCGCTTATCGCGATTGGCTGCTGGGCTTGCCGCAGGTTCCAATGCTTGTGCTAGGACTTGCACTGTTGCACGGAGTTGCACTGGGGTTGTTTGGGAAAAACGCGCCGTTGGTGCGCAATTCTGTCACGGCAGAAGAAACAACTTTGCTGGGTAAACTGCTTCTGGGAGAAGATGGAAAATGACCTATGAATAAGTGTCTGTCATCCAGGGAACACAGAAGTTGTTTGGATGCGTATTTCCTGTACAGAAATCGCTCTTCTTCACTGATTGTTACACTAGACAAGGTTTGTAATCGGCAGATAGAGACCGCTCGGAAGAGTTGGCAAAATGCGAGCCGCGAAAATTAGAGGCTGTCGTAGCCTTCCTGGTTGAAACTGCTAGTTGTGTTTCCCGTGTTTTGATTCAACTTGACATGATATAAGCACGCCTGAAACATTTCTTATTTCTGAGGAGTGTGTGAGTGATGGCGACTTAGGTATGAATGTACTAGACCTTTGTGAGCCTAGTAGCAGTAAGATGCGATGTAGTTGTTGATCTAAGACGTTGTAGAGTTTGCCTAAGTACTAGTAGTTGTAGGTAGGTAGTGTAGTCTGTAGGATCCCTACCTCCAGGAGAATGTATCGCGCAACGGAGGCTGCCCACTTGCTCCAGGGCCACTCAGAGTTCCCCTTCGTTGCTGCAGCTGTGGTTGTACTGGTGTTATCGACACGCCTGCTCTTCCTCTGTGATTCAGTTAAGGCTTGCTCAACTAATTCAACATCTTGAGAATCAAGCGTCCCTGGTCCCTTTTGCTTTTTGAAGGGGGATACATGCTAAGGATGGGCTTCGGTGGGGTGGGAATTTGGGTAAGCTCTAACTCGGAGAGTGCAACAGCTGGAGACTCAGGTGGCGCGGGTGGATCGTCTGGAGGAGGTGGGAACGTTTTTATCGTAGCAACCTTGCCGCCACCTGTTGTAGGCGACGATGGCGGTGCAGTGGCGACATTAAGCGCGTATGAGCAAGCTTTGGCAGGGCTGTGCACGAATGGAACCTTGTATGTTTCGGGTTCCGGGTGTAGTACGCCTACAAACTACGCGTTGACGACCACGACAACCTCGTTTTTCGGTCTGGTAGGAAACGGAAATGGGACCTCAGGAGGCAATCCAACAACGGTGACGTACACGACAACGATTGATCTGATAGCAGCTATGAGTGAGGCTCTAGCCTCATTGAGTCAAGCTGGGTTTGCACCACCAAGAAATAGAGCTTTGTCGATTTCTTTGGCAAATAATCCTAATTTCGCGGACTTACCAAATTCTGTAGACCTCTTACGAAAAGCCCTGCCACGACTTCGCTTCCACACGTTGTTCAATGTTGCTGTTGCGCTTTGTCTATCCGCTACGTTCTTTGCCTTTGTCGCGGCGCCGTCGCTCTTGTTGCCAGCAAACTTGGACTCGAGCATAACCGGTTGGGTTTTGGCGACCTGGCTCGCGGCATTCTTGCCGCTGGTTTACGTGCTGAACCTGCATGTATTGGAAGCGCTACTGCATGGCGGAGGAGCTGGCGCTGGTTCGCAGGATGCATTCGGCTACCTGTCGGGGTATGCTGAATTAGCACTATGCCTGCTGTTTGCACATGCGGTCTTGACGCTCAGGGTGTTCTTTTATGGGAGGACAGGATATTAATCATCGTTCGTATTTGTGAGTTTGGATCCTCATTGGTCAACATCTTCATCATCACTAATAGTGATCGATCCCTGCTCTAATCCCTTCTCGAGCGCCATTCCAGCGTCCTCCAGTCTTGGTTCCAGCGTAGCGAACAAGGTCGAGCTTTGTCTGCAGTAAGAGCGCAGATTCACGGCGCGCAGATGTTAGCATATTCGCAGGGTAAGACCGAAGCAACAAGGGATTTGGAGTTGGCACAAGAGATGGAGTTGAAGAGGTTAGAGTACGAACGCATGACGCTGTCGACAAAAGCGGCACAGATAAGAGCCCGTGGCGATGAAACACCATCTCGCACACGCCAGTTGGAGATGGATACCCAAGAAAGGCAGCATCGGGCGGGCTCCTTGGGGGAGGATTACACTATGACAGAACAGTGCAACTGCTACGTGTTGTAGATAATTTCCTGGTCATGAAGATAGTCCTCAGAAAAACTCAGAGTAGGAGCACCTCTTTTCCCGTTGAAACTAAAACAGAAAAAGTACTTGTGAAACTAAAACTGAAAAATGGACTACTACTCCTCCGCTAACCACAGTTACAGGCGACACCACAGCCACAGAAGGGACCGCGATGACGACAAGATGGAAGCCACCGTCGACAGTGCTGGCATGGTCTTCGACGCTTCTGTCGATACCACACGAGAAGAGTCACGTCGCCTAAGGTCTTCACCCTTGGTGGTGGATGATAGACCATGGCAGGAAGATGGAGAATTGCTACAGAAAGGGGGGAGAGGAAACTCATTGGAAGAGCAATACGGCCAGCAGCGTTCGGACACCGGTCGGCATACTCCTGGTATTAAGGCTCCCGCTGAAGCATCCTCTTCCTCACCACCAGCCCTGGCTCTCTTTCTTCTCCTTGGAAAAGAAGCCAGGGATGCTCTCAGGGTCGTTAGGGCTTAGGCGGTAGAGCCTAGGGATGCGGTAGCTAGCTCTAATGGTAGTAAGAGAAGTAGTGGCAGCAAACGAAGTAGTGGCAGTCGGAGAAGATCTTCTCCACCACCCCAGCCACCACCAGCGGTTGTTATGCAGGCTGCAGAGGAGGAAGCTCAGATTCCAACAGTGAGTCGACGGCCGAGCTATATGGAACGGAGTATGGAGGCTTATTTGGAGAGGGAAGAGCGTCGTAGTGAGCAGGAGCGGCGTAGTGAGGAAAGGACCAGGAGTCGTTCTCATAGTAGAAGAGAAGGAGAACATGCACATGTTGATGTTCTTAGGGGCAATCCATCTGGAGGAGGTCAAGTATGGAAAGAAGGGGATTCGCACGCTATGGCACCACCTGAAGTTGGAGGTGATTCGAAAGACAAGCCACAATCGTACCGTAAATCGAAACTCCAAGGAAGATCTTCGCAAAGCAGTGAAAGTAGGGCACAGATGAATGCAGCAGCGAGCAGTGCTGGTGAGCAGCAGGTACCAGTGAAGGGTGAGCAGGGAGCACATAAACCCGGCGCAACGCAGCCAGAAATAATAGGTCTGCCTGGCGAGATGATGCAGCCCACCGATAGGACTGGTCACGGTGTGCAGTTTACGCCTCAACATCAGCAGTACCGATATGAGGTAGAAATTGACGATACGAACGATAGGAATGTTGCAAACCCTCACGACCCTCACCAACAGCAACAAGAACTACATCATTACCCTCGGCCACGAGAGCCACCGACGCCTTCTAGGTCGCGCTTGCACCGGCCACCGCCTGCGCTTGACGCGCTGGCGCGAGAAGCAGCAGTAGACTGGTCTTCCGCAGGCGCTGATTGGATTAGAAAGCAGAAAACAGCGCTGTTGTTTGCTCTTCTGGACACGTTTGGTCGGTTGCAGGCGACCCTGTTCGTGCTGTTGTATGTTACTATGGAGATGCAGATTTTTGATTGTCACAGCTGGACTTCCCTACTGGATGGCCTGCTCACAAGTAGACGCTAATAGCTACCTAAGAGGCACCATGACATGACATGACTTTCTGAGTCTAATGCAGCTCTCGTGATTCTGAATCATTTTTTAGGCTTGAACTGTAAAGAACTAAAAATTTTTTACGCAAGGATATTCTAGGTCTCTTCTTTCAATACTGATAAGATAACGCTGTTCATACTCCGCCTCAACTTCTCCCTCTATTGGCTTCCAGCAGTGCAAGTTTTCCTCGAAGAGGAACTTGGTTTTCACCGGAAAGGCGTTTTGCTCGCGCTGTTCGAGGTCACCTTGCTGTTGATCTTCTTCCACGTTTTCTTTCCCTTCGTCGGTTCTGTGCTCACCGCACAGGGCACCCGTTTATGCAAAGTCCAGAATATCTATTGTGATCGCATCGCCGCAGAAGACCTGCGCAGTGGCGCCGCTTTTACGTCCCATGACCACCACGACCATCAAGACGCGAGATTGCTCTTCGCGAAGATCACTGTTTTTTTGAACTTCCAGATGGATGCAGTGACGTTTTTGATAGGCCGTTCGCTGTTGTTCCAGATGTCGAACGTGTACATTCTGCTGTTCGCTGCGTGCTTTTCTGCCTTGCGGAATCTTGGGGAATTAGGTGGCAAGTGGCAGGAGATCTTGATAGTCTTCGGTCAGAGCAATCCGGAAGATGAAGAAGAAGGTGCGGGCGCTTGGGTCAGATTGTTGTTGTTATGATGGCTCCGAAGAAATGAAGCTTTGTTTAGTCTCCCAAATAGTACATGTAAGACTATGCGAGACTCATGCCATGCCATGCCAATGAAGCTTTATAGACACCAGCAGCTACTATTTATACATCGAGCTTCGCGGATACTACCTAAATTGATGAATCCTCTTCACAGGAGAGAGATTACTTATGCTCCTTTTCTACGCATGAGGTAAGGTGTTCCGGGCGATCTTCATTATGTTGAATCAATGATCTACTACGCAAGAAGAACATGATCAACAAGTTGTTTTACGTCATCCACACATCTAACTCCCCGCATGCTAGACACTGTTGGAGCAGTATCTGTGCAACTTCCTTGGTCGTTGGAAGTAGACTACCGTGTGCTAGCCTTGGAGAACTGGGACCTCCTGACGAATCCGGACTGTGGTGGGGACAAGAATCGCCCGTTCCCGCAACGTAGTGACACGACGGTTAAAATCTGCTTTTTGAATACGCAATTGAAGGTCCGCTCTGTGCCCAAAGCCTTCGAGCTCTACCACAAATACGTATATTTTCAGCATACGGATAATTTGGTATCACCGGAGATGGTTCTCGAGGGAAATCCTTCAGCGGAGCAAAGTATACGGGCTGCTGCCTTGAGTCCAATAGGGTCTCCGGTTGCGTCAGGGTCGCCTGTGATTCTGTCGCCGTCTGGAGGTGGGCATGGGAGGGATAGTCTTATGGAGTAGGAGGTTATTATTCGTGAAGATGATGGGTTCCTGTAAAATAGAAGTACTTATGTTTGACCCCACGTCGGCGAAGCTCATATAAGTTGTATCTAATAGTGCCAATGCCGCAACCCTGTCGATGAATCTGTCGAATATGAGCACTGGTGGGCATCCGAGAAATAGCCCTACCAATTCTATGAATGTCCCGATGGAGCAGCAAGGTCGCTATGTGACGGCAGTCGGAGGCATTGCTTCGCCAGCAGGATCTCAGACTGCGATTGCAGGTTACGGTAAAACTGATAGTAGATTAGTAAGAGAAGTGCACTCGACGTTCACTGTGAGTATGGCTTCACTTTTAAAGAGAAGATGGTAGTTTGACACGTATAATACGAATCGCCTGTGCTTTTTTTAGAGAGGTGACGAGACCTCCTGTCTCAGTTTCTTCTAAAGATCTGCTTACGTGGCCGATGGACGCAGATCGCCTACGACGAGGATGAGACCCGACTTGATGTCGGAATTGAGTCAGCAAGATGCGGCACTACTGTCGGAAGGTGTGCATCGGATGGCAGCAAGAGACGTTGAGTTATGCTGGGTAGTTTTTCGAGTGAGACAACTAAGCACCAACGGAAAATATGCTAGACTGCTGAAGATCATGTTCTCTAATCTCCGTCGCCGGCGTCTTAAATCTGTCGAGTTTGCAGCAAGAGGGGAGCAGTAGTTGTAGTAGTTCGTCTACTGCAGTGCAGTTTGCAGCGGCTGTGGACCGTACTAGATACCAAGAGGGTGAGCTCGCTGCAATTGCTGCCTCAGACGCAGAGCAAGTGCCCACTATACCATCGCGTACATCCTCACGCTTCGGGGCTCTGAGGATCCAGACCGAGCAGGAGGGGTCACCTAAGCAACAAGGCACAACAGTTCATAAACATGACTCACATGATCCAGGAGGAGCTTCATCAAGCCAAGTACAACAGCTTGATGGTGCGTACTATAATGAGTATCACCTCCAACATCGACGCATGAGTCCATCAAATGTTGCACAACATCATGATCTTCTCCAACAACAAGAAACTTTAGAAGATCAGGGTCAACATCAAGCGGGATCACAACGCGCTCATCATCCAACGATTGCACTAGCAGCTAACGGACGGGGCAATTTAGATCCTGACACTACGGAGTTTGTCGTGGGCCGTCCGTCGCTAGGTCCTTCTACAGGAGGTTCGTCTGGTGGAGGGTCCAGGGGAGGACATCTTCAGGGAGATCCAATTAGAGATCATCCGTCTCAGCATCCTCATCCAGGAGCCGAGGATCTGACTATGATGGAATGCCTCCAAGCAGAAATCCAAGACCAGATGTTACTACGGTTTCGTGTACGTTTGTACGCGAAGATTCTGGCTTCTTTGCTCTTGTTCGCAGCACCATTGATCTGGCCAGCAACGACCGCAGAACACTCGGTGGGTCTTTTTGCGAATCACTACCGAATCTCAAGGGACGAAGCATCGTACCTATTGGAAATCGACGAGGACAGCAGCAATTATGGAACAATAAGTGAAGACTGACTGTAAGACTTAGACCATTTAAAAACAAGCACAAGGTGGTCGTGGTACTAGCACAACATTATACTGAAGAAGAAAACTGTACATTTACTGAAAACTACATACTAGTAAAGGTGGTACTAGCACATACTGAAAACTGCATACTGTTACTGAAAGATCATGTAGCAGGTGGTACTAGCACATACTGAAGACTACATACTGTCTTACTGAAAGGTGATAAAACTAAGCTTCTCACATTGTCTAAAAGATAGCGGTTCTGGAGTCGCCTCTATCGAAAATCGCTTTCGTTGGTGGCCTAGTCTATGCGCTTCTCGATGTGTCGGAATGGGCAGTGTTGACTACATTTTTTCCGCAGTCTGACCGATTACAACCACGCAACATCAAAGACGTGGAGGCAAGTAATAAAGCTTTGCACTTGGGGATGCTGAGCTTTGCGGTGCTGTTGGCGCTTTTATTCTTCCATGTCAGTTGGAATCCGTTTAATGTTGTTATGGATGGGTCTCTTTTCGTTTCACTCTGCTTGTTCTTGTTGTGACATGTTGCCATGTGACATGACATGTGAAGAGGTTCAGAACAGCAAGCATCAGCAGGCATTCCCCTGAAATTGCTTGCTTTGACTAAAAGGCTAGTGCGTTCTCTAACATAGAGTTGTTACGTCGCCATGTGGAGCATCACAGCAGCACGGTATCAAAGCAGGGTTTAGAGGCCAGTCGGGATGCCAAGATTGCGGAGATTTTGTCCGTCGCGAGCGACTACTGCCTGTGAATAGGAAAAGGAGAAGATGGGAACATAAATTGGTCGTTGAATTTTTACAGAATAAAAAGAAAGACACGTATTCATTGTTTAGCCCAAAGTTACTTCGTCTCAGATTTTGTCGAGTAACTCAGAAACTCATTGAGTGATTTGATGGCACCAAGAACTTCGATTTTACTAAGCAAAACCGAGAAATGGTTACACTTCAGCTTCAACACTATTTGTTCCTTACGTGTTAGAACTAAGTACTTGACTTCATGCGTAGACTAGAGACAACTTTTATGCAGGGATAGATTTGAACAGTGACTGTAAAAATGAGAAAAACCATTTTGGATTCGTGACAGTTTCAGCTCGGCTTGCACAGTGATAGATTGTCCTCGAGTTGTACTTGGATCAAATATATCAGAGGAACCGCAGGAGCAGGCGTGTATGTTCCTACAGTCTAGCCGGCGTGTTCTTGATTCTGTTCGGAGCAGAGATGGACGCACAACTGTTGTATCGCGACAGAAAATGGAAAAGATCACGATTCTTGTTTCTGCTTCTGTACAATCAGATTGATGTGGAAACTGAATAGACCACACGATGACGCCTTGCTGCTGCTCCTACGTCCTTGGCTGATTTTTTTTACCTTCACTGTACGATACAGGCTTTCGGAGTGGACAAGGCATCGTGGGATCGGACCACACTGAAACAACTCTTGCGAGAAGGACCATCTTCACTTTAGAGAAGAACAACAAGAAGATGTTAAGGGTTTCCGAATTACATCCCTCACTACCATCCTTGGCTCCTTTTCAAGGGGGAAATGGGTCAAGGATGTTCTGAAGAATGCAATTCGGAAACCTCTAAAGATGTCTGGTACGTCTGCAGGCAGTGGCGCAATTGAAGACGATGGACGCCCAATTCCAGTGAACATCCCCAAGTTTTGGGGTAATGAAGAATCTTTTGTCGCTGATTGTATTCGAACTGGATGGATATCCTCGGAGGGACCTCAGGTTGCAGAATTCGAGAAGCAGTTTGCGAAGACCGTGAATCGTCAACACGGCATCGCATGCTGTAGTATGGCTTCGCGGCTTGTTGCCCTAGTGGTCCCTGACTTCTTGAAGGACCTTGTTGAAGCCTTCCTGCTGTGAGGAGAAATAAGTAGGTCTAAGTACTTAGAAGTAGAAGTTTCAAGATGTTGTATCCCAACAAGATGGATTCTTCGCGTGAGGAGCTCTAATTGTAACGGCACAGCGGCTTTGGACATTGCTTTCCATGTTGTGGGTCTTGCTGAGGGTGATGAGGTGATATTACCAACTTTGACGATCATTTCCTGTGTAAATCAAGTGGTGAAAACGCGTGCGAAGCCGGTGTTTGTGGACTCCTGCTCAGCCGCGTCATCGCCGTCGTCCAAAAGCTGCAGTCCTTATAATCTGGACTTAGATGCTGTGGAGAAAGCGATTAGTGAGAAAACGAAAGTGGTTCTAGCGGTGCACATTTACGAGTTTCCGTGTGACATGGAACGGTTACGTTTATGGATCGGAAAATACGTTTGACAACATCTCGACGACTCGACAATAACGCCCAGTTTGTTCACAAAAAAAGAGAACAAAAAGCAAAGGCCTCTAATGCAAGCACTGGTAGAGCGCGCCTCAGATAAGTATGGCAAAAAGATCTATCTGATAGAGGATGCAGCCGAACTTATCGGTGGCAGCTTCAAGGGAAAGCCGTGTGGGTCCTTTGGTACGAGTCAATTTTCCGATTGCAAATAAATTGTAGATGATACGAATCAACACTTTTTACATTTAAAAGTACCGATTCATTGTGGCCGTAACAAGTGAACATCCAAAGTAAGTGTGATCATTCATTTTCCACTCAGGTGACATTTCAACCGTTTCGTTTTATCCGAACAAGCACATCACAACGGGCGAGGGTGGAATGTTGTTGACTGACGATGAGGCAGTAGCGAAAAAAGCTCGGATGTCGCGAAATCTGTGTTTTGATCCGGAAAAACCGCGCTTCATACACGCAGATTTAGGTGCAAACTATAGGATGACGTGCTTGCAGGCAGCTTTAGGTCTTGCGCAGTTGGAGAATTTAGAACCTGCTATCAAGAGGAAGCGAGAAATTGGCCATCTGTACACGGAACTGCTTGTAGATGCGACCGCAAGCGATGGGATTCGCGACAGCGGTGCGAAATTAGTGGGCGAAAACATTCGATTACCTGTTGCATTCGACGAACATGGGTCTGAGAATATCTACTGGGTGTACATGATCGAGATTCTTCACCCGACGCTTACTTAAGGCTACAGACGAGAGTACAACAGAGAACCCATAGTCTTTGTTAGGTGAATCTGATAGTTCTAATTTTCAGCAAAGGACGTGATGGGAGCTCTCGGAAAAGCCAAAGTAGGCACGCGGCCTTGCTTCTACCCACTGCACATGCAGCCCGTCTTCCTCGATGCGGAGTCACCTTACTTTTAAGGATCACGGTATCGAAATGTCGCAGAAGAAGTTCAGTGTTGAAATAAAGTGTCGGCGCTTGAACACTACTACAATTCCACAATGAAAAATAGAAGTACAATAAGCTCAGCATGACGAGGACCGCAACGGCATAATGCAAGTACTGCTGCAGCCCTCGTCCCTGGGGTACGTTCATAGTGATCTCTAACACCTCCAGCCCCAACTCACTGCCGAAGACGCAAAAGCTTATCCGAATGCAGAACGCCTGTCCGCTAAGTCCTTTTATCTCCCCAGTGGCTTAGGCATGACAGACGCAGACGTTCATGTTATCACTCAAAGATTTGTCTCCGTCATGAAAGGACTGATCCAAGATTGATACTACCTGTCGTGAGAAGGATGATGAACTATGATGTTGAAAGTCTGGCTTGTCCCAGTTCAGAAATCGTGATGAGACGAGCACAGGTTTCGAAGCAAGTTCTACTTTCTGGCCTACCGAAGATCAATGGAAAGCTTTTCTGCCGTAGACTTGTGAGCCACTGATAGTGTTCGACGGTCTTGAAGGAAACATGAAGCCTCTGAGTCCTCCTTACCTGCACTATAATATCTGCGTGTGCATGTGCTCAACCTGTGAAATCTGCCAGCTGTTGGCCTTCCCAAAGTCACATCATCCACTGGCTGTCCTCTATGATAATTCGTCAAGGCTCTACGTCCACTCTGTCCTGCGATGAAATAGGTCCACTATAAACGAATCATGTTTGTAATTATACAAAGTCATGCCTTATGCTACCCACGAGGACAACATTTTCAAATTCAAGACAGGCGACATTTGAAAAGAGAAGCATTCATGACTAAGTAGCACACAAGTTCATTCTTGTCAACAAACTTTTTCTTAGAGTCAACAACTCAAGCTCCATCGTCCTTGAAGTAGAGCAACAACTCAAAAAAATGGAGAAGTATCGTCGCGTCGAAAAGGTCGAGAAGGAAAAGATTCCTCTCGGAACTATCAAAGTCACAGCCACAGGCCGCATTGGGACCTATGTGACCTACGCCGCAAAGTTGTTCAATGATGAGGGATTGAAGAGGTACTATTGATATTGTTGTGAGGATGATATGTCCATTATTTTCGTGTAAGTTAGTTGTAGGCTAGAAGAGTGACCTGGAAGCTCGAGTTAACTCACCAGTAAAGTTGCTTTTACATTTAAGTACTCAAATACAAGAATTCGACTTCCCTCTTGCAAACGCAACTATACATTTTTCAACTAATATCCTAATTAATAGTAATCCTCGTGTCTCAACTAATATCTTATTTAGTCACCCACCCACTCACGACCTCCACCTCAAAATGAACAGCATCACAGTGAAGGCAACTGGAACGGCTCTCGCTACCTGTGTCGCTACTGCGGAGGTGGTCAAGCGCCGTTTCAAGGGGTTGCATCAGATCACGAAGATTGGAACCTTGGAGATCGAAGATGAGTGGGAGCCGTTGGAAGAGGATTTGGATACGGTAAGTAGATCGACATCCTATCCTAACCCATCCTAACCTATCCTAACCCATCCTAACCTATCCTAACCTATCCTATCCTAACCTATCCTATCCTAACCCATCCTAACCTATCCTAACCCATCCTAACCTATCCTAACCTATCCTATCCTAACCTATCCTATCCTATCCTAACCTATCCTATCCTAACCTATCCTATCCTATCCTAACCTATCCTATCCTAACCTATCCTATCCTAACCTATCCTATCCTATCCTAACCTATCCTATCCTAACCTATCCTATCCTATCCTATCCTATCCTATCCTATGAAGATTTGGATACAGTACGGCTTGTCTGGTACTAGATTTACGTGGTGAAGATAAGGTCACCTCTCTTTCTTTCGCTTATGTATATAAAGAATATCTTGAGAAGCTTCGTCCTTCAACAGATTGAAGATTAGTAGTGTGTACCCTTAAAGAATCGTAGCACCACTGGCTCTACTTCTTCTGCATCAAGAACAACAAGTCCTTTCTTCTAATTAAGTTCTGGACGTACACCTCGTGTTAGGTAAATGAATGAATGAACGAATTTCTTTGATTCACTCCTTTTTACTATTACGAACAAGTCCTTTTTACTATTAGACTTTGAAGATTCATCAACGGCACCAACCATCAAGGTCCAAACTAAGAGACGTGTTTCTTTCGTTGAGATTCAACTCTCCAAAGAGGAAGTCGATACCAAGACTATCGGCTACCAAGAGCCTCTGGCAGAAGAACTCGTGAATGAGGATGCTCTCGAGGAACCTCGTGGCAAGGGCAGGAAGGGAAAAGGAAAAGGAAAGGTTATGACAAGAAGCTTGTTTCTTGGTAAAGATTTAGATCATTTCTTGTTGCGACAAAAAGGTTGTTTCTTGGTACTAAAGATCATTTCTTGGTGCTATTAACTGCACCAGCTCTTTAATACTTAGACTATATTTAATCGACAAGCTACTCTATCCTTTATCTACATTCATTTCTTTTTACTTTTCCTAGTTAGATTGGCTCCACCCATACTATATAATCGACAAGGTTGTAGTTGTTCTCAACATCATGATCATAACCGCAAAGATATATCCTTCTGAAGATCTTACACTTCTAATACCCGCAAAGGAAAGGGAAAAGGCCGTGGCAAGGGAAAGCGTTCTAAGGGCTCTGGAAAGCAGAAGTCCGAGTCCGACGTCAAAGACGATGGAGAGAAAAAGGAGAAAAAGCCCAAGCGATCGCGTAAGGGGAAGGGAAAACGTGCCGCAGAAAAAGAGAAGGCAGAGGGGGCAGAAGAATAAAACCACCTCTAACATGGTTTGGCGGATATATGAATAAAGAGTCTGTTCTATAAAAAAGACAGCCTGCTTGTTGTACCCAAGTACTTATTCTCTTGACATACTCAGTCATACTCATACTTGAGATAATGTTCTTGTCAACATTATAGAGGATGATGTGGTACTGCTCGTCGCTGTACGAGACCTATCACTCGATGTAGTTGTTGTACTCATCTGAGAACATGGAAACAATAAAACTTGATGATAACGGTGGAGTTTCCCATACATGTGAGTTATATGTAGAGTACGCACGTGTGCGTGAGCCTCTACTGCGGTGCCACATGGATGTGCCAGGCAAGATAGAGACGTGTGAATACTCTCATGTAAACTAGCGTTGTACGAATGAGTTCTTAAATCTGACGAAGTAGAAGTTGTTTGTTGATTATGGAGGAGGTAGAAATTATAGAGTCGACAGAACGATTCATAGTTGAACGACTAGGCCCCTAGGGCTTCGCTTGAGGTTTCTGCTACCTCTCTAGACGTTTCCAAACTGTCCTGTACTCCTGTCCTGGTGTACTCCTGTCCCGGTGTACTCCTGTCCTGGTGTACTCCTGTCCTGTGGTCCTGTCCTGGTGTACTCCTGTCCTGTGGTCCTGTCATGGAGGAGGTAGAAATTATAGAGTCGACAGAACGACTCATAGGTGAACGATTATCAGACGGAGATTTGGCACCCACTGACATTCTCCCACGAGTTCTCCCATGGAGGAACCACAGAGACATTCTCCCAGAAGACGAAACAGAACCCCCCAAACCCACAATATGTGCTTCTTCGATGTGAAAAATGTCTTCAGCAGAAATGAAAATGAAAAAATGTTTTGAAATCCAATGAATGACCTCTGTTTTTCGTAGACGGCATGCGTGTCTCGTAGCGGGGTATTATCAAGGAAGCTTAGTACACTGACTCTTCAAGTTTTTGTTCTTCATGGGATAGAATCCCGATCTTATTGAGCAATATCGGCAAACAAGACCGTCGTTTATGTGGGATTGTTGAGAAATGGGCGGGGTGACAAGGTGAACTTCTTTGGCTCAAGGTGACAAGGTGAACTTCCGTAGCCATTTTGGCTCAAGGCCTTGTGCTGCGAGCGTAATTATTCACAACAGAGAGACCCAGCCGTTTGAATTTTATAGGACATGGTTCAGCACAAAATCTAGTTGGCAGGTTAGCTGCAATCACCAATGATACGGAATTGATTTGGAATTTAGCTATCGCCCGCCGGCTGGGTCTATAAAATCTGGGCAGTAGAGCGGAAAAAATACGCTGAATCATGAACGGGGGTGACAAGGTGAACTTCATTACTTGAAAAATGGGTTCTCGCGCGATTTTAAGGGGACGCTCCTCTTCGTTCCTCATCCTGATTGAGACCTTGAAAATTCACTTCCTCCGATAAGGCATGAAAAATAGAATGTCGAATTTGTAGGTCGTCCTGTAGCTGATGTGGGAGACTCATATTCTAACGGCGCGATAATGAGTGAATGAACTACAACTACTGGATGCCCTCACAAGTAGACACTAATAGCTACAAAAGAGGCACCATGACATGACATGACGTGACATAGTTGTCTGTCTCCACATTCTCTCTCTACAAATAGAAGATAGGAAACAAATGTCTCAGCATGCTTATTGGGCGGCTGGCGCGACAGCGCAAATCGAGAAGACTCTCGCGGAATGTAGAAGTCAAGCCGAAGCAGCGGAGGCAACCGCAGTGGATCGGCGTTCAGACCTGGACTCGCAACTGTTTGCCTTCTACGCCATGATCACTCGGAGTCTTAAAGAGCGACGGGGATTCGAAGACGAGTGCGTGAAGATAGAGGTAACTTACAAGAAAAAGAAATTTCTGCTACTTACAAGAAAAAGAAAAAAGAAAAACTCACTTTTTCTCAAGATGTAAAAAAAAGTCAGTGGATTGTAGTCACATCAATTAGATGCTCCCTCTATTACGTATATCAAGTACTAGCTATAGTGTGACGGGGATTCGAAGACGAGTGCGTGAAGATGGAGGTACTATTTTATCTCTCTTTTAGAGTAGACGCACAGCACAATTGTTAGATCGCTGCGCACAATTGTTAGCTCGCGGCCTACTTCTCCCAGGTCAAACTGGACAATCTGACCGAGCAGCTCAGCCTTTTAGAGGAAGAGGACCAGCGCCGGCGATTTCGTGAGGATCGAAAAGAGATTCTGCGCAGAACCGAGCGACTCATATTACGGCCTCATATGTTGACTACGCGCCTTTTCTGAAGTATCATTTTTCATCACCTTGTTGTAGTTGCAGACTCGAAAAAAATCATGAATGTTGACAACTGTTGCTTTGAGTTTGATATTTCCATAAGGGCTTTCTACTTCTACACCATCGTCTAATCCGAGGGAGAGAAGCTGACGAGCGCGAACGGTGGGAAAAGGTGGTTGCCTTCCTAAAGGACAGTTTCGATCTGAGTCCCGAGGTTTTGCTGGCGGCTTCAAACGGCAGTCCGCATGGAGGTGTAACTACACCAGCAAATAATGGAGCGAGGCAAAAACGTGTGATGGCTGAAGGCGAAACCAGTTCGCAGCAGAGTTCGCAACGAGGATCCGAGCATTCAACGTCGTCGCAAGTATGGGGAGAATCTAAAATATTGTTTTTGTGGTTCAATTAGCTCCTACCTGCAGACAGGCTAGTACCACGATCCTAGTACCAAGCAGGAGACTCACTAGTAGTTTTATCCTAGTACGTAAGTACTTGCCTACCCCTATTTCAGCAATTATTTAGATACACCCCTTCGAACATGATTAGATAATCTTCTTAGAATTAATTTTCATTTTGATTTATTTCTAAACTCTTCTAAGTAGCACTTGATCGTGTTCATAAGGGAAGATTTTCTTAGGATTTTTGAACTCTTCTAAGTACCACTCGTGTTCATAAGGGAAGGGCGAATCGGGCGAGCAGACGAACAACTACCTTGGTGCGAACATCGACCCGGCAGCGCTCTTTTCCTCAGTCCAAGATGGTGTGAACCGTTTGGGAGAGTCCACATCGCGCTTTTTCGCAGAGAACTTCTCTAGTGCTGGCGCGAGCGGTTCTACTTCTAGTAATGCAGATAGAAGGAGTGGCCCTGGCGCGGGTGCAAGTAGTGCAGATAGAAGAGAGTACGAGAGGCGCTTGAGGGAACAAGGGTTGCGGGAACAGGCTACTTCTATGCGAGACCCAGGCGCCACACGTGAGGACCACTTCGCACGACCTGGAAGCTCCAGCAGAAACCCCAGAGGAGCACCAGTTGTCGACAACAGTCCTATGAACCGGGTAAAATCGTCTGCGAGTGGCAGACACGGCACTGAGGGGACGCCAGGTTTCGTACGGCCAGAGCCGCACTACAGACCGCAAGATATGGATTTGGAGAGCTATAATTTTTCCTTTCCCTGCACATCAATCACAATCGAAGATCCAAGATCTTCATCTTACTCCTCACATCATGTAGTTGGGTACAATGACAATCGTAATAGGTCCATGGTGTAGTCCATCTGTCATACAAAAGATCTCCTAGTTCATTGATTCACAGTATCATCATCATCATCATTCTAGGAAGAAGGCTACGGAGACGGGCCCCTTCTGCGTCTGCGACGGCGCTTGAGGCTTCCGCCACCGCCTGACTCCAGAGGGCGACTTCGCTGCTGGTGCTGGCTCGCGCGAGGCGGGTCTGGCACTCCTCTCTGAGCCTTAGCGCCTCCGCAAGCTCCTTCGCCTGCCTTGTGCGTTCGCCTGCGTACGTTGACTCTCGGGGTCGCTCTAGTTCATTGATTCACAGTATCATCATCATCATCATCATCATCATCATCATCATCATCATCATCGACAGCATCATCATCAACAGCATCAAAGTCCCTCTTTCATACGAGACGCGAAGCAGGGGGCGAGACGCGAAGCACCGTCATATCTGGGATCGAGCAACAATCCATTCCAGGAGACCGACGGATCGAACTATTATGTGGTCCTCGTCGGGTTATTTTTAGTATCCGGACATTTGTTACCTTCAATCCACCTCTGTTATTAGCAGTACAGGTACACCTTCAATCCACCTCTGTTATTACAGGTTACCTATTTTTTTTATCCAGTTTGGTATCCTCTGTACCTGGTACACCTTCAATTTCCTTCCATTTTTGTAATTTTGTTCTTTCAGCTAGTACTCAGGTCAGCAACTACAATCCGATGTTCTTGTCTTTCAAAGACAACAACTAGCGGTCGGGTTATTTTTAGTATCCGGACATTTGTTATTAGCTCCTCTGTTATTAGCAGTACAGGTACACCTTGAATATCCACCTCTGTTATTAGCAGTACAGGTACACCTTGAATATCCACCTCTGTTATTAGCAGTACAGGTACACCTTGAATATCCACCTCTGTTATTAGCAGTACAGGTACACCTTGAATATCCACCTCTGTTATTAGCAGTACAGGTACACCTATGTTCTTGTTCCAAAAAAAAGAGAGGTCTCTTTCATTGTTCCTCTTTCATACAATCCCGGGCTCGAGTAGTCGACCTGCATCTTCCTCGTCTGGATCTGAACGGTCGGGGCGATATGCGTCGGGGTATCGATACTGACGCTTAGAGGCTTCACGAGAAGCGGAGTTGGACTCTAACTTATACGCATGAAATTATAACGACAACTGAGTAGGGAAGATGGACAATCGCAGACAAGCCAGTTGGACCTTTAATAACTGAAGCGACGACATTCGCACTCTACTTGTAGTATTGTACAACTACTACGCTCGTTAATTTTTAGGAGTCATGTGACATTTTTTGAGTTATGAGAGTTTACGCTCGTTAATTTTTAGGAGCTATGATTTGTCATGTTGTACAAAAGCAGTAGTGCCTACCTGCTACTGGAACGAAAAGCGGGCACGCTTCACTTTCTGTCTCTACTTCTACTTCCTCCAATGTGTTCCGAATCCAAAAGCCGAATCTGTGTGACGTCGGTCGTATCGGTCTGCCAAATAGGAGAGAGTAAGTAAGTACTCTGTTGAGCTATTGATCTTCTTGCATTCTGTTCCTGAGATGACAGGAGAACGCTGATTTAGGCAATGACGAGAGAACTATGATTTAGGCAATGACGAGAGAACGCTGATAGGCCATGACTCTTTGTTGAACACCACATCATCAGGAGTGTAACTGAAATTTCACATGATGAGGTGGTGTTCAACAAAGGGAGAGTGGGACGAGAAAATGCCTAGATTAAAGCGAATACACACAGAATGAGAGCGAATTTGAGAGCGAATTTTGTTTTTCTGTCTTTGACGCAGAGACGGCATCCATTATTTTGAGCACATAATATAGATGTTGAGAGCAGACCGACCCAGACAAACGAGAGGAGTGACAAAACAGAAGAGACCTTGATATTTGATAGCTGTTTCTCAACATGCATTCAAACTCAACAGTGGAACTCTTCTAGCATCGCAGACCTATGAACACCCAATTTTTTAAAAGTTGTTGTTAGTACTACTCATCTTTAAGGATATCTAATAAAGATGTAATATCTTCCGCTTTCACGTATTATATGAACCGAAAACGAAACTAGCACTTGTGGTCCAATATGTACAATCGATATGACTATAACGTCTCGCATTTTCCTTTGGAGTTGTGGATAGCACGACTTCCACGTGAAAATGAAACTACTGGCACCACTGTTACTACTACAATTTAAAGAGGGAGATTTACTACCAGTTCTTGAATTCTAGATGAAGATAAGAGCTCAACTTCAAAAATTATCACATGACTACTTCATCATATTCAAATGATTTCTTACCCTTGTACCTCTCTCCTTTCCTCTATAAGCATTATATGTGACTAACTTATTATTCTCGGCTTAAATTTATCAGAACTACATTTATTTAAGTCAGTAAGACATTTGAGCACTAAGATTATTCGCCGGCTTGTTAGCAATCGCCTTCCTGGTTCCAACTTTTAGGCATTTTTTTATGCGCAGGCAATTTTTAGTGCACCGTAGTAGAAGGAGGCTAATGGGCTCCACCCGTCGCCGGAAGGTACGTCGGATATCACTGGGGTCAGTCTTCCGGAAATCACTGTTGATCATTATAATCCGTACTCCGCTCCTCGCGACGTCGGTGCACCTGGAATCCTTGGCGCGATCTTGGCCTTCAGAGGCTATTGTAATACAGTCCTCTCCGATAGTTGTAGTTTTTTGACCGTTGTGATACGGTTTCCTTGCTCCCCCGGTATGTCTAAGTTTTTAAGTGGGGTTATTTAAGTATTTGAATGGGAGTCTCCTTGCTCTCCCGGTATGTAATCATTTGTAAGTTTATAAATGAAGTTATTAAACATGTTCGCAAAGAAGTTGACGTGGCGAGAAGGAGAAATGAGTCTTGCAGCTGAGTCCTTGCGCACGTCTTTTCACATCAAGAAAGGGTTCTTCCGTCTGAGGAAAAGATCAACGGTTTCCTCTCACATTCTCCTGCAAAGAACTGCAGTCGTTCTAGTTGTGCAATGCAGCTTCTTCTTGAATGAAGCAACGCCTCTCATTGCGATCTTCTCGAATGGGTACACTACTACTACTACAGTGGTCTCCTCGTTCTCCTCCTCAAAAAGAGTCTAGTTTGGTGTCTGGCGGAGGCCTCTTTTTTCAAGTCTGGTAGAATTATTCTCTTTTGAATCCACCAGTCTGGTAGAATTATTCCTTCTGAAATTGATCTTGAAATTGAATCCACCACGCTCGTAAGCGTTTTTTTCTTGTATAACTGTGTGGATTTCTTGTTGGAGCAACTTGTATAACTGTGTGTTTTTCTTGTATCCCTGTGTGGATTTCTTGTTGGAGCAACTTGTATAACTGTGTGTTTTTCTTGTATAACTGTGTGGATTTACCAAGAACTCCATTTCCACCAACTCACAGCCAGGAAAAGCAAACTTTAGTTCTAGTTCAAGTGCGATCATTTTTTACACACAGTGAGTTGCAGAGCACAAGCGCGACACTTCTTCGCAATCGTTTCAGTATTTGGCACTATAGGTATCTACTTACTTTACTACTTGATACTGTACTATTGCAAAGAGGGGCTGCAAAACTCGTGCCTCACTTGTATAAAAGTGTCGCAGGTGTGTTTTCTTACCGAGGTAAGGAGCGAGTTCTTAAGGATTTTTCAGTCGTGTACTCTAGTGTTAAAGTTGATTGATGTTGATGCTGTGGATATTCACCTGGCGCGTCTTCGGGTATTAGAAGTTATCTTCTTCGTCAGCAGCTACTTCTTCAGACGAGTTAAGTACAAATAAGATTAGTGCCTTCAGCATCAACGCGCATAATACTAAATAGCTTCGACGTCGGATCGTTTTTGATTTTACGGCATTCCCTCTTGTAAAAAAAGAAAAACTTGTAGAACTACTAAAAGCGTTTGTGTTGTAACACGTGTAGCATTTGACTATTTATCATTTGATGGATGTACGTGCACGCAGTTCGTGAATAATTGCATCAGAGACTGAGGACGCGCGACCATTTTATATGCGCCGCTTCCATGTGATTTGTGAGCTGAGTTATAATTGTGGCTTTATTCTCTCGTATAAATGATCACTGTTGAAGAATAGAGAAGAAGAACGAAAAACAGGAAGCGTCATCATGTTGAATACGATGGATAAGCGTTTGAAGAAGTAGTCCTCACCTAACTAGTCTTAAGCCTTTCTGTGTATGTATACTCGACAACGAATACGAGCAAGAAGCTGCAAGATTGACGTAGGTACTTAGAAATCTCATGCACTTAGGTAGCCCCTCTACCTCACGAATAGGTACATCAATCATCTAGGAGTAAGTAGTTCTTGCTAGTTGTTGCGTGTCTTCTACAACAGTTTTCCTGTCGTTCTACTGCTTTCACTTAAAACTTCTCAAGATTGCTTTTTACTCTTCTCAAAAGCAGGGAAGTAGATAGAGCATCCTCTTGATTGGAGATCGATTGGCCGAATAGGTACTACTAGATGAACAAGAGCGCGGATGAATATAAAAGCTACCAAATTAGATCTGAGAACTTGCGTGACAGAATTTAGAAGAAAGAGCTTCCTCGTATTCTGCGATTGACAGCTGTTGTTCCTAAGAAGACTTCCTGTGACTCCTCAAGAAGAGTCCGGCTCTGTTTTCAGAGGATCTTAAAGTCAGTCAATCTAGGAGCGAAAACTTAATAGAACAAACTTAGAACTATATATACTACGGACTAATAGAAGTTGTAGACGGAGTAAGTAAAGCATCTCAACAGCTGTCATGTTTCAGGAGAGAGGGCGACCCATCTATCTTCCAGAAGTATTAGCCCTCTTTTTCATCTAAGATATAAAGCCCTCTTTTCGTCTAAGGTCTACCAGGAGATTACGCAGAGAAGCCTCAAGCGGAACTGTTTTGTTCTGCCGATCCGGAGCTTTAGGGTTTAGGGTTTAGGCCAAGTCAAGACAAGTTTTTTGGTCGTATCGTGATCTGTGTTCTTGAGAGCATTTGTAGTTGTTCCTTCCATCTGTGAATGTGATGGTTAGGAGTGCCTCAGATGACGAGCGGCGCCACTTCTTTTTGTGTCCATTTGCCGGAGGGAGACTTGTTTTTTCTACGTAGGTGCAGCGCTGGCGGCTGCGATGCTCCATATTCGAGTGACCCCCCGCGCGTTTTTTTTGGCGCAAAATATCGGCGCCCTTTCCGTGCCCCTCTAACAGGTCCCCTCGTTGTCAGTATTTTCCGTTTCCCCCCTTCGTTGTTTTGGATGTTTTACACGCGCGGTCATGCGATCGAGCTTTCTACAGCCGATGATGGGAAACACGGAGGACGATTCGACAAGCTTTGTGCTGGTAAGAGATAGTATTACCTGGGAGGGCTAAAAACGAGGATTGGGCCTTGGAGAAGATGAAGAAAAAGCGAAGAGAAAACTAGCTTAGGCGGTTAGGGTTCTCTTCACCAATCTGAGCATCATGTGGCACTTAGGGCGTGCGGCCAAGAAAAATTTAGCCCATTTACCTCCCCTCACTTGTCGAGTTGATGCGCATTGTTCAAGAGCTAGCTGGAGACAGCGTTCTTCACTCTCGTGCCTTGTAGGCAGGCGCTTAACCGTGAGATGGTCAGCGCACCGGCTGGGGTATAGGTTCCTAGTCGCCCCTCTTGCTCCTATGTTTTATCGTCGTAGAGGCGGCAAGCCCGTAGGCAATTACTGCGCCCATGATATAGGGAGGGCAATGCGCTCCACCTGCTGCCAGTTTGCGAACTGGATAACGCTGAGTCCATTCTTCTAGCAGCCCCAGGATACAAAACAAAAAATTAGGCAGGAGCCTATCTGGGTCTGAATCCCCTATCAATGGTCGCATTCAACGGGAACGAACGGTAGAAGAACGCAGAATGGTAGAACAAGAACGGCCTTGCAATAACTTTTTTTCTCTGTATTGAGAATTGTCTCCAGCTCTCGATATTTTCGCTTCTAAAGAACTAAAAACTTAGATGATTCCCGCTCAGTAGCAACAGGAGAGTGAGTCCCGAACGATTTCGAAAAGCAATCATCTTCCTAGAACTAGCTAGGTGCTGTAGCTATATAATCCCATAGTGTCCGACGCTGTTGTCCTTGTGGTAAAGGTTCGACACTTGTGGCAAGATAGAACTGCAACCTTAGTAGGTATAGATCGCATGAAAGAATGTGTAAGAAGGTACTTGAATAATAACAATAGTCTTCCAACGCGAGAAGCCGTCAGGAAAATCTTGGGCACCTTGCCAAATAGATTCAAACCATCCATAATTATACTCAAATAATCCATATACATTCAAGTCATATTATTGAAGAAAAAAGAAGAAGAACGAAAAACAAGAAGCGTGCCGTCATCAGGTTGAACACAATAAGAGTAAGGACTTGAAGAAGTAGCCCTCAATGGTCTGGTCTTAAAACTTTCTGTTTATCTATATACACTACTACGGACGTAGAGGCGCGGCAGTCGCAGCTGCGGGGAGGTCGGTGCCGGACAACACTCGGATCACCCTTTCGGCGTTCTCGGAATACAAAAAAGGAAAACGGTGCCCCGTGGAGGCACCTGGTTGATTGATTGACTGATTGATTGATTGCTTGATTGATCCTCTGTCAACGTCTGTAGTTTAGGACCTGAAAAATAGTCGTCGTAGATAGTTCTTGAATGAAAAAAATAAATAACTTGATAATATTTCAGAGACGAAAAACGGGGAAGAGCACCATCGCAATCTTGATTTTGACTTCTTCATACTTTATCTAGTCAGTCAATCATTATAAATTCTTCAATGCCCCACGAACATTACTACTACTACTACTGTTTTGCATTTTCCTTGTCTCTCATTGTCCTCGCAAATGCAAAAACAGAATTAGTCAAACCTAATTAAAAATCTTTGCTACCTCTTGAATGGGTACACTACTACTACTACTAGGTACAAACATTGGCTTGTCTGCTACATGGTACTGTGGAGGCTGCATGTCATGCTTGGTTCTCTTCTCTCTTTATCCCCACGCTGAATTGTGAACTAGAAGTGGACAACATAGATGGTTATTTTTTCATATGTTGATCAATCCTGAGGAGGTAACGAAGCATTTATTCTCATCGTATAAATGTTCATGTTGATGCTCCATTGATTGATTTGAAAATAGATTTTAACTAGAACTACATATTGTCTAAAAATTATAGTACAACAAGAACAAGAAAATATGAACGGCAGAATCTCCGACGGGATGTTGGTGGTGAAAAATACGTTTCTGGATGTGGCGAAGCTGCCAGATGATATTCCAAGGTCTGTCACCGAACCGATTCAAATTACGGCATCATCTAACTGTGTATTATAGTTGTATAAATCGACTTCCACAGTAGTAAAAATAGTAGTAGTAGTAGTAAACCCAAACCCAATCCAGGGGTACCTCGGTACTTGCATTTCCATGCATTTTCTAGATAGGATGTATTTATTAGATGCATCAATTTCCATCTTTCGTGGTCCTGTTTTGTTTAAAAGGGAACACTATGGGGATCATACGTATGCATTAACATCTTCCTCCCGGTTTTAAAGGTTTGAAAACTACTAGGTGCTGAAATGCAGAGGCAGAAAAAACGACTTGTAGTGAAGAGAAGAGGCAAGAAGAAGAAGAAGTGCAACGAATTTAATCAATTATACCCCGCGATGGGGTACACTACTACTACTACTACTATACGGAGGAGGTTACGGATTTCTGATTTCAAACAAGGTGGAGTTATTCTTATTCTTATGGTAGTTTCTTTAGGGCTATACCTCCACACGTATTTTTATGGTCCCTCTACCTCTAATATATGGGCTCGCACCCAGCAGTGTCAATCACGTGATATCATGGTCTCGCACACTTCTATTCCAGAAAGCGATGCAGAGTATATCGGTAACCTACTCTACACCACGACCGACGCCATCGATCGAGGAGTCAGCAGGAGGTCGTTGGCGAGCAGTGAGGTACTCACCATTTTTTAGTTAGCAGAGATGAAATCTGAAAAACGAAAAACATCAAACATATATTATAAATATCGCATAAGATGATTTTGCCCCCTTGCTAGTTCTTGGTGCAGCATCAGATCATCTAACCTTCTCCTTTCCAGCAGCTTTCTGCAGCCTCACCAGAACGTATGGTAACGTGGGACGAATATAAACCTGCACAAGGATACGACAACAGATGGCAAAAGGATTTGAGGAAGTATTTTTTTGTGGTTCAGGGAAGTCGTAGGACAATTCCGAACCGACTAACATCATCATTTTTTTGTGGTGGGATTTTTATGTCATAATTCGACATGAGTGAATGACTCTGAGTCTCCGAGTAAAAAGTATCGATGAAAAATATTTTTTCTCTTCGGTTTGAAAAATATTTCATGTTGATCAATCTTTGATTAATCAGCCAATTGAGCAATGCGAATGAATCGACCAATCTCAATGAATGAGCCAATCTCAATTGCCAATGAATCAATCAGGGCGTGTAGCGGTCCTGCTGATGACAGTGGGAGCTATTCTCGGCAAACCGCACAACCAAAGGACGGCTACCACCACCAGCCAACTCTGTCATACAGTGGCGACGACACTGAGCGAACTCCTATTGGGTATGGCCGGCAGTATAACTATCCAGTCGAGGGGGTTGTAGGACAGCATGGATCCTTCTCTTCTCGTGAGTTCGCGACAGGCACTGGCTACTATCAACATCTTGCTGCTTCATTTAAGGCTTACTCATATTCTTTTTCTTTCATCTTAAGAATAGGATGTACTTAGTAGTACTACTTAGCATGATGGCCATTACAATAATATCTGCGCTACTTTATCCTATACCTACATTTCTTCCTTTTTCTTTCCTAGTTAGTTTGGCTCCACCCATGTTATAAGAGGTAAAGGTATCTTGGAGGGGCCGCTTTGTAAGAGAATATGGCTACTAAGATGCTCTTCAGGAGGATGAATATCACGTTTCAAGCGTCTAACAGATCCAATTCGACCATGCTTGTAGGAGAAAGGACAGCTTCGCGCCTTGCTCCTTCTCCACCTCCTCCTGGTCTCGGCAATGGAGTTGGACCTCAACATTCGTCGGCCTGTATTAACTTAGCAGGAGGAATGCCAGGAGTTGTAGTCGGAGGTAGAGATCACCCACGTAGTAGAGCAGATCACCCACTTGGTGTTCCTACTGTAGTTAAGGCTAACTACTACTACAATAATACTCAATGTTGCACCTTCCTCAGGAGCATCTTTATGATCCCGGCTGTTCTCAAAGGAAAAGAAACGCGCGCCAAAGGTTTTGATGGTAGTTGCAACATCACGACTATCTTCACTTCTAACTATTGTGGCAGTTGTAACATCCCTTGCGGCTCTCGAGGTGGAGGTCCTCGACTTGGCGCGAGCTTCGTAGAACAGCAGCGACACCAGCAAGAACAACTCGTGAAGGAATTGATGGCACACTCTGCGTCTACCACGAAGGAAGCTCCTGGTGGAGTGGATTGTTCGCGCGAAGGTGGCTTAGTGTCAGTGCCGGCTTATGCATTGAGCAAACTTCTGGAACAAGTGCGAGACATAGGAGCTGGAGGAGTTAGTGGCGTGGTTTCCGCCTCCAATTCCCGAGGAGGCGCTTCCGGTGGTGCAACTTCAACAAATCATGGAGGTCTGCGTGGAGGAGGACTAGGGGGCAACAACAACGGAGTCGCAGGAGGAATAGGACGAGGTCAAGGTTTCAATCACCAGAATTGTGTCCAAAATGGAGGTTCACGCGGTGACGCAGTGACACCTGGAAGCATGAGCTCGCCAGGTACTGTACAAAGTAGATTTCTTGGAAGCTCAGGAGGAGGAGGCCCAGGCACGGGTAACACCACGCCTTACGGTGACCTTCAGGGTATGGGCGGACCCCAAGGAGGTGGACTCCAAAATCCTTTACATGGAGCACTAGGTTTGGATATGAGCGCTTTGCAAGCCGCTCCCGGTTCGTCTCTGGTGGATGGCAACGGTGGAGTTTCCTCGTTCTCTTCTTCAAGAGCAGTTCTGTCTCCTAGCTCGCAGCAGTTCGCTACTTCGCTCTTCAATCCCTACACTGGTGCCTTTCCCGGTGCAGCAGGAATGGGAGTAGGCGCAGCTTTCCCGCCCACAGCTTCTCTGTACAATCATCTAGGAACAGGTGGTGGAGGAGGCACCAGTGCCTCTACGAGTTGTAATCACCACACGCCGGGAGGAGCCACCACGGCAGGATTATTAGGAGCCACAGCGGAACCAGCAGTACGCTTAGTCGGCTACAATGGAGGTGCTGGTGGACAGTATAATGGTCAGTACAATGCCATGGCTGGAGGCTATCTGCCCTCGGCTCTTCCGTCTGCACTGCCACCAAATGATAATGGTAGTGACGCTCCTTCAGGCCATTTTGGTTTTGCGCCGACGCTTCCAATGGTCAGGGGACCTGGCATGTACGGAGGTGCAGCAAACGGAGCTGTAGCTAATGGAGGCACGGTAGATCCATCTAATTCTTTTCATCTTCCTGGTGAACAAGCACAACTAGACCACAATAATGGCGAAACCAGTGGGAAATCCAGAGCATGTAACAAAGGTTCTTCATCAGCAGGCTATAACAACAATCATAGAGTAGAAGTAGGGGGTGGTGCAGGAGCTAATAACCACCAGGTTGACTTGATGTTCGGTGCAGGCTCGAATGTTGCTGCTGTCGGAGGTGGAGCTCCTCCTTCTAACACAGCCATTCTTCAGCAGCACAGGAGCTCCTCTGGAGTTCTTGCTTCTCGAGAACAGAGTCGTGGTTCAGTGTTTCCTATGGACGCCAATGCTGTTGCCAATATCATGATGAACAACTTGCAGAAGCAGACGATAGCAAGTAGTATTTCCTCCTCATGTGGTGCTGGACAGGCTGGACATCATCATGCTGGGTTCTACAGACCGCCACAACGTGGAGGTGGTGATTCTTCTGTGTATGGTAGTTACAATGCGCCTCCTGGATCGAATGGACGATACGGAGAAAATAATCCCACCAGTAACACAACGCCAACGGGCGCAACGAATGCACATGCCCGGCAGCTTTTCGCGCACCTCAGGGCCGAGGGAGAGGATAGAGGCGGAGAAGAACCGCCGATCCTGTCAGTCGGCAAAGGAGGAAAGAACTCATCTTGGAGACAACAACAAGTAGTAGATCCATTTGGCGGTGTGAAGACGCTTCAAGGACCCGCCAAGGGAGGCAAGAATCACGAAGGACAACAAAATCGAAATGAAGGCAACGGTAGATGGGGTGACTCTGACTACACCATCAACATGTCCTCGAAAGGGAACAATAATTATCAACAAAAGGCTCCTGTTTACAACAATAATGAAAGGCCAGTTGGAGGGAGTCGTTACGACAGTGTCCTGGGACAAAAAAAAAGAGTCTATGATGGAATGCCAGGGACAAATAATGGTCAAAATATTAAAGTACAAAACAACAATAAGCGTCGCGGTAGAAAGAATAATGTTGAAGCAGGAGCGGCACTTGCTAATGGAAGTACTCCTCGACAACACACTGCTCGACAACAAACTGGAGGCAGTACTTCAAATGTTGGCAACAATAATAATCAAACTAATAGTAACATCAGTAACGGAGGTAGTGCTGGGACCAGGCAACAAAACGGCAATAAAAACAACAAGCAGAATAACGGCAACGAAGGCAATGGAGGTAATAGCACTTCTACAGCAGACAACGACGCTAAACAGAATAAGCAGCACAACGGTAAAGGCTCCTCTGGAAAGGATTCATCTGTCACGCGGCAACGCATCTCAGAGCGGTGTACAACTTCTGGGGGGAAGACAGATGGTTCCTCACTCGGTGGTCGCAGTTCCACTCTCGTAGAGGACGGCTTCTCTCCCCAAGGAGCCGAAGGCGAAAACAATAAAGCTGCCCCTGGTTCCGGAAAAGCGTCAGATCATTCTGGGCCACCTAGTGCTCAAGGAGATGGTGATGGTGCTAATAAGCTGGACTCTGACATCAACGCAATTCAAGAAGCCTCTGCTTCAAAGGCTGTCCCCTCATCAAGTAGAACCCCGTCTAAGGAGTACAATTTTACAACAAAACCCTCACTAGTACCACATAGCATCCCCGCTACGCCTCATTCACTAGTTCGACAAGTTTCGTGCACCACTGGCGCACACAGAGTTGTTTGGAACGTCGAAGGCAAACGTCTGAAGAGCACCGACAAGGTAAATTTATCGTGGAGTAATTGTAATGACTCTTACAGCTGCAGCTGCATCTTCAACATCCTTTTTATAGCTAGTCAAGTATGGATCCGGTTATAGTTTTCCGTCTATTCTACTTAGGCTATCTATCTTCGATCTAGTAGATTTTGTATAAAAATGTCTCCTCTAGTACTTATTAATTTGTTTTTCATCTTCGACAATGATCTATGACAGCTGTGCGTCTCACCGGCTTTTTCCTTGGGGGGTTTGGAAAGCGTGAAGTATCGCATTGTGCTCTACCCACAAGAAGCAAGCACTTTCAAGGGTCAAGGAAATTTCCGAACAAGTAAGGGAAAAGGTACTGGAGTCAGAGTCTATCGTCCTAGTTAACTTCCGAACAAGGAAGGGAAAAGGTACTTCTGGAGTCGTCTAGGATTCTATTGCACTATCCTATCCTTCCTATGCTGGAGAACGAAGATTTTTTTATCGCGAAAACAGATGCAACAGAGGAAGGAAGAAATAGCAGACATCAGTCTTGCAACTAGTATAATTAGAGATGCTACTAACACCCCGCGAGCAGAGGGTACATCAATCAGTCAGTCAGTCGATCAATCAGGTAAAATCGTGTTGAAGTGTGACTCTGCGGACACGGATGTGAAAGCTGGAGAGGAAGTTGCTTTTCAGCTCGTTTTCAGATTCTTCCTCGGTGATCTCTCGGGGAATCCGTCTTTGTCGAAACCTGTCCGAAATGACTTCACAGCACTGCCGACTGCTGGATTGAGGAAAATGGATGAGGTAAAAATATCCAGAATTAAAGAACTTATTATACCCCATGAGTGGGTACATCTATCTATCTATCTTCATATTAATTCTTGTTTTTGGAACTCAGGAGCTGACTGCTCGTATCCTTTTTTTAATCATCCAACCATAGTACCAAGTATCTGCTACCATGAAAAACATATAAATCAATTCACCTTAATATTAAAACAAAGTATCATTATGCTTGCTAGTAGTGGCCTAGAACATAATCCACCCACCAGCACCTCAATATATTCATTGAAAATCGATTCATCTCATCATCACCAACAGATCTGGGACTTCGGAAAGTCGGTTTCGAAGGGGACGTTGATTGTTGGCGTAGAAGTCATCTCTGGATCAGCGGCTCCGACTCCGGAATCCTGGTTGAGTCCTGGAGGAGAGAATGAACTCAAGAAAGTGCCAAGTACTGAAGCAGATTCTTGTAAGACGGACGAGGGACGAGCAGCGAAGGATGAGGATACCACCAAAAAGTCTGAGCAGGCTGCGAATGAAGTAGTAGATGAGTTAGACGCGGCAAGTGTCGCTGAGGACAAAGATACCAAGGAACAGAGGTGGGAAGACCAAGCTGTCACAATTGCGAATGGTACAGCATCTCCGACAGCATAAACAGGAAGACCAGTAGTTGCAAGCTTCAGGTTTTCCGTTTAGTATACCTGTCGCTTTTGCTTACAGCGAGTTGCATCTCGCAAGCGGTACTATGATGATACTATTAAGTAAGTAGAACCGACTCTTTTGACAAAATGTTTAACCAATCGTGCTAACAAGTAGTATCCATGTACAAAAGGAAAAAAACATTTTACAGCTACATACATTACAACATAGTACCTTCTAGAAATAATTGTCAAGCCTTATCCTTCTAGTAAAAATAGACCTGCTGCGGTTTTTTATATTTTTTCGTTTTCGGTTCTTCTTATTGCGTTTAAGATTCATCAAACAAGATGAAGATCAATTGAATATTGACTTTCATGATTGAATAGGAGAAAGCACAAGGCTTGAAATAGTCGCGTTTTCCTCCATATATATTGATGATACTGTTAAAACTATTATAGATACTGTCTGATAGAACAGTGCTGACGAGTCTGCGTGTTGTCGTGTTCAGATCGAATGATATACGAGGACTATTAAAAAGTGAGATCGATGCTGTTGAGTTGTGTGAAACGTGCTGTATCATGAAAAGTAGATTGAACGTCTGTCGTGGATTCCTTACAACAGTGGAAGCTGAAGAACTCTCAGAAGAAATTAAAATTGAACACCACCAGTCCCAGTTTAAGTACTGAGAAGAACAGTTTAAGACTGCTGAGAAGAACAGTTTTTTTTTTTGAGTTCTCAGTACAGCAGAAGTAGACTTCTGAGCGGACTAGTACTTCTGAGTGGACGGCAGAGGTGGACGTCTGATTGGGTTTACTACTACTCCTACCGCTATTACTACTAGTAGTACTGGATACCACCGCAACAACTAAGTACATGAAGATGTTTTACCAGAAAAAGTGAAACAAATAGTCGTAGTCGTAAAATATAGTAGACTTTATTTTAAGCAGCGAAGAAATATCTATGGGCAACATCTTCAGTTCTTCAAAGAGTACAACAGCACTGTAGTGCCGCTCACAATAGCTGCAATAGGAGTTGTGCTGTGGCGAGGTCTCCATTTGATACAAGCAATATGACAGAGTTTGAAAAGTTGGACTAAAAATTATAGCAGTGGTCATCATTCATGATTTTTGCAGATGGAAAATTATTGGTCTTGCTGTAGATCTAGATGCAGTCCTTCTTCAAGAGGTTGCGTTAGAAGCAGGTAGATTCCTGTGATACTTGATAAGCTAAGTCGTGTAAGTTAGTCAGTCCCAATCATTGATACCCCCCGAATGGGTACACTACTAAACGCGCAGTGCGGAGGCGGGAGCCTCTCTACATCTAAACCTGAATGTATCGTACACGAGGTTCACGCTGTTATTCGACCACTCTGTCTGACCCGCGAATGGGTGCAACAGCTACTCCGTGAAAGAGTGGGTACATGAAGACTACTACCATTGCGCCGCTGCTAGTATTTAGAGGGTTAGTAGTACAGCACTACCTCCATTACTAGTACGGCGGGGGTTACTACTAGTTGTACTGGGGAGGACGGAGGTCACCACGCTAATTTACCATTACTAGTACTTCGGGGGTTACAACACTACTTCCATAGTACTACGGCACTGAGTGGCCAGATACATCGATCATGAGTATTTAGTTAAAAATTATGCACCAAGGACTACCTCTACGACCCTTTCGTCTCGTTTGGTTCTTCAAGAAGAGTAATGTAAATTTGTAAAATCAAATAACGTCGCTGGGTATATCATCATCAAATAAGGTCGCGTCATGTTGTTAGTGTCATAACGATTATAGACTTGTGAAAAGTCCCGGCACTGCTGTGAACTACTACTTCTAGATCTCATCTTGGCGTGGTGCTAGAAGTGATGGATAATCTCGTAAGTAGAAAAATAGAGAAATATTCCAGTTAGAGAACAGGCAATGGTAAAGATGAAGATGTGCGCGGTCCTTCAGAGGCGGCGATCGGTCTAGCGTAACATAGAAAGTAGGTGTCAGGGTAGCGCCACCAGCTCGAGATTTAGTATTGTCTTTTTGGCTCTTCAGTAGCCAATGAAGTCTGCTAGTTTTTCTGGCGGGCCCACACCTAACCCAAGTAACCTAATTCCTTGGGGTGACACAAGAGGGGAGTTTCTCGAGTGAGCAGGCCGGAGACAGCATCAATTGGCGACACGGTCTTTCAGCGACTCACAAGGCCGGCAGCCGGTAAGGCTGTTTTTCGTCGGCTTTAGGCGCGCATCACCACTTGATTGATTGATAGGCGAGGACAACGCTCTGCGGAACATGTAGCGCTCTCTTAGGCTTAGGCATCCCCTTGACGTGGTGCTAGACATTATAGATGCAGGCTCACCATTCTAGATACAGGCTCATCATTATAGATGCAGCAAGTTTGAGTTGGTTTATAGAGGCATCACGTAGCTGGTGGTAAAGTTTCTCTTCTTTCTTTGTGGCTACATTCTTTTTTAGTCTTCCACTTGTCTGCTGCTTGTGAAACGTACCGCGCCCCAATTGGTGGCCAGAAATATCCCGCCTGCCGCCGGTTTGCGAGCTGGAAAATGCTGAGGCCGCTCTTTCAGTAGCCCCGGGCTACAAAAAAAAAAGAAACTTCTCCTGAAGTCTCCAAATCCAAATCCAAACTACCCGTCTTTTCCAGGAGTGGGCTCTTGGATCAGATATTTTCATCATCATTTCATTCATCATGATAAACTGCGGAAGCAAGGTGGATCATTTCCTATCCTATCCTATCCTGAACGAATCTAACGATTTCTTCAGCCGATCCACAGCGTCGGCTTGTTAGACCTACCCTCCCAGGGTTGTCATCTTTGCAGACGCTGCGTCATTCTATAGTAGGCTACTGAATTGAGTCATCGTTGCAGACGCAGCACCCTTGTAGGAGATTCTTATCAATAGGAAGGAGGTAAACTACTGCTAATTGACTAATTCTTCTACACACGTGTGCGTCGATAGGGTCGCGCGCGAGCATAATCATGATAATAGTAATATATGATAATGATACCGATAGAGTACACTACTAATATAGGGTTTTCTTGATTTTCTTGTTTGTTGTAGAAGAATCAGAAGCGCACACATGGCATTCTCATGAGCAGGTCACACATGTATTCGTGCAGGTTTTCCCTGTCGAGGCGGATGACTTCGCGTACGAAGTTGTTGCGGATCAATAGTATTAGTAGGCACAACTACCATAGTCGGCAACAGTGGCACATAGACAACAATTTTTGAATATTTTTATTTTGCTCAACAATGAATAGGAGACACAATTTGCAGTTGTAAGAAGGAAAGAAGCTCGTTGTAAACTCTGTTGTCGCTACCTACCACAACAGGAAGTACTGGTGTCGCTACCACAGCAGAGTCCTAGAAAGTGTTACCTCTAATTAAAAGATCTTACACCCCACGAGTGGGTACATCTATCTATCTATTAGTCGAGGATGAGACTCAAAAAGACGATCCGAAGCATGCTTCATCGCACTGATTCGGAGTGATTGTGAATTTTTTGTGTTGATCGCGGTCGCCGATATTTTTTCTAAAGGGGCAGTAGGGCAGAATATGGTTAGTAGTAAGTATCTATGTATAATTAACTGATTATTAGTAGTAAGTATCTATAATGATTATGGAGTCCTGCTCCAGAAAAATGAGCAACTACTTCATGTTTTTCTGTTGAGACATTTTTTCTTCATGGGTACACTCATTCACTCATTCTTGTGGACGAGAAAGCCCGGTGATTGAAGGGCGCTCCAAATGAGCAGATCTGATGAGAAGGCATGATGAAAAACGCAGAGCAGGAAAAAAAGGAGAAAAAAAGGAGAAGACCTAGATGCATAACAATTAAACTTACCTCTTGCCAGGCACATCAATCACTCTAGTGCTATAAAGGGAGTCCGAGATTGATAAAAGAAAGTAGAGTGAGTCTGCTCTCTTTTACTCTCTCCACCTCCCCCTGCTATGATGTTGCGTTACTGCGTTCTTGAGTTTTACGTCGTGGAAAACCTTGTTCTAATGTAGACTGTAATTATCCCTAGCTCTCTGCTTTAGAACAAGCTTTAATTTGAAGCTTCGCGTCTGCCTAGCACTTCTCTGCTTGGTGACCGTCAGAAGACTTTGAAATTGAAAAAAAAATAGGACCGTAGCCATTTTGGCTCAAGGCTTGTCCTTGATGCCTGTATCCAACATAACAGTGAGACCCAACCGCAAAAACAAAAAGAATAAAGTAGAAATGAATGAAGTGCTGAACGATCGAAATTCCATCAATCATCATAGTTGACTCCCCATGCGGTTGGGTCTATAATGGGGCTAGAATAAGTAGGCCGGACGAGTACGGCGCGTTCTAGTTCTGACTAACTTCAACCAATTGGATAAGTGAGCACTTTGTGTTGCTTATGGATGAGTAGCGTAGGCAGTCAAATCAGTCACTTAGTTTCCAACCATCAGCTTTGGAAGAAAATGACGGGAAAGAGCTGCAATTGCAAACTCAGAAGTTGCGCGGCTGTTGGCGCGTACGTATCCGAGCAGCTGGCATTGCAGTGGATGGAGCAGCTGGCCAGTGGTGAAAAGGATATGGGGCAGCACGTCGAGCAAGCTTCGGCTTCTTCTGATTGGGGGATGGTCTCATCATCTTCTACAAGGATGGAGCCCGAGAAATGAACGCTGTACATGACGAAGAACATCATGGGGAAATCGTTCGAAAATAGTGATGGAGTGAATGCGTTTGCACTTGCATGAAAAATGGAATTGATTAGTGTTACGCAGGCAGCAGAAAGCACCACCGAAGGAACATGAATGACATGAGCAGAAGTTGAAGCACCAGAGCAGAAGGTGGCAGGCGGTTATCAATAACTTACGTGCTCAAATTCGCTTGGGGTTGTGAGCGGTTCAGTCGGGTTATCCCTCAAGCTGAAAAATGGCGCGCGGTGCTTGGTGCTTGTGGTTGGATGATTTCGTCTCGTTTGAAGTGGAGGTGTTTAGTGACTATTATCCCTGACCTCTGTTACCTTGCATGATATTCGTTCCTTCTCAGCTGACTCTATCTTGTGTTGCCTGCTTGTTTTTAGTTGGTTGGATAAAGAAGATTTGCATTTGGTGTTTAAGTTGAAGTTGTTCATGGTTACTTCGGTACTTTGCCGTCTTATGATTCATTTCCTTTGGTCTTATCGTTTTGCGTCCTCGAGTTTGTCTATGTCGTTTGCACTTAATAAGCTCAACATTGAAATTCAGAAAATGCACAAGATGACACGCAATGCCACCCAAGGACGTTGAATGTAACCCTCCCTCCCCTTGCACTTGCTGAACTTACCCCCAGATTGGGTATACTACTAAAGACTACTACCGATCGATATGTTATTAGAACAACCTTACTCGCTAGATCTAAATCAACAAGATGAAGTTCATGCGAGGACCGGTGTAATTGTAAGCAGCTTGTTTTCGAAAATAGAAGCCACCTAGCGTTTTCAGATCGCCGCGTTTGTAAATTGGAGTTATAACTACTACCTCCTTCAAGTCTTGAGCCAAATTGAGAAAACTAACTCCATCTACTGCAAGTATTTAAATGTCGAATCTATCATGTGAAACTAAGAACAAGTCTTGTTGGACGGTGCTCCGTGTATGGCTTAACTACTACCACTACTACTACTACAACATGTGAAACTAAGAGGACTTCTTTTTTTTAACTGTGATAGATAGATTGATGGTTACTTGATTAACCGTCTTCTCTTTCATCAAGCAACATGAGTAGATTCATGGAGTAGTAGTAGATACTAACACCTAAACCGGTTCATTGCTGAACTGGGTATCTCATCATCATCAATACTACGTGTGAACCTGTGTGAAAGAGCCATTTAAGATGCATGACGATGATGATGATGATGATGATGAAAGAGCCAGTTTTTGCTACAACCTGGTCCCGCCCTCGAAGCTGAAGAACCTGAAGATAGCCAGGATGAAAAATTGCCATAAGTCGTCTTTCCCATGATCTGAAAATATCTCATAGTCGGATTCGATGTACTCGAGTTACAACTAGTACAACTGACCAAGTGAGTCTCTAGGAGAACTACACCCAGCGCACGAGCAACATGAGTGTGCTCAAAACCTTGAAACTTGCGACTGACAGTTAGCTAAAATTTAAGCGAGTGGATGAGAGGATCTTCTTAGAGTCTCTAATGACGGGAGAGGAGAGGCGGTACGAGAATCCACATTTATTGACATTTAAACTGCTCCATACAACTACTACTGCATAGGAGCTGTAGGGCGTAGACGTTTTTTCGTCCAAGCAAAGTAAATCGACATCAGCATCATTCTTCGCTTAAGATAAGTCAACCTTAGCGTTGTAAAGACTTAGGGTAAAACTAGCACACATCAAGAAAAAGAAAATGTCGCCGTCACAGAAGGATCACTACGATGCGTATACGAAGATGGAACTCTCAGGGCTCGAATGCGAGCTAAAAGACTGGTTTCTTAGCAGGAGGTAAAGGAGCGGTTTCTTAGCATTTGGACTGTACCCCATAGCAGGAAGCTCAATTTCTGAAATTATCACATTACAGATTTGGTCTATGTGTTTGAATTTTTAGAAAAGACGTTACTACCACTATTACTACAGGTTAGAGATGGAACGGGCCTTATCCATCAAGAAAGCGCTTGACGGAGCAAATTTTACAGGTAGTAGAAAGCGCCTCCAATCTATGATAGACAGTACAATAGTCACAATAATAGATATTGATATTATTTTAAGTACCTACATGTGCTCGTTTTCACCAAGCAATGCTCGTATTCATTTTCATTTTCACCAAGGAAGTGGAACAACAACTGCTAATCACAATCTCTTTTGTACCCCGTGATTGGGTAGACACCACCCCTACTTCTATGATGACCGTTGTTGCTACGACAGCGAACTATTCACCCTATAAATAGCCCGAAACCATTCATACAACTCCCGTCACAACTAAATAATCTTCATCACCTGTCACTTTTATTCAAGACCCTAGCATTCCACTCCCTACAGCTACAACAAGCGACTATTCACCCTAAATTAACCCGTATCTTTCAGTTACAACTGTAAAAGAGGAGAAGAAGAAGCGCATCTACCTAATCAAATCACTTATACCACGCGATTGGGTACACTTCTACTAATACTAATCCCCTCAAGATAGAACATCATCAATGGCCTCGAACGCGCACCCCCTCATTGCAGGTGAGCCAACTCCTATCCCATCCTATCCCATCCTATCCCATCCTATCCTATCCCATCCCATCCTATCCCATCCTATCCATCATCTAAACCCATTCAAGGTCTGTCATTGAACAATTCAAGGTTTGTCTTTGAACAACGCGGCTCTGCCACCGACTCAGAGGGTAATATGGGGAGACCTGATATACGGAAAACCCAGTTTGGACAAGGACCTATCAGAAAACGGAAAAGTAATGAAAGCGGATATGTATCTGAAAATTATGGAGTAGGGGAAATTAAGTAAGAAGGTCTAGGTGGACTACATCTACAGTGACACCTCAAAAAAAAAAAAACATCACGAGCGACCTCTCTAAAAACTCGTTCCAGCAAGCAACGGACTTGGATCATGCATGTCGTTTGCCGGGTTCCGCTTTTCTGAGGTGTCTTAAGGAGAATGCAAGGTCCGCAGACTCGCAGACACCATGCCAAGTTATGCGTGAGCAGGTCATTTGATCCATTTGATTATAACAGCAGTGGAACTTTTTCTTTTTCGATTCTTGACTCAGAACATGGTGATTTGATCTGCACATTACTAATGCAAGTAAGGTTATCGTCTTAGTCTTCTCTGCTGATTTCTCTATGTAAGGTTCTTAGGATCAAGTAAAAACAGGAGTTGTATTTGACATGATAGATTTAACTTCTATTCTTTGGTGCCGGACCATCAAATTAACCAGAACGAAAAGGGATTCTGAGAAGGACTTGGATTTGGCCATAGCCTAACCATGGTGACCATTCTGAAGAAGAACAGACTATGTGAGTTTGACACAATATGACGCTCTTTGAGCACATCATCTCCCAGTTTATACACAAGCCCTACTTCTTAAGTACTTACATTGTTCATTTTCAACGCTTTCGCGGCATTTGATACGTGTCGGAAAGGACTCATTGCACGACAGGAGGATGCCAGTCAGCGAGCGTTGATGCGACAGGACATTGGGGATCACCGAGCAAAGGCCATCTTCGATTAAGGCCAGGTCATCACTATCCCTATGCATGATTAGTTGGGAACGGTACAGTACTATATATTACTACTACTATTAATATCTACTACTAAGCTTAGATAGGGCTATTACTACTACTAGGCTTAGATAGGGCTATTACTACTACTAGGCTTAGATAGGGCGATTACTACTACTAGGCTTAGATAGGGCGATTACCACTACTAGGCTTAGATAGGGCTCTCCAATAGCTATCCCATGTGGACTATGGGGTTTAATTAATGGGACACCAAATTCTAGGGGGAAAAGCAAAGGGGATGAAACTTACTCAACCGCAGGGATATTGAAAAACTAGCGCTAAATCGAGCGTCGCAATATCCTTCTCGACACGGTTACTGCCAGTTGAAGTTGAAGTGATCTCCTTTCCCTGAAGTTAAAGAGAAGGTTCAGATTTTCCTTCTCTTGGAATGCTTGCACTTATTTTTTTGACAGACGCTCGTGCATGCTCGTGGAATTTACTGAACTTTCGACTTGCCCTTTCATATCTTCTTTGAATCAACAGCAACAAGTTGTAATGAACTCATCTATGCCTATCTCAGGCACTCTATGCCTATCTCAGGCACTCTATGCCTGTTTCAGGCATGTTGCGACAGCTTTGTCGTGGTGTCTCCACAAGCACAAAGACGAAGAGCAAAGGAGGTGTGGAAATGACATCTCTCGCAAATAAGTTCGGTTCTGGCACAAAGAGACATGTTGGCAAGAGAAAGAAGGAGTTGAAGGAGAGGAAGAAGTGCATCGAACTAATTAAATAGCTTATAGATACCCCGCGATTGCGTACACTACTGCTGCTACTACTCGCGAGATCTATCCTTGGGGGTCTTGCTTACCAATGTCGAGACAAAGTGAGACAAGTTGAATCTTGTGCGAAGCTAGACAGTAGGCACACCATGAGACAATCTGTGTGGGGTGGTAGAGACACCATGAGACAAGATGAGAATGACTTTTAAGGCACCTTCTGTGGAGAGGAGACCAGTTCTGAGGCACCTTCTAAGTCGCACAGTGAGAATTACAGAGTAAGACCAGTCTGTCCCTGCGCAGAGTGAGAGTCACATTAGAGTAAGAGTGTTGAGATTTTTTCTGTGGAGACTTTCCAACTGAGAATGTATCTGTAAAATTTTCTGTCAAAGACTGTTGCAGAATAGACACAGAATGCAATATATCTTTATCATCATAGAGACCGAATCTAGTGCACTCTTGTCCTTCATTTTTCGACGCTTTAGGCCCAGCGACTCTTCAGGCACTAAAGTAATACAGCCGGTTAGTTTTCGCCCCTATCCCTAGGCTTATCCCTTCAAACAATACACTCCTGTCCTTCATTTTTCCCGTTTTTTCCAGTGATATCTGTGCCTCGTGCGAAGATATTGCTACACCACTTTTGTAAGTCTACTATCTTCTTGGTTCTCGTCGTAGATACTAGACACTCATTGCTATAAAAGAGGCACCAGGGCATGACGTCCTGTCAACATCTACTAGAAACTACGGATTATTGTGTTTTGCCTAGTTAGGTCTGCTCCACGACAAAAATATCAAGAAATTACTGTACCAGCACGACAGCCATTGGACCAGACATTGGAGTTGTTGTAATCACAAATTTTTTCGTAATATTCTTACTGAGTATTTCATAATCCTTCGGCGTAATCCCTTCATCCAACTGATATCCATACGGCCTTACGACTGGTGAAGAGATACCTCTCCGTATCTTTCTTTCTCACAGCAACCTACAACCATATTCATAGCTTACCAGTACCTACACCGAGCATCAACCTGGCTCTTAGCCCCTTGAGCATCCATCTCAAGATGACGTCTACGTCTTGTTTGGGTGTCGCGGCGAGCGCGTCAGGCGTCCCTCGCTTCTGCCACATCGTTTGTAGCATGCTCTTCATTTGTGCGTTTGGGCTTGATCTTGGTTATCATCAGCGTGGGGATCCTGTACCAGCGCAAGCAAAGGGCTTTCTTGCGGTATTTTGTAGACTTCAGTTGTCATCTTCTTGACTAGTAGTTTACAATTACCACCTGTGCTGATATTCACTGTTTTAACATCATGGATCATCATCATTAAATCGTGGATGGATCATTACCGTCCTCATTATCCTCATAAACCCTCGTCTGTACACCACCTTATTTTTGGGGCCACCTCTTACACTACACTAATCTTAGACGCATGGGCAAAGCGATTCAAATCATTACACTACAGCAGCCACACCAAGTATACAGACAAATCTTATTTTTGAAACGTTTTGATCTAGGTCAAAAGATACCTCAAGACCAGGTAAATGAATGAATGTATCAAATCATCACACTACAGCAGCCACACCAAGTATACAGACAAATCTTATTTTTGAAACGTTTTGATCTAGGTCAAAAGATACCTCAAGACCAGGTAAATGAATGAATGAAACCAAACCTGATACTCATACTAGTAGTGCAAAAAGTGGTGGAGATGCAACCTCTAATTAAAAGATCTTACACCCCACGAGTGGGTGCATCTATCTATCTATCTATCTATCTATCTATCTATCTATCTAGTAGAGTGAGAAGAAAGATACATATTTACTCATTTCTACAAATCTCAACACGCCCCTCCACCAACTTCACAGAAACGAACAAGTTCCTTGGTGAATCTATCCGGCAATCTGGTAGCTTGTACTTCTAATCAATTTGAAGAGATTGTCGATCCTCTGGTGAACCGTTTTTATGGCGTGACGGCGGAAGAGTTGGGTCTCTCTTCCGAAGCAGCATCGGCCTTGGCACAGAATCTTTGCGCGGCTTCTCAGATCTTTAATGTGCAATGCTCTAGTACAGGCGCGACAGGAGCCGACGAGAAACTTAAACAACTGCAAGCCGTCTACAAGACAGTGACGGAGGTACTTCAATAACTTATTTTCTCTATAGTATTTATTTAGTTACTTACGACGAAGACGAACTAGCACTACTACTAGTAACTAGTACCAGTTCTAGGTGTAAATTTTCATTCCCGCCAACAAGCTCCCAATCTGCCTTGTAAGTAGTTAATGGAGAAAGAACAAGGAAGCTCAGACGAAGTTTCAATATTTGGCTCCGCACACTACACAATGATAAACAAAAACAGGCTGACGGGAGTGGAACTGCTGCGTGGTTGTGGGTGAATTTAAGGCTTGTCGTTACTGAGCTCATTGTAGACACTTGCATGCCCATGCTTCCATGTATATCAAGGACACCTCAGGGAGAACTTCTAAATCCCTAATCTAGTGGTAGTACGTGACTCGTCTCTCTTTAGTTGATTATAGAGATAAGAACAGTCATATTAGATTACAGTCATGTTATTGGCTTGTTTTTAATATCGTGGAAATGGTCAGGCACAGTGTCAATCCTTGTGGAGTTTAGTACTAGTCTTCTAATGTATGCACTTTCTGCGGACCTCGTTTGGGGTGGCTATCTCCCGGACCAGCGGAAGGACCTGCGTGCCGCAATCTACAACCCGTGTGGAGAAATGACAACGGTTTACGACGCAGGCGCAGGAGCTCAGACGACTGCGGACGCTTTTGCGGGGAAAATTGAAGAAGATATGAGCCAATTTGCGAAAGCAAACGAGAAGTTGGTGCCTGAAATCAGCGTGATCACCGACGAGAAGGTTTTTCTTGACCCATCTGATGGTGACGATCCGCTTGTGGTGTATAGACTGCTCCGGGGCCCGATAGAGGCAGATGTTAAGGCTTTCCTTCACATTTTAATTTAGGGAGTCGCGGCTAGGACGTGATCTTACTTGTTACAAGTACTTATTTATTAGACTTTCGTTTTTAACGTCGTGGCTTGACAATTTATTTCCGGCTGCGTCTCTAACATGATCTCAAACTATAGATATCTTCTTCATGATCAGTGTCGCTCGCAAAAAGTCGGCCGTATACAGCGGGCGTTCCTGAGCGGTGTTTTTATCCTGGGATGAGACCATTCATTATATTTTTCGTGATGGAGCTCTAGGCTTATTTGGTAGTAGATAGGTACCTCTTGACTGATTTCCTTTTACTTTTTGTTTTTCCTAGGTAGGGCTCCACTAGAATCATGTATGATGCAGCTCTAATCCGCAATCGACAACATTGAAGTGGGGCGGATCGCAACTGATGACGAATAACCTAAATACGGTCATGCGGAACGAACATCCTCTGAACATTTTGCAAACGCAAGAATCTGGAACACCGACAGCAGTGCTTGCGATTGGTGCGGGATGGGAAAGCAAGATGACGTCACCAGAGACGTCACCAGAGGCGAAAGTGCGAGCGCGGAAGCAGTTTAGCATGTTTCTTCCCGCGATGTCAAAGCGCCTCTCCATTGGCATGCTCGATATGGCTGCGGTCGCAAGGGACTTTCTCGACGACGGGACGCTTGCTTTCGTAGCCATTAACGGTAAGCACGTGTGGAGTGAGTCCTTGAACGTGCCCAAGCGGGACTTACCTCGATTTTGGGAGGGGGCGTTAACTGGATTTTGGGAGATTTTTGATTTTGCTTCTGATGCCGAAGCGATCTTTGACTACGTCTGGCGCGATAGGATTGCCGCTCATAAAGAAGGGACCGCCGCTCCGCCGTGGCCGCTTTTGAAGAAGTCAAACGTGTTTTATTTTAACAGCTACGTGCCTTTAGCGCCATTCCCTAAGTCGCATGCTTTTAAGTTTGGACACTGGCGGTCTGATGCGCGCGAAACGCCAGCTGTGTTCTACCGCATATGTCAGTACGCGGACGGCGCGCGCTACGTCTGCGGATACCACGGGATCTGTCCCAATGTGAAATGTGATTATGCGGTGGATGACAGAAGTGTCCAAGGAGGTCTTCCGAGGATTCGTGCGAAAAACGACCGGATAAAGAAGACCAACTGCATGGGAGTGCAAAGCAGATTGGATGAGTTGAAGTTAAGGCTCAGCTTTCAATGGTCATCATTTAGATTGGAGTCACTGAGATCGAAGAGGCGACCCCTTGAGAGGGAAAAGGGGAGAAGGGAAAAGGGAAAGGAGAGAGCTTTGACGGGGGTCCCTTCCGTTCAGAGTCAGTGACCATTGAAGGCTGAGCTTTAATGAAGGTGCAGAGTAGCTACTGGAATGAGTTTGACAAGCTGCCGCCCTTGGTGGGGTCTCTGCTTGCTGCCGGCGTGTTGCCGGAGAGCAAGAAAGTCGAAACCTCTGCTGAGATGATCAGATCGCTACAACGGGGAATGTGCGAGAGGTGGGACCGTGAGGCCGTTTCCACGTGGAAACTTGAGGACGGTCGATTAAGAGCGAGTGTTTTCTCAACATCATGATCATCTCTTTCATCTCGTTCTATTGACATGACGTGACGACCACAGACCGTGTACTTCCAGGACATGACTTTGCAAGTACTTGTACTTTTGAATTATAACTCAACCAAGAACTACAAGTGAGAAGAGCATTCTCTTCGTGATTTTTTGACTGGATTTTTCCACCAACATGAACCGTCAACATGAAGAGGAAGATAAAAAAATGATGAAACAATTATGCTAAATTAATCCTCTAAGTCCAGAATACGGCGCTGTTACTATTTTCCCGGGAACCTCGCACTTCCCCGAGACACAGTCACTGCGCTATTTAAAAACGGAGATGAGTGAATACACGCAGGAGGGCGCTGCCGCGCAGCTTAAGGAGATGGAACGACAGGGCAAGGCAGATTGGGAGATCAAGCTACAAGAAGCCCACAATAATGCCGTTGAATTATCGCGCATCCGCGCCGCCGCCCAGATTGCTCGCTCAAAGATTGTCCGCGTCACGGTCGTTCGCATTCCGATTCCTGGAAAAGCGGAACCACAACGCACCTATCGCACAGGACCGCCCAGACGGAAGGCACCCCCGACGGACCGATCTGCTCAAGAACGAAGCCCTGGTGGTTGGCGAAGCGGAGCGGCATCGCCGCGAAGTAGTGGCTCACGCGGTCGTTCACAAACTCCTAGGGAGCCGCCTAAAGTTCAACTTCGTTCCCTATCTCCTAGACGTTCTCGAGGTTCGTAGGGTTGTGATTTTAATCAGTCGTATTGGTTTCACCCGAGGAGGAAAGTTAGACTTTGAAGTGCAAGACCAAGGCTCAGGGTTTGTTTTCATAAATAGTAGTTCACGGTCTTCTGATAAGTCTGCTTCTGATATTAGGTTTGAGTAGTTCAGAGTAAGTGTGCGGTGATGTGGTTCACCAGAGTCTTAAGCCATTCAAGACCTACTCAGGTAAGTAACACTATTGAAACAACATGATTGGAATAACACAATACAAGTATCTGTGCCACATCATGATCAATCTGTCATTCTTGTAAACAACTCGCATGAAGAGCTTGGATGGAAATAATAATCGATGTTTCAAATGCTCAAAAATATCTGCAAGCAATTATTAATTTTTCAAATACTGTTACTCAATTACAAAAGGAAAGACCAATCACATAATTACAAACTCGATGCTACAACAACATACAATGCAACCTCTAATTAAAAGATCTTATACCCCGTGAGTGGGTACATCTATCTATTTATCTATCTATCTATACACGAATTTACAAACTCGGAACTACAGCATGAATTTACGAACTCGGAACTACAACATGGATTTACAAACTCGGAACTACAGCATGAATTTACAAACTCGGAATTAGAGCAAATGCAATGTCCAGATGCAAAATATAAGATTACTGTCAATAGTAAAAACTGTACATCTTCGAATCACACAGGAGAAAGTATATGCCTGTCGTGTTAAGGTAGAAAGGAAGTAAAGCAACAACACCTCTAGACTAGGTACAATCATCATCATCATTTTCATGACTCTGGGAGAAAATGATTAGAAATAGAATGAAAATATTATAAGCGCTGCAGTTGTTGCGAGTGGTTTTCAACGCCTGCTCTCAGGCGAATGTCTGCTCTCAGGCGATCGTCTGCGCTCAGTCGAACGTCTGCTCTCAGGCGTGGGCGTGCTCTGCTTTCGTTCCAGAAGGAATTTCAGTCGTCAAGTGAGGAGAATTGATATTTTTTCAGCATCGAGCGTTGGTTGCAGGCCATTCATCGTCATTATCGTTACGAAAATATACGATATCTAGCGGGGCACCACAAACGACTACTTATAAATATGAAATCCTGAAATATGCAGAACAGGCGTTGGAGCAAGATTCAATTGGAGCAAGATTTCATGCTGCCACAAGACTTGAATGCAGCAGCAAGACTTCTGATGAATGTCGTGACGTAACTCTATGACGCTAGTAGGCAGTCTGCACTGAACTTTGCGCGAGATAAATGGTATTGCGTTGTATGTATCAAATAGATTCAGTCCTCTGGCTATGCCTAAGCTGCCAGTAGCGAGAACGCGTGCCCGTAGAAGCACTGTGATTGTTCTGTACTTGTCTTACAAGAACCGTTCACTGAGAACTTACTTCCATCCCGTGGTTGTCTGAGCTCTTTTCTCAGAGTCTCCTGTCCAAATTTGTGAGTGTGCCCTCTACTTCTTCTGTCAACCTGAGTTCTCTACTTGTTCTGTCAACTGGAATGCCCTACTCCTTCTGTCCATTTGAGTGAGCAACTCTATTCTGTTCACTTGAGTGAGTTTGCATCTTCTGTCCTATTGTTGAGTGAACTCTCTTCTGTCCTGTTGTTGTGATCTACATTGCTAGACGTGATATTTCCACAAACTACAAGTTGAAGAGAAGGGTGTGGCGAAGTATCTGTATTGAGGTTTCACTTCTGTCACAAGTGAGGCGAGAACAACGGGAATCGTAAAGAACGCGAGATAGAGATAGTTTACCTGCTTTTATTTCATAACTTCAACATCAGAGAAATTCGTAGAACACAGAGGGGACTCAGGGAAGTCGTAGGTCCAACCCGATCCGACTAACATCGTCGTCGTCTGCTTTTATTTAATGTTCTTGATCGACATGCATCTGTAGGTATGATATTTTCCTTCTAACTGTCAGTCTTACTCTTGTGCTCTAAACCTTGCTATCTGAGATAGGGTCCCGCTTGCAGTAAAGGAAGTGACAGTGCATCGTTGTACATGCGCAACTGGTGACGGAACACCCTACCTCCAACGCAACCCATTTTTCCCCATTGCTAGTTGTACATACAACTTCTAGGTGACTTATATACTTATTTTGATCTTAGGATCAAGAATATGAGTATGACAAGTATTATCGGACTTCATCGAGAATATCTAGGTATTTAAGTCTTGCATCTCCTCTGACGGATCAGTTTTGTCTTCACTCGACTCTTTGCGTACGAGGTTGTGACATCTTCCACGAATCTTCTGTGATGTTTCCACAAACAGCTTCTCTGTGTTGACTTCGAACTAGGGTAGAAGTAAGAGTCGAAACCACGTTTAGTAGACCTGCTTTCTTCGACTTTTCGTTGTCTTGGTAAGATCAGCAAGATGACAACCCGCTCTTGGCAGTTTCTGTGCGTCCTTTGCGCGTGCACAAGCGCGCTTGACCAAGGACAGCGCAAGAAACGAGTTGCCGCGTCAGAGGTGTCTGATAAGGAATTCGTGGGACAGTTGGAGCAGGAGCGCAAGAAGAAGATCGATGAGCAAGAAGGAAAGGACCAGGCGGCGATGGCCAATGATAGCCTTTTCAAAGCGCACGACGACAAGTGCGCAGATCTACAAACAGAGGCAGCTGAACCTGAAGGGGGGAGTCGTGCTGCGGCTGCGAAGCAGATCGTTGATGGTCTCGTGGATCGCTTTTACGGCAAGGAGAAACCGGCCGCAAAGCAGGCTATGAAAGCCCTTGGAGGCGCAGGAGATGCAGCTCCGACGCAAGCATTGGCAGTCGGTTTGTGCAAGGCGCGCCGCGAGATGAACACGGCATGTACTCAAGAGGACAAGAATGGTGCTGCCCAAGAGAAGTTGCGAGATGAAAAAATGTCCCAAATCTACGAGGGCGTCAGTAGGGTACTAATACATGCATAATTAAATAAAAGGTTCTCTTCTTGTTTAACCTTCAATTTGGGTACTACCTTGTTTTCTCTGAATGTGATTCTTTCAATCAAGGAAGGAAAGTACATCATGGTTTCTCAATTATAGCAACAACTGTGAAGAGATCTTGGATACTTACCTCAACTCCAAAACCAGGCTGGACCCGTTGCCGGCTGGTTGTGGGTCATGGCAATGTCGGCGGACTATTACTGGGGTGGATATTGGCTCGGTCAACGAAACGACCTTCGTGCGGCACTTTACAGCCCGTGTGGAACTGATGCGGCTGCTGGCGTGGGCGCATTTCCCAGCCGGATTCAAAGTGAGATGAACAATTTTGCGGATGATGATTCAGCGGCAGCGCTGGTGCCGAATTTCATCGTCTTTAGCGATCATGATGATACGCTGGAGTCCAGTGACCCCAAGAACGGAGGCATTTCCGGGATCGACAGGAGCCTTAAGAACCCGCACACTGTCTACCCGAATGCCGTTCTCGCGCATAAGCTGCTCATGACGGAGAGCGGTTTGGAGGGCAACAATTTGATCAAGGGCACGACCTTGCAAGCAGCCGCCGGGAAGGAGCTGCCGTCGACGTGGTTCCTGTCGCTTTTGACGGCACGCGCCCCTGAATTGGTGTCACGCAATGGCAGTCCTGTCAACGAGTTGCACGGTCTAGCAGAATCTCGAAAACCCACAAAAGAGTCTCCGACACCCACACCGGTGGCTGTGCTTCCTGGCGCTCCGCTGCAGGGAGAGGGTACGACCAATCTGCTGTTGGGTCTTTTGGCCGCAGGAAAACGTACGACACCGGGATCGGAGGCTACGCTCGACGTGGCCAAGGAAGCCCTTGATGCCGTACAGGCGCGCAAAGTTGAGGTTCTCCAGCAGTTCAACATGTTCTTGCCTTCGAACTCGAAGCGCATCTTCATAGGTGATGATGGTCAGGCCGATGCGAAGGCAGCTGCGGAGATGCTGAAGAAAGGCATGATTTCATACGCAGCCATCAAGCGCGTGTGGTTTGGTGGGAACTTTATTCAGCAGGACCCGTTTGTATGGCTGCAGGCCAGTATTGCTGAAGGCAAGCTGCCCAACTTCTTCTACTTCGATCACTACGCTCCGGTGTATCAGGGATCGGCGGATTGGGGTTTGTTTAATTCGGAGTTTGCGAAAACAGTAGTGGAGGACCAGTTTGGCACGGGCAAGACCTCGAAGACCGAAGCACGATGGTGGAGCCAAGAAGATAAGGGTCGTGAAGTGATCGCTTTCTACGAGCGCATTTGTACGGCGAAGACGGGTGTCCGCTACCTGTGCAGCTACAAGAACAATTCGTGTGATCGAAATGAAGGTCTCGTCGTCGATACGAAAAATCTCCCGACTTTGGTTGGGCATCTGCTCGCTGCCGACGTTTTGCCGGAAGAGGCGAAGTCGACTAATGAACCTGTCCAGCTGACAAATGATCTGTGCGAAACCGATAGGGATAGGCAGTCTGTCTCCACGTGGACGCTTGGCAAGGGAAAGACGAAGCTGGATTACTCTGCTGTCACTGTTTTTTCGAACTCCGACGCGGATGTCAAGGCGACAGATGCGAGCGGCACCGAGGAGATCTCCATCAAGAAAATTACGGTCGTCCGTATCCCGACAGATGCGAAGCCCGCAGCAGCAGATGCGTCACCAGTGGCGTAGTGTTTTAAAGAGGTAGATTGAATCTTTATGGAGTAGAAGAGAAAACTCACACGTCAACGGGAGGAGTACGTAAGTGAGTCGAGTGTTTAAGGTTGTCACGTTCATGTTCATCTATGTCATTTCGATCACAACAGATTTAGATCTTCCAATTCCAAATTGAATAATTTTCCAGTAAGCTGCTAGTCAAAAAGAGTAGAAGTAATATTGCTATGCTGTCTCATAAATCAATTCGCATTATCAACACATTCATTTATTATCAATCGTATTTCAACAATATGTCATTTCTTCTCCGTTGCAGCCTATCATCTACGTACAAATTATCAAAGTGTCTATGTCATCACTATTCCACATCGAACACTTGAAGAACTGACTAAGAATATTGACTCAACATCGTAGCTTGAATATCCATGCAAATGCAGAACAATAAATGTTACGTCTATCATCTATTCACAATTCCAAGAACGACCTTTCACTGCACTACATCAGCAACACAACTTGAATGTCGCAATATATATCATTAACTTCAACCTCCGTCATCTAGCACCCTTTCATTCAACAACACAGCACACATGCCACATGATCTTGAGCAAACGTAGGGCACTGCAAGAAGTACAGAGCTAACGTAAATCACTACAAGAAGTTTTCAGGATACTCGAGAACACTACAAATGTATTAAGGTACAAAAATGCACCGACGCTTATCATGAATTTTTCTGGGAAGTATTATGATGTTTTTCCAGACAAGCAAATAACTAGGGGAAATATGTATCGTAGACCAATGATAATAAAACTTAAAATCGCAAGAATTTATTTGTACAACAACTGCAACAACAGTATGAATTCGAAAAATAATTTTAGGTTATCCCTTCTTGCAATATAAATTCGAAAATCAATTCATTCACAAGACTGCAGAAGATTGATAGTGGGATATTATTTCTGACTAATGCTGCCTCTCTGCTTTGAGTGGAAGTCCTCGTGTTCATCTGGAACAAGAGGCGACACGACTGCATCTTCTATCACCTGTGCTGTTAGATTATGCTGCCACTCCTGTCGAGGTGCAGTTTCTGATTGGTTGAGGTGCAAGATAAAAGCTCGTCTGAAGATTTTTCACATCAACAACACCAAGGAGAGAGAGAGATTGAGAGGAGTAGCTGTTTCGGAGTCAAGATGCATTTGTGTAGTAAGTAATAGTTAATAGTAGCACATCATAGGAATGACGGGTCTTTGTTGCGGTGGTATGAAAGGGTACTGTAACCGTGCTCGTGCATTTTCTTGCTGTGCTGCGACGGGTCTTGGGGTTTGAGGCAACAGATTGTATTGGTTGGCGACGCACTGTATGATACAGCGGATCTCGAGTCGCATGGAGAGTCATCCTTTACACGAAAATTCGCACAGACTTCTGTGCTGGGCCTAGCAGGAGGCTAGGATCGTTTCGGGGAAGAAGAAAAATGGAGTCTGCCAAAGGGACGATGTTGATGGGTACTAGAACGACATGGTTCGAGATGCGGTCTCAAGAGCCGTCGTCTCATCACCTCCTTGGAGACAAAAGATGTTGGACCAGGAGCAAGGGCGTCAAAGCTGCTCCAACACTAACAGCATCTGCAAGTTCTTCTGGCGTGTGTTGCTTCCTCGTCAAACATTCTGGAAGCCAGATGAAACACCAAGCCCTGACGACACCTTTCTCCGTTTTCGCCTTTCTGCGATGGCTTGTTCTCATTGCCTGCTTTTTTCCACATCCGCTTTTGAGAACAACTGGTGTAATAGCATTTCCTATAGCAGATCCTTGTCGTGCTGATACGCAGATGGTAGAACTAGTAGAAAAAACATTACATACCAGCGTCCAGAAGATGCAGCATCGTTGTACACGAGCCAAAAGCGATATATTTCATTATGGTGGGCTTGAATGATGTCAAGATTCTGATTCTCCTTTATTAGATGAAGGTGTGGGCCAACTAGTACGCATCTTTTGGCTGTGGTATTTTTGGTATACTTACATCTTCATCTTCTCTTTCTCTTGTAAGGCACAGTTGCCAATTCTTTACGTACTTCCTCCGCTTCTACACTGACTTACTCTTCGTCCTTCTCTTCATAAAAAGCGTGTTTCGGGTCATCTGGTGAAGCACAAGATAGAGGAGTTTTGCGCTGAAGGCGTGACGCTGCTCTTAGGTGCATTAGACATTTTACATTCGGCGTGTGTGGATTTCAATCGCATGTTTTCCAGAGCAGTACGGCAAAACCGGTTCCTCAGACGACTCGGGAAACAGATTCTGCCGACAGATGATATTAGGATTATAAGAATGCAGCTTTATTGATAGTAGAACAATTGTTCCGAAGTGGACTTTTCAAATTGGACTTAGTAAGTTGTTCGAGTCATAGACTCTTCATCAACATAAACGGATTTGTTGATGTACAATTTCGAAGAAGTACTATGATTCTGGTTTCAAGGTACAGTACAACTACGAATTATCACCTGGTGACCAAGTCTCCGTCCAAAAATCTTCTAACTATCGAACAAGAAATAACGAAAATGAAAAATTCAAGCTACCTCAGAGCAGAGACAAACTGGTTGAGGACATTACGAAATCTTTTTATCTCGGCTTCGAGCACATGGGAGATGTCAGTGACCACCTAGCAGAAGAGTTTCGCCTGATAGTTCTGGCGTACTATCAAGAAAGGGAGAAAGCATTGCGAGCGAGACAAGCAGAAGAAGGCAGTGGGCCAGCCAGTGGGCGGAGTGAAATGTAAGAAGATATGAAGGATTTCATTCTCTTGGCTTACTGCTTACTCTCATCCTTCGCTCTTACCTTTATCCTTGCTTAGCTCCTTTCTCTTGCTCTTCCATATAATTCTTCTTCATCCTTTTCCTGCCTTCACGGTGTCGGAGGAGACTGAACGGATATTACGTGTCATGTTCCACGACGGTGAAGCTATCAAGGACCTTGTGATGCGTGCGCGGGTCCAAAGTATAGTCTCCGAACTTCGAAAATGGTCCACGAATACAGAAGAGCTGTTTTATGGCTATAAGTGAAGATACAACTTTTTCTGGATGGAGTTTGTTAGAAAGAAACTTTTTCTTGGAGCAAATGAAGCTCTACTCTGCTTTTTGGATGCAGAACTACAAGAAGAAGAAACTTCAACTTCTTTGTTGCGAAAACCATGGTTTTTCTGCTCATTTGAACTTCTTTGAGTAGACTTACTGAATGCACTGTAGTTCTAAGCCAAAGTAGACTTTTCCACCGGTGACGACTGGCGTGAGCCCATTGTCGAACATTTTAGGGGTCTGCTGAAAGACGACGCTCTCCTATTCGATCAGAACCCGATGCGATTAGCTAATCTTATGGGTTGTGGGTGTTGACATAGAGCTCGTCCTTATTTAGAAGCAATCTATAGAGACGTACTGTGCAACGCACACAAAGGGGTAAAAATGTACAAGTAGACCAGGGCCAAGGCGAAAACAACATGCTCCTGCATAACCTAGTGTGCAAAAACAAGAATCATCGACTTCGAAATATTAATACTAAAATTGTAGCAAAGATACCTACTGTTTTTACTGTCATCTCTGTCCTCTACCACACGTTCATCATCATCATCATCATCATCGTCGTCGTCGTCGCTCTCTAATGGTCAGCTGTTAAACTTCGCTCCGTATGTGGTGGATGCAGTGCTATCCACAGTATCTGAGGTGGTGAATTACCACTTGGGGGATTTCCACGTGAAACAGTATCCGACTTTATTTCAGCAGATAGAAGCCTTCCCGCAACTCGTCCAGCCACAAGTTCGTCTAGTGTCCTCGATATTAAGGTTGCAATTTTGGATTTTTGGTTATTATGGAACTGGATGGGTCAGGTGTTTGTTGGGTTTCTTTCTCGCAAGTCTACAGAGCAACCAGCTGGATCAACAAACAGCACAATCAGAAACTATAAATTAATGAATAACATCACTTCTAATCGAACGAGGACCCAAGTTTTGTCGGTCGTTGCTTGGATTTGACGCCCGTCGCGATCCTCTATTAGCGAAGCGGAGACTCTGGTCAGATATCACTGGGTTGTATTCACTGCAACCCACCATCTTAGACCATCTGGAGCACTATTCGGAGCAACTGAGCTATACGGTGATTGGAATGCAGCCGAGGGCTGTGATTGGTGCAGAGAAATTGCAGGACACCTATCGGTCGGACTGGGGTCGCGACGGATCGGAAGCGCGTGCAGAGACCATGCGGAAGTTTGGTCTAACCAAAGAAGACCTTCGTTGCAACGCGACTGGACTAGCCTACACACCGACTCGGTGTCTCTTCGATGCCGGATGGGGGAGTCTGACGTTCACTATCAACACTGAACCTCCGTACGATGCGACGCTGACGGTGTCGGAAATTTACGAGAGAAGGCTAAAAAGATGGTGGAATACGCAGTCAAGTATACTAGAATATAATATGAAGAGACAGTAGAGAGTCTTTCTTTGTGCTAGAAATGATCAGGTTTCTTGATCCTCAGTTCGCTTCCGATTAGAATCTTTTTCGTTCGATAAGGATCTTGCTTCCTTCCCTTCATTCCCCGACGGAGAAAGTTGGTGTCGATTTTTCGAGTGCAGAGTACCCGAGCCCGCCTTCTCGGCCAAGCCCGTTTGTGCAGCCGGTGGCCAATGGGAGCACTTCCTATGAGGACATGGTTGAGGCTGTGGATGGCGTGTACAAAACTCTGAACCACCCGACACCGGATTTCATGTTCTTCTCGCCTCTAGTGGGAAATTGCATGCTACTGGAGAAACTGGGCAGAAGCAGAGACGACCAGGGGACGAATCGGAATTATGTTCTTGGGGAAATGTGAATTCGACGTTGAATATGACTAAAGCTTTGCTGAGATATGTAGACTTTCCTCTTAGTGTTGAAATAATATCCATACGTCCGCTTGGTCCTTAGATAGAAGATTTACAAACAGCACAAATTACTTATAGATACGACTGCACTAGTAGTAGACATTTTCTAACTCTGACGGAATCCTCAACTGGCACCAAAGTTGATTGCTGTTCCGATCAATCCGTTAGTTCCGCCACCGTTTGAATTTGTGCCAGATTTCAATGCCTGGCACGAACGTGAGCTAGAACAAGGAGATAAAAAGCCTCAAGACAGCGCTTGGCTCTTCACCCAATGCAGTGTCGCAGCTGCTGCAAGGATTCTTTATGGATGTTGGTCTTGGTTGTTTGTTTTTTCGGCACTGAATTATGTGCTTTGTATCTCCGTCATTCACTGTAACTCGTGACACCAGATGAATGGAACAATACTACTAAATCCTTCCTTCTTTCATATTCCAGAAAAACAGGGATATGCCTTATTGCAGATCGACCACGCCTTGGCGCTGTTTGGGCGCAAGCTAGGTCCCGCAACGCGCTTCGGGGTCGGGCCACTACTGCCACAAGAGTTGTGGTTGCAGGGATGGCATTGCATTAAGGCTTACTCATGATCAACAAGATCTTTTCCATTTTCTGCATGGAAAAAGATTTCACAGTCAATCATGCATTAGGCTTCTTGGGACATTACTATCTACCTGTTCATCTAATCAAAGTCCAGCTGCACGCACTTTTCTTGCCTTAGAGTGGAAAAGCGGTTTGGATGTGGATTTTCTCACAGACAATGAGATCGATCCGGTGTTACGTCAACAGGAGTTGTGTAGATTTGTCGACCGTTTTTCGCTTCCCATGGTCTGGCGCGCTATGCCTACACTAGACTGTTCGAAGGTTGCTGAAAAACTGTCAGCCGAAGAGGACGAAGAAGCAGAAGAGGAAGTACGCGCAGGCCTTGTAGTGGCGGATGGGTCTAGAGATACTATAACTGTGTTATCAGAAGCAGAAGTACAAGTCGTGGGTCAGCAAGAGGAGCAGAAGAACAAGAAGGATAGTCAAACTGGAGCTGTTGTTGCAGTATCTTTTCCAGCCCACACGTACCGAACCTTGGACCCGAAAACGTCGAGTTCGCTCTTTGGTGACCTGAATTTATACAATTTATGGCAGCGACGAGTAGATGTACCTCGTGTACAGAGGATAATTTGATGGACTGTAGTCTAGTACAGCTAGTTGCAATCTCTTCTCTGTTATGAGGGGCTGGACAGCGCGAAGATCTCTCGTATGATAAACCTGCCAGATCCAACAGCCAGTTCTCCGCTCTAAACATCGGCCGTACGCAACTGTTATTCTTAAGGGAGTGGGACACGACGAATCCAAGGAATGAACTCGGCAAAAAATTTTTGTTGGAGTCGCAAAACCGTGGTCGCTGCTTGGACGATCTAGGAATCTGCGAGTGCTTTATTCCCTGGCGTGGCCGCTTCTGCGAACAGAAAGAAACGTTGAAGAGTCTAGAAGAAATTGTTAAGAATGCAGTTTACTCAGTCGTGGTTGTAGCTTCTTTCATCTTTCCATAGGCAGGCTTGAGTAATTTTGTTATAATGTCAACCGCCTCTATCAGAGGAGGAGCAACCATGTGAGCCAGCACCCTCACTGCAAACTTCTTCTCCTTCTAAACTTCACGAAACATCCGGAAAGCTCAAGAAGGGCTACAAAGCGGCACTGCATTATCTTGTTGGCGACAGCCCACGTCTGCTCCGCGACATGCGGTTGAGCTTACAAATCCTTTGGCGCAATTTTAATAGCAGACACGAATACCCGGTTGTTATTTTTCATGACGGTTTGTCCCCTTCAGCTAGGCAGATTCTCATAGAGAGTTCGCCAAACAAATTGTGGTTCGCCTTCGTCGAGGACTATACCAGTATCCCGGAACACCTGAAAAACAAGATCCCGCAAAACGACTTCGCGGGATACAACTTGGGCTACCGTGGAATGTGTCGCTTCCGTTCAGGACCGATATTTCTGCATCCGGTGTTACGGAAGTGGATATTTGTGACTATTCGTGAATGAGTGATGAAAAAACAGCGCAAGGTCGGGAAAGAATTGAAGTGGCGTGGCGGAAGATCAGATAACTGAGATGAGAATGAACAAGTCTAGATGAAAACTCCGCTTGTACATGTACGCTCTAATCCCCTTAAAGGATTTCGACTACGCGTGGACCCTGGATACTGACGGCTACTTTCCAGCACCTGTTGAGTACGACCCGATTCAGCGGATGCATGATCAAAACTTGATCTACATGTACTCGCACATATCGCGGGACCAAGCTGGGCAGGTGCAGCACTTTTGTTATGTGAGTGCGCAGGTTTCTGTGTGTCAATAAGTATGTCCTACGTTCAATCGTCATTTTGTCTCTGTCATTTCCACCCAAAGCCCTTCTACCAATGAAGCAGCATAGTCGTAGTTTCTAACATCCGGAGTTTCTCCGTATGTACATCGAGCATAAGGGCTATGACAAAAAAGGGACCAAATTGATGCGGCGGATTACGGATGCTTTGGTGATGCGCGATACCTACTGGCATGAGTGGAACCGACTGCTATTCATGAACGACATCGAGTTAGTGCGACTTAGCTGGTTTCAAGCGGACTTATATTTAAGGTGCAGGAGGGTTAGTAGTCTTCAACACTTATCGTTGTGCACTTTCTTCTTGTTCTATCTTGAAGTCAATCGCGCAATGATCAACTACACTTTCTTTTGTTATACGACTTTCTCCAGTACGTAGAGCTAAAGCCATTTGATGATGCAAGGCCAAGATAGTTATCCGAATCACAAACCTCAACCGCTAATACGTCAAGAATATTTCAGATTTTTGGACTCCTTAGGCGGTTTCTGGCTCTATCGCTGGGGTGATCACGGGATCCGGACGATTGCCATCGCGATGCACTTGGGAGAAGAGTATTTAGCGAAATTGGACGTCCCCTATTCGCATCAAGGTGCTTGCGTTTGCGCATCGGAGAACAAAAAGTGCGTAAAGAGGAAAGACAAAAATTAAGGTGTGGACTAGAAGTGCGTCCTGCATGGATTCCTAGTTGGAGTGAACAATGTCGACGAGGCATGATCTCCATCTTGCCTAGCCGTTTATTCACTATTTTAGAAATGAATAGTACAACGCAGATAAGAAGGTCAGCACCCTCTCCTCCCTCTAAAAACCAAAACAAGACAGCGACCTTCCAGACGGAGAGGATGTGAGTCGCAGCTACAAGTTCGAGTGCGTCTACAGGCAGCCAGGAGAAGAAGTTGATCCAGAAGACGCGTCTTTCGGTGTCGTCGACCCAGTGCGGTTTTTTGGAGGAACCTAACAAGGTGGACGATGGACAGTTTCAACATATTGTTAGTCAGGACTTGGAAGAAAACAAATAATGACGCATCGCGCATTTAGTTCTTAACAAAAATTTGTCATGATGGATACAACCGGCGTAAATTGATCCACTTCTATTCATTACATCGCACATTATAAGGAGACGAAATGGAGACGAAATCTGATGAACTCTACTAAGCAAGAATGAAGACTTTCCACACCAGTACACGAAATATAATGCGGATGCTGAAATAATTCTAATGTTATCTCTTCGCACAAGTTCTTTTCCCGCAGTGAATCTGAAATTTAAGTACAGTCAGGAACAAATTTTTAGAGCCTTCTAGTACCTCTGCCATCGACTGGTGAAGGCAAACGGATAGAGGAGACCTCTTCTCTATGATGAGGATCTCACGACGGAACAAGATCTCTGAATTTTCACTTTGTGTATCAAGATCCATTGAGAAGAAGCGGAATAGAGATGACACCAGACTTGAGATCATCCACTTCATAGTACCGAACCGAGGTTCAGTGGCATTTGAAAATAGAAACGCGAGATCTTTGTCAATCAGGACACCTTCATGAAAATAGCGAACATGATAAAAAACAGAAAACACTCTGTGCACTAGATTCCCAACCAAAAGCTGTATGCTATAACGCACGACTTCCCACTTCTCAATCTAAAACGGCACAGGAGCATTGAGTAGGTGACTACACTGTGAATAATAGCATCCAGTGCAACTACTATTGAAGTTGTTGCACTTCCAAAGTCGAAGAAGTTATACTGTTTTTCACCACCATTCCTGTTTGATCTACTTCTCTCTATGAGTGATTGCAATTTCATTTCTTCCTCTTCACCTTCCACCTAAGTTTTTTTAAGAAACCAAAACCTCTGAAAAAATGGCAGACGCAAACCCAGCATTGGCGATCACGAAATTGTGGCGGATTCGCAAGACTACATCGGAAATGCTCGAGGATAGGGGCTACATGGTGTCGTTGGACTTCAAAAACGAAACAAGAGCTCAATTCGAAGAGGCGTACACGAAGGCACAGCAAGAAGGCATGGGAAGGGAGAGATTCGTTATCCTCTGCTGCCACAAAAACGACCCGGAGCAGAAGATATTAGTGTACTTGATACTGACTTACTTTTTTGATTATGCTTAAGTGATACTGGAATATCAGAGTTTTCATGATATTGGAAGTCTACACTGTGCAGATCGTAGTTTCATTTATATACGTGAGACCATGTTCTTCGAGGTTTATTTGTGAGTTCTCATTCCCGAACTTTCCCCTTCTTCCAAATATCAGGTACTTCCCCGACGAAAACAAGAAGGTTGGTGTAAAGCCAATTCGCGTTCTTGCGGAAAAAATGCATGACAATAAGATCGACCATGCGATCTTGGTGGTGCGACAGAGTCTGACACCATTCGCCAAGTCAGCGATCGGCGAAACATTGTCAAAGATGCGAATCGAGGTCTTTCACGAAAACGAGCTAGTGGTCAACATCACAAAGCACGACTTGGTCCCCACGCATCAGCCACTCACGGACGCAGAGAAGAAATACTTATTGCAGAGGTACTAGTATGACTATGAAACTGCACTTGTAATTAACTTAGCACCACTGCGACGACGTCTAAACATATTTATTTTGGGTCTGCTGATGTACCATCTATCATCTACCCATCCACAAATCCAACACGACATTTACAAAAAATCAAAAAAAAGGTATCAGCTGAAGCCTAGTCAGCTTCCCCGCATCCAGATGAATGATCCGATTGCAAGATACTTCGGTCTTCAGCGAGAGGCCGTTGTCAAGGTGATCCGACCGAGTGAGACAGCAGGACGATATGTCACTTATCGACTTGTGGTTTAAGCTGCTGAGATCATTGTATGGAATTTTTTTGGGCCTTGAAGATTGGAGATGAAGAGAGACCATCTCATCTCACTAAAAATCCTTAAATGCGCACTAAACGAAGTTGTCTCCCTTAACGAGATGACTGCAACGAAGTTCTTTCCTAACGGAGCATAATTGACGTGAATACGACACTTATATTTGGGCACAGCGCGACGAGACCGATCGAATATCTTGTTTGTGTTCCACCGGCCTTTGCTCATTGTCATTGTCACTGGTGTTCAAAAAGTCAGCTGAGATGGTTTGGAGAGTTTTTTGACTGTACAGTTTGTCAAGCAGTTTTTTCATGGTTGATTACGACTGAGAGAGAGAAAAATAGTGCAAGACAGTTCTTATGGAGCCAACCGAAACAAGATAGACATCTGTCCTTGATGAACCGAGAGTTGTGCACATTGAAAAGACCGAAACAAAGGCAGGGACGTGAGTTCCTTTTGGCACTCAGCCTTCCCGAGTATCGACCATGCATCAAAGATGTTTTTGTGTAGTTTTGTAAAGGTCTAGGAAATAAATAATCGATTTCAACGAATTCACTGTGTTTAGTTCAGCATCGTTGTATCTTAAGTATTTAATAGTCTATCGATTTTGCCGTTTTGTAGCTTTCCTTTTCCAAGCACCTAGTTCTAGTTCCCAAGCAACATTGCAGAAAAATGAGAAGTCCCAACATCGCGAAGCTGACCGGATCGCAGGTAAACTTGCGCGGTCGCGTCGCCGTGATTTCAGGTGCTACTCGTGGTATCGGACGCGAGTGTGCATTAGCTCTGGCTCGAGAGGGCGTGAACATTGTTGTGGCAGGTAAAAGTGTGAAAAGCACGAAGGAGCTTCCAGGCGACATCTACTCCGTAGCAGATGAGGTGCGGAAGTGCGGAGCCGATGCGATTTCACTACATTATGAAAATTCAAAATATTTAATGTAGCAGCAGGCACCACCAAGTAGCTATGGATAACTGTGTTTGGTTTAGTTCCTTATGTAATTTGCACGTAGTTATTGGCGTTAAGCCCCCACTTCAAAAAAGTGCTCAGTTATTCCCGAGAAGCCACATCATATTTACATCACCTCCTTCTAAGTATCAATGGACGTTCTCGACGAAGCCAGTATCAACCGTTGTATTGATGAGGCGGTGAAAAAGTTCGGGAGGATTGACATTTGCATCAACAACGCCTCTGCACTGTGGTGGCAGCCCATAGAGGAGACGCCTACGAAGAAATACGACCTCATAACACGCTTGAACGCAAGAGGAACCTTCTTGCTCACGAGAGCTTGTTTGCCGTTATGATGAAGAAAATATTCAATTTCTTTGATCATACTTACTGGATAAAGTTGTAGTTAAGCGGCCTGAAGATACGCAACACTTCGTCTCAAGTACGTACTACCGGTGGAAATACATAGCATCTCTATGATTTTCAACATGACTGTTGTAAAATAAGAAAGATAAGCTTGTCCTGCTCTAATACCTCACATGGTGAAGAACGATTTCGGTCGTGTGATATGCATGTCGCCACCCATCGAGACCGACATGGAGTCTTACAAGGGCGTCACAGCCTACAACATGAGTAAGATGGGCATGACCATGGTTGCCCTAGGCGTTGCAGCAGAGTATGGTGCAGAAAACAAGAACATACTGGCGAACTCGTTGTGGCCAGCTACGGTGATCGAGTCGCAAGCGAGCATCAACTTTGATTTAGTTAAGGCAGGGTGAAGGCGTTCTATCAATCGTAAGTGAACATCAGGAGAAGAGGATCGATTGATGTCCCCTTCTACTCCTAAGCTACGCGAACGCAAGACGTGGCGTAAAGCGACGATTCTGGCTGACGCGACGCTGGCGCTTTGCTGCGACACACAGACTAACGGCGAAATGCTCATCGACGATGAGTATTTGATCTTATGGAGGCAGTGAATCACTACTTCTGTACTGGATCTAGAGTCCATTCGTCTTTGAAGAAGATAAGTAGACAGCACTACAGGAAACGAAAAAACTGAAGTGAAATACTGCAGCAAAACGTTTTTTTCGCAAACTATGATCTCCTCTAATAACCGAGAAGAAGGGCCTTACGGCTGAGGAGTTGAAGTGCTATCGCTATGATCCTAGCTTCGAACCGCCAAGGCTGTTGGCGGAAAAGATGAAAGGCCGAAAGATGGTGCGCCGTGGAGATGTACGGAAGCTGAAGGACGATGTGAAAAAGGATGAAGGCTTTATTGGGTTCGAACAAAAGGCGAAGCTCTAACGAAGGAATTGCCTCTTGTAGAACTACACTTTTGGAATTATGATGCTGCATTTTCGATTTTCCACTTTCTACTAAAGACAGTCGTGATTTTATGGAAACCTTGTTGATAGCTGCCGCTGCGACCAGCAGGTGCAGCATTTCTGTACATGCTACAAGATAAACATTTAATGTAACGAAAGATAGCACATACCAATTCCAACAAAGCAGTGTCGTTATTGTGTGAAGTCAAAGCATGTGGAAGATATGCTATCTCGTAAAAAAAAAGCACTTTTCCATTCCAGGTAAAAGCAGGTACCTGAATATGATATTGTTTTTGTGAAGATCCTCTTGTGTGATCCTGAAAAATTCCAGATATCTACGTGTATGAATAAACTGATGAGTGTCATTCACTAAGAACGCAGAAGCAGGCATGGTGGCGAGAAAGTGCGTGGTGATGAGTTTGTGCTATTTGCATAGATGTTGCTACAACAAGCAGTGACAATCACGCGGAGAGTAGACAACAACACAAAATTCATACGGTTTCCTTACAATCGGGTCTTGAAAATAGGGCTTCGACGCATCTGTGGAAAAGAGTTGAAAAAGAAGCGAGTAAAGCAAAAGAGAATTTGGAGATTGAAAAAAAGAGGTGGAACAAAATGTCAAGTGTCTTGAAGTCACTTCAAAAAAATGACCTTACTACGCAGCCACAATTGAAGATGGGCTACCATCACCTGGCAAGAAAATTAGAGACTACTGACATACGTGACATTATTGAGAATACAGATTTTGATTGAGAGCACGGGGCAGAGAGAACACCACCTATATCATGCAGAGTCGCTCCTTTACGTAAAGAAGGAGAGGATCATGCATAGTCGCTTCACTTCTTGGTTTCGCACACGGAATCGGAAGACGATGGCGAACAATAATCCGTACGAACAAGAAGGCGTAATCAATGACCCTTTCGATCATGGTGGTGCATCATCATCATCATCAACGCCAGCGGCTCCAGGACAGAACAAATCAATACGGAGTCTATTCACGACGATTATGGCTTTTGATACTGTAATATCTTTCAGCAAGAGCAAGTAGAGGGTCACTTCTGCCTCTGGAGACTCGGATGTTTTCATGGCAGAACTAGGAGTCACTGACACCTGCATGTTCGTCTAGTAGACTGACGTGATAGAACCAACACTGTGGAATCCTAATAAGTCCTTTCTCTTTCATGTGCCTTCATGTAATATCTTGCAAGAGTAGAAGTTGAACCATCTAATCCCCCCTCCGCGTCCTCCAGTGGAGTGCAGCCCAGTCCAGAAAGGCACAAACCCCTGTATCCTGGAAGTGCAACGCCACCAACAACGAGTGCGATGATGGACCTCGAACGACAGATGGATTTGGAGAATCCGCCATTAGTACCAGACTGCGTTTTTCGAAACGTAAATGAAGTGGATTTTATGAGAACAATTTTGGAATAAGTACTTGATTTTTTGGTTCGTTTGGTTTTCTTGTTCGTATTTACTCATTTACGTTTCATCAAACAAAAAAACACTTGATGTTCTATACTTCTAGTATCTACTACTTAAATACTCTGATCGTCCACATCAACCTTCTCTAAGTATTTTCCCTTTCCCCTGTCAACTTCCATGCCTATGGCCCTTTCCTCTCACGCTCTTTCATACTACTAGAGCGAGGTCCTATCGACTTGGATTCATCGATGACGAGTGGAAAGGGCAGGTCTGGAGGCAGGATCGCAAGTGCCCTAGCAGCCGCGCAGAGAGCGCTTACCCCACCCAAATACAATTTGGATTATCATGCGCAAGAAAACTTTCCGACATGGCGTGAAGGCGCGACACCACCCAGGAGTCAGAGTATTTTTAGGGATTCTTTGATTCTAGTGCCCCCTCTCAACTTCAATTCAAAAGAAGGCGTGGTCTTATTTGTGGTTTGACAGACACATCAGGTCATGTTCAAAGTAGATGGTTTTCTACCATAGATACATACGTTAAAAACAAATCGTTCATCTCTTCCTTCTTCATTCGACCCAACTACAGCCGGTACGCCCATCTACGGCGGCACACCTAGGCAGGACGACTTGCCACCAGCGCCACCTAGACAAAGTGCTTTCCGGGATTTAGCTGTTAGGAAAGGCCGACAAGAAAAAGATGGCAGCGAAGCTTCGTCGCACGAAACACCAGTCTGTACACCTAGTGTCACGCCACACGGGACACCACGTTCAGATATGACAAATAAGGTCTTTTCAGCGGCTAGGCATGGAAAGCATAAAGTAGTAGAGGATTGCCTACTGCAGGAAGAAGGATACTTCGATCCTCTCAACACTGTGGATCATCATGGTACCGATAACCTTCATTTGTAGCGGTCTGTTCCTTTGAACACTGTGGATCATCATGGTACAACATAAATTAGCTCTTATGATATCAATGTGAGCGTCACTGTTGAAAATATTACTATTTAGGATCATGGTAGAAGATCAAAATGATATCGACGTAGGATTACCAGCATCAGCAGAACGACCCCCGTTATTTCCACGAACCAGGGAACACCTCATCATTCGATATTATCGCTCGGCCCCCGTCATCCAGGTAACACCCTGTTCCACATCGCATGTCAGAACGGAAACAAGAAGATAGGGAAATTAGCGATAAAGTACGGTGGCGATATGAACAAGCAGAACAACAAAGGCAATACAGGTCTGCACTTCCTGTATCAATTCGGGTATTCAGAGATTGCCGAATACTTCATATCCAAAGGCGCGGACGGAAATATTGAGAACGACAAGGGGTATCCGTGTTACAAGGGATTTCGAGGAGACATTGAGCCGAATGGGTGAATGAGAACGTCGCGGGCGTTGTTTTTTTAAATATCTTTAGTGCATAGTCGACCATTATTTAGCTTATAGCAACGTCTTATTTTTTTTGGTTAAACACACAGACTGACAGACAACTTGTGAGTAGTTACAACAATATTGAGTTCTTGCGCTAAAAAAGAGAAAGACAAAGTATTAAGACAACTTGTGAGTTCTCCATGACTGACAAAGTAAAAGGACAAGAACGATGACTGGCAAAAAGTTGTTTTTATGAACAGATTTCATCCTAGAGTACTTACTTAGTTACGTAGACGCACAGATGACACCTAGACAATGACAAGAATTCTTCTCCAAGGTTTTTCTTATCTAATCACAAATATAGTGACAAACACGCACCAAGAATTTTCTTTGCTAAGACAACTCGCGCAGTCACCAAAGTGACTGACTTCTGAAGTTTTTTTACCTCCAGCAAAGATGAGTCTACTTACGTGGACTCTGGTCACCAGCTGATAATAGTAGGCAAACGACCAGAGAAAGAGATCATTATCATTATGCTGTTGGAACGTGATCGTGGTTGTTTGTTTCAGTATAGCGAATGAAAGTGTGAGAAATCGAAAATGACGAAAAGTATGGTACCAGTTTTTTTCCCAGCGAGTTATAAAATGCATCTACAACCAGAACCACGGATTCAGAGACATTACTCTCAAAAGTTTTAAGACTCTTCTTTTTTTTTCCTTGCGCGCGCGCCCTCCAATAACGCAAAATCAAGATGCAAAAATTCCTCACGAATTGTGGTGAGAACACCTCTCGCCAACGGCTGAAAACGCGGTCTACGACGGACCGGATTTCAGGATGGTTGCCGAAATTAGTCGATGCAGATCCGCCAAGTGCTTCCGCAGGAGAAGAACGAGGAGAAGCACTAGGCCGACAACCCACACCTTCGAGCGGGTGGGATCGCGATCATCGTGGATCGATCGTGAGTATCGAGAGGCGTGCACAGAAGCTTTTAGACACAGCAGGAGAAGGGCATCATGAAGGCGAGGAAATTGGCATCAGTGGCAGTGGAACGAGAAGATCTGAGGTCGCATCTAGGCGGAATAGTTTCGCCAAAAGCCTAGCAGCTGCTAGGCGTAAAAGCCGAGAGGAGGACAAAGCAAGCTATGCTTTCGTAGACGAGACGACGGCCGCGCAAGACCCTGACTGGCGCACAACGGCGAAAACGAGGAGTAGTTCTGGTGTTGGAAAGGTGCCGTTATTGGTAGCGCCTCCATACGATCATCCAAGAAATGCAAATGGAACAATATCTTCAATAACTTCCTCAAGAAATAAAGTACCTCTAGAACAAGTACTTGTTCATCAAGCTACGACTCCTTCATCTTCATCTTCTACGAGCAGTAAATCCTCAACGCGTAAAAATAAAGGGAGTTTCCTGTTCAATCAGAATCAGAACCATGCACCAGGAGAAGAACAAGGCGAATTGCCAGAGATCGAATTCGTCGATGAGACGTCTTCGCGTGCAAGTTCCCGACGAACAGGAAGGACGTCATCCAGTGTGTCATCACAAAGGCACTCACAGCGCGTGGCTGTTGATGACGGCAGCGACTCGCAGTCGCAGAGCAGTTATCACACCGACCATATCCAGGACCTCCGAACGCGACTCGAAGCATTATCATCTTCTGGTGCCCATGGACGTGGTTCGAAATCCCGCAGTACGAAGGTGGGAAAGAAGAAGCGCTCTGTGGAAAAACAAAGATCAACAGAAGATGAACTACAAGGGGAAATGCCGGACAAAGCGACGCTGGCAGCAGAAGCTTCAAAGCAAAGTGGGTCTTCTACCAGTGGTAGTGCGAGTTCCCTTTTGAAGCAGCGGATAGAGCTTGGAGCGGCATTACTTCGCGCAGGTGTAGACGACGAGGACGACGTACTACACGAAACAGCAGTAGAAGCGCCTAGTGCAGTGGCTATTTCAGGCCAATCTTCAGCACCAAAAAAAGATGTAGTGGAAGAACGTACTACGACCACAACTCCTTCGCCTGCTGCAGATTTAAGGGAACAGGTGGCCACGGCACCTTCTACTTCCTCGTCAACAGCAATCGTGCTGGCAGATGTAGGCAGTCTATCCCTGACCGAACGCATCCTTCGAACGGAAGCTTTACTCAGAGAAGTACAGGCTAGTGGCTCCGATGAGGATGAAGACGAAGCACCACGACCGGTGCCCGCCGCAACGAGGAAGACGAAGACTAGCACAGCAAGGTCAGAGCAGGACGAAGGGCAAGGGTCGTACAAGCATCTTCAAGCTGGCAGCAGTAAGGCTAGTTCTAGCACGACAACAGCCTCGGCAACAAATGCTAGAAAAAGTTCTTCCTCAACTTCATCCACGTCTTCTACAGCTGCCCTCGTACCTGCATATCAAGCACAACCACAAGCAGAGCAGCCTTTAACATCCTCGTCCTCCTCGTCAAGCAGTAGTTTGGCAGAATTTTTCCGTTCTGAAGTGACGACACTTGCTATTTCTGGTCAATTTTTACCAGTTGAGGACGATGTGACACAATTAGCCGGTGCTGGAGGAGCAGGAAAAGATCAGCTTCTTTTAAGGGAGGTACAGGTATAGTATAGTTTTATAGTTTGTTAGTTTTTTTGGTATCATCGATCGTGAATGCCGTTGTGTAAAGATACAGAACAACCGGTTATCATTCATCGATTGTTCTAGTCTTTTTATCGAATAAGTACAAATATTGCTAATTCTCGGTGCAGGAAACTCGGGAAGAACCACGACCGGCACGAGAGCCCCAAGTACAACTGTCGACAGAGCCCCCACTCACCCAGCTAACAGCAGTGCAACGATGGCGAGCTCGACGGGAGATGAAAGGCAAACCGCTGGTGGTTCCGGTACAGCAGGGGGAGCAGGAGCAACAATAGCGTCAGTTGTAAGTCGGCCATTCCAGCATGGTCGAGGAGGTGAAAGAAGTACAGAAACAGGTAAAGAGCCACAAGATGTTGACCCTAGCACAACTTCTCGTCAAAGTACACCTGCTGGGTCTCGTCCAAGTTCTAAAAAACAAAATTTTGACGATTCAAAACGCAAGACTGAGCCCTCAAAAGCACCGATTTCCCTAGCTACGACAGCGGCAGCATTCCAACACGCAGTAGAAATTCCGAAGCTAATGAGCACCAGTGCTGCTCGCCGTCAGCTCACCAGACCCGGAGGAGGTAATAGCAGAAATAACAATGCTTCTAGGACGCAGCAGCAGCGGATTACGGCAGGTGAGTTTGAGGATTCGTCGACAGCCTTAGCATTGATACCAGAGAGGACCATAGGCGGTGGCCACGTACTGGGCTCCGCTAGTGAAGCTCGAAGCACAACCGACCGTACTTCATCCGCCACAACAAGCAAACCAGGCCCAGTCCGCTTTGCTCGCAACGCAGCTGCTACGTTTGAAAGCAAGCAGAAATCGTATCATAAGCGGTTGAATCTAGCGCAAAGGCTGGAGTTGGTCGAGAAACCGGCTGGGCCTCTGGCAGATGCGGAATGGGATGTTTTTTGCGAACCTGCAATCGACTCCCTAACTCGGGATTTGGACCAGAAGTGTCCGATATGCATTCAGCCACTGGGAGACCCCTTGAAGCGGGTGCAAGTGATTCTTTTACGCGGAGGATCATAACTCCTTGAGCTTGGACTCACTTTTTACAATTGCAAATCATTGCCTGAGCAGTGGTAATGTCACCTACTAGGAACGTCACGAGTAGTAGCATTTGTTTTAATGTACTCTCTCTCTATCCGCCTCTCCCAACCCACTTCACATATTGTACTGCCCTTTTCATTTTCCCATCCCTGCGGCCACCTGTACCACAAGCAATGCTTAGCCAGCTACGAGCGTTACTGTGCGGCACCCCGCTGCCCGTTGTGTCGTTGCGAGTACAACGACTGTGCGCATTTTCCTAGGGATCGAGAGCTAGCAGTTGACGTTTCGCGGCAACAAGCAGCTTTGCGTCTTCAGAGGATGTTGCGTGGGTATTTGGTACGTCGCGATTTTTGGTACTTCTGTGGTGCGAGAGTGGATGGACAGTTGCCTCTTGATGGTGGAGGACAGAAGAAAGAGCATGTTGTCTTAAGGCTTGATCATCTAATCCTCGGAGTCCGCAGCAGGAGCACTTTCTTTCACCCTCTCACTGGTCATTTCGCCTTACCCAGGCTGTGGGAAAAAGGCCGCTTGCGTTTATTGCGACGCGAGCGAGAAAAGTATGAGAAGACCGAAGATTTGGACACATTTTTTGCTGAGATAGATTCCAGTGTCAGTGCTGCTCGAAAGATCATGCGCGAGTGTGGTTTTGGCTTGCCTGTTGGTGAGGCAGGAGCAAACGTCGGGAAGATTGGTGCCCGTTCCGATACTGACATCAAAGACACCGAAGAAGAGAAATGGTTATGGGCAAAAAAACAGTGCTTGAATAGGGGCTTTCCGGATGAGGAATGTACTTTAGCCTGTTTTTTATTATGGATGCCATTGTCCTGTTAAGATTGAACTTCTATTTCATCGAATGTCTCTACTTATACAAAAACAAATACCACCAGACTACAGTTCATAGATAAACAAGGTATAGTCCTCTGCACATATAACTCCTCATTTTCATGCTGAAACAAAGACATCCCCACTTTCCAGGTCCGATCTGCTACGTGGAGTGTCGACAACAGGGTGTTGGGATATCGCTTCTCGATTGTGGCCATTGCTTTCATCATATGTGTCTAGAATCCTTCGAGTCTTTTCAGACCTCGAAAGCCGATTTTAGATGTCCCGTGTGTCGACAGGGGCCTTATCAACGCAGGCTCTGGCGCTTTGGCAAGAAAAAGAAGGGTTTATTGGGCGATGGTGGTGTTGGCGGAGGCAGCTTGATCTGTGGGAGGTGTGATTGAGGGGAAATGACTCTGCTAGCATCAAGCTCATTCTGGCGGATCGAACTGTTCTGTCGGAGGTTGGGAGATTCCTTCAAAGGCGATGTGAACAATAAGTAGACTCTTGATGGCCATATCCCAAATGATAATTAGCAGAAGTAAAAGTGTTCGAGACTTAAGTTAATCGGTATTCTCTGAGTCTACTATGTATCTAAGTAAAAGTGTTCGAGACTTAAGTTAATCGGTATTCTCTGAGTCTACTATCTGACTGACGCATGATCTTGTGAAGTCTCCGGAACTCGAGATGGAAGACAGTGCCACATTCTCAAGTAGGAGGACAAGCGTAGAAGATTGAAACAGTAGGGATCAATAGATGAAGCAGCTGAGGAACTATGCCTAAGGAGTCTTGATTGAGTTCACGTTTGACAAGGAAAGGACCCTGTTGACATTAGTACCAGCTTTGCACTCTACTCCGGTTACAACTATCAATATCCTTAGTTCGTCCACCACACGACTACTTGCACTCGAGACGAGCGTGCCCATTTTGAATTATATCTATAGTACCCTAACATGGAATTTTGACTAAGTACATGTTGTTCGGCATATTTTGAGAATAAATTTTGCACATGCAGCTTTTCTGAAAAAGTTCTTGAGTAACGAGAGCGATTGAATCAGGTGGAACGTTTGCTTTTCTGCATTGGTTTCTACACAATTACGTACATCACTGAACTATACTTGTATAAAAAGACGATTATCTTTATCAAAAGATTGTTGAAATACTGCATGTAGATCGCTGATTAGAAAGATGGCATCAAAAGATTGTTGAAATACTGCATGTAGATCGCTGATTAGAAAGATGGCGAATGTCACTAGCTCTTGGTTTTCGGTTACGACCAAGAGGGTCTTGCTTTGGAAATTGCGGCACGGCTTAACCCTTTCTTGCATATGCTTTCCAGAACCTTGTTGCTAGACCCACCGAGCTGTACAGCTCTCTCCTGGTAGCATTTTCTGGCGGCTGCAACTTCTTTGGTTGTGGAGAATTTCTGCTGCATCCGGTATGCTGATTCGTTTCTTGCTTCTCTCGGTGCTTGTCCACCTCTCCGGTTGTCGGGTGCTCGGCGCAAGGTTCCACGTTCCTCGATCTCCAGACACTGATGATTCGATTGAAATCCTCTCTCTCAGAGATCCAACTGAAGAAGAGTGTCAGATCCAGGACAGCATAGAAGAAATCTTCGATGTCACGACTGCAACTGAAGTATGGATGGTGTTACTGCATCTATCAGACCATCAAGGCTCTCTTTTAAGTTCTACGCTTCTGACGGGAAAAGGGTAGCCGTGTTGGTCTGGCTAGATGGAAAAAACAATATCCATTTGAAGACGAGCGACTCAATGCTGCAGCTGCTGGAACGAACTACAGATCACCTGATGAACAACAAACATTACTCAAGAAAGACGCATGGGAGGACGATAGCAGTGTTGTTGTTCTGTTGTCTGCATCTGAAGCTGCTGAATACGGAGGAAGTGAGGGGAGTAAGCCAGTAGTTGGTGGACTAGACGAAGTAGCAAGCAAAGATGACACAAGCTCAAGCATCAATCTCAACATGGGCTCTAGAAGTGCTGCACATGATAGTATTGACGACAATAGCTACTATTCTGAACAACACGATTCTATTACGACATTTGTTCGCAAAAGACGGAGAGGACACAGCTGCTCCAGCATTGGGGAGTTGGCGTATGCGAAGAAGCAATACGTTGACGAACCTTTCGTTGGGAGCGTTTGTGTTGCTGCGGTTCTCGGAGGCTGGGCATCTGCACCTTTTCGGCCGCCAATCGACACTACCGCGTTGTTGTCTTCGCATGCGAATCCCACCTTATGGTCTGCTTCTGGGTTATGCTTCCTTTTACTTTTCATGATCATTTTGGCGCCCTTTTTCTAATTCTCAAGCAAGGACCGTCCGAGCCTGACAGTACTAGCAGAGCAGCGACTCGGACAAGTTCAACGATGTGTACGCCAACTGCGCAAAAGTTTTCAAAGCAAGGCCCACCAGCAACGATGGGCCGCGAGCAATCAGGTACTAGTGCCGTAGGTGCTACTACTGATGATCTCAGACGATATTGCGTAGAAATATTTTTCTTTTTGGCTGAACTACAGCAGGGATTCATGCTCCTGTGGTGGCGCACATGAAGCGTATGTATGGCGGTGGCTGTTGTGTGGAGGCGTGGCAGCGTGTGACGAAGATGAACCTGCAACAGCGAGCAGGCCACAGAGCCGCGCGCGACCATGGTAGGGGCTGCCTCGTGCCTTCTCCTGCAGGTTGTCGGGCGGGTCGCGTAATTGAGCCCGCCGCGCGCGCTCCTTGGGGCGGTGGAGATATTGCGCCAGCCTAGTGCCGGCGAGAAGTGGCGCCGCGGTGTCGTCTCTACTCACGACCGGGACCAGTGTGCTCAAAGTGTCCGGCGCAACACTCCCGAGGGGCGCTTGCGGTTGCAGGCATCCAATTCTTTCGCCTTTGATTGAAGCCGCTGGAGCACTGTGCTGCGAGGCGGAGCCGCTTGCGCTTGTTGCGGGAAGACAGCAGTTTTGGGGTGCTTGATTGCGGAGCATCCTCACAAGACTCATAGCAGCGGCGCAACCCAATCCAGCAGCGACTCGCCTGAGTGCAATGCCATTGCGTGGGGTGGCTAGATAAGGAGCCTCGCCTCTACTGCGGTGAAAGTGTCGGCGTCAGTTTCTGCATCAGCGTGAAGGCTTGGGGGGTGGTCGTGGGGGTGCATGACAATGATGCCCCAGGAGGTTCGAGGAGGGCGGCGCTTCGTGAGTGGTTGGCATTCAGGTGGCTGCGGCGGGTAATTTATATGAAGCAGGCGCGCTCCGTGGTGCAGGGGAGCAAACGCCGAAGCGAACGCATAGGAATAGCCGTTGCCATGATGGTGAGCAAATGCCGGGGGTCTGTTGGATTTGGAACGCAGACAGCACCGGCGCCACATGTCGGCGCAGATTGACGGCGCCGGTTTTCGTTGGTAGTTTCTCGTCTCCTGACTCGGGGGAGAATGTGGCGCAGAGTTCAAGCGCTTGGCCATTTGCTATTGCTTGCCATGCCTCCGCGCCTTTGCTTTTGGCATTTTCATGCGCCGGCGCACTTTTTAGTCAGCACCCGCGAAAGCTTCCCCCGGCCTCTATCTTCTAGGTGACGCGCTTCGTCGTGGTGTTCCATCTCCATGCGCCTCCCCGGTCTTTTGGGTGGCTAGTAACTTCCCTCGTGTCTCTGCTTACTCTGCCACGGGAGCGCAATGGCAAGCGGACCCTCCCTGTCCGCTAGAACTAGGGCGCGTGACTCTTGTGTGAGTCGTGTCCACCGTTTTCGCGACGGTGATATTGAGTACGGCGAATTGATCACCCACCCTAAAGTATGTCCATATATGCCGCCTACTTACTTACTTTGAATGGATCACCAGGAAGCAGCGCCAAACCCTCACAGTCACAGGTGGTTCCGACCTCTTTCACGAAGACCCGACCGGAGCAAGTGCAGCCTCCTTACCAGGCTTAGTGGAAGAGGGCGAGGAGTCCACTCGAGGCGCACTCACTGGTGGCTCCCGGCAATCGACTGACTCTCTGCGCATCCCAGGTAGAGTGCAGACGACGACGTCACGTTCCGTGTCTACTGGTTCGACGCTGCTCGCTGCGTCAGTTGGATCCGAAAAAAGTGACACATTTGAGAGTAACGCAAGTGGCATGGGCAGTTTGCTTGCTGATTCGGAGGGACGTGCATCTGCTAGAGGAGAACGGATATCTAATGGAGGAGGTGGCCGGAGGCCTCGTCGACAGGTCGATTTGTCAACAAGGGACGGCAAAGGCAATCATGTTGACACCGAACAACGACCCCGCTCCCGCATGGGTCGGCATCGTACTACTAGTGGCCCGCTATGCAAGCAGCTTGCTCGTGACTCGGTGGAAGCCGTGCTTTTGGCCGCTACTGAATTGCTTTCGGCACGAGCCGCAGACGAGAGTGATGAGGAAATCGCGGCTCGACGACGAGCAGACCGAAGGAACAAGATTTCTAGGTTACTTGACGTTTCTCTCGGGATAAAAACTCTAGCAGTTCCAGGAGCTATTAACGGACTGACATGTGGATCAGGAGAAGCCCAGGGGGATAGCACTTCTAGAGGTGGAGGAGGCGACCCTTCGAGTTCATCTGCATCTGGTGCTGCCGCATCCTCTTCGAAAGATGGGCTCCGGCATAATATGGACAAGGGCCGCATCGACTTGAATCTCTCCACAAACTCCATCCCGGTTCCAAGAGAACTACCAGCTATGTACCACACGCACGACCCTCAGCAGCCACCGGTGCCACTTCCGGCACGTTTGGTAGGTCCCAGTGTCCCCGTATGTTTGCCGGCTCCGGTTGCAGCGATTGCGCCTTTACTGCAGGCATGTCCTACTATTGAAATGCGATCTTCACGTGTGCCATCTTCAAGATGCGCAAGTCCGGCGAGTGGAGTTGATGAGCCGTCTGCTAGTCTGCTTGATGGAGCAGGAGGTGCTCCGCTTTCGGGAGAGGGGTCAGGATCCGGCGACGATTTGAGTATGGTCACCAGCCACCTTTTCCGTCGGGACGCCACACGGGCTTCTTCGAAAAGACCAGCCTCGCCCTCTTCCTGCGGTAGTCCTGAACGCGTCGGCGTCCGCAATTGGCTCGATGACTTGCAGGCTTACTTTCAATTGGAACTATCGTCCTCAGATGGCGACGTCAGTCCAGGTGGAAATTGCTCGACCAACGGCGGTGACATGGACACGACGAGTCCACGGAATACTGCAGATATTAAAGCAGACAAGCCAACAGCTGGCGAAGCCAAGACTCCAGGTGGAGCAGAAGCAGGTGCTTTGATGGCTGCGCTAGTAGAAGGTATCGCACACGATTGTAGTTGCAGCGTCCAGAGCCAGTATCGAGGGCCTGGCTGCTTGCTGAGGTCGCAAGGTGGGAGCAACGGAGGTGAAGGGCAAACTACAACACCAGCATTAAGGCTAGTGCACTTGTAAGAGAAGTATGATCCTTAATATACGATGAGCGGGTGTCATTCGTTTTTCAGGAATTTCTATCGTACTCTTGATGAAGAAACAGAATTAGATGGCACGACGAAGCGTGAACAAACGATGGTACACAATGAATCTCAATCTACATATAGTTGCACGTCCATCTTCCCTAAGACGAGTAGCACCATCATGTGAGGGGACGGGAGGCAGCGACTGTGATAGTGTGTGCAGCTCGGCTTTTGGGACGTGGCCATCAGAGGAGGTGGAAGACGCGGCGCGAAGTGATAGTGGAGGTGAACTCGAAAGTCCTCGACAAGTTAGGGTCGCCTCCACTATCACTTCGAGAACAACAAGCTCCTTAAGGCGTATCCCTACATGCAATATGTAATAATATGTCTCTTAATAGGTGGAGGTTATGTTGAACCGCGACATTCTTCGGGCTATCGCACCAAGCACAATTTTAATGAAAGTACAGAGAGCAGCATGTACTCCGAGAAAACTTCTACGATCCTAAACGTCCGGAAGAATGACTGGCGCTAAGAAAACGGAGTATTTGGATTGGAGGTGAACTCGAAAGTTTTCGACGCAGGGAACAACAAGGTTAAGGCTGGAGCTAGCAGTATTAATTTAACTGATCATGATCTCCCATGAAGATATAGAGAGCATCTTCTACGACTACGACGTCGAGAAGAGTTCTACGTACCTACTTGAAAATTTGAATGACTCATTACCGCTAATATCACGGAGTATTTGGGTTCAATACGACTTATATGCCTACCGTTGATGAATGCCCTGACGAAGCCGAGGAGAACTCGCAAGAGGAGATGAGAGGTCAAGGATCGAGATCAAGTGCTGACATCAACAAGCTCACTGCAAGAACTTCTAGTCGTATTAGAAGTGTTTCGCGTTTGAATCGAAAAGTCACAAATAGAAACGGTTCTCTTGTCGGTTCTTCCTCTAGTGGAGGCAGTGGGAGTGGACCGTGGTTGAGGTGCTTGCTACTAAAGATGGTAGGATGTTTCGGAGGGCCTTCACCTAGCAACTGTATTATCAACGGCAAACCCGGTGCATCTTCTTCTTCTTCTTCATGTACTTCACCTTCTGTTCGGACGAGTTGTAACGAGGCTTTGCAGAAGATGTTAGAAAGGGGATGCACAAGTAGTTTGATAGTACGCCAGGGCAACGATCATCAAAATGAGCAGCATAACACTGATGTCTCAGCGCTCCTAGCAAAGATGTTTGGTGCTGACGTTTCCTCTTGGGAGGTTTCTGAAGTAGAACTCAGCGATGCGCCGGCTAGTAAACATTAAGGGTTTCCGAATTACATCCCTCACTACCATCCTTGGCTCATTTTGAAGGGGAAAATAGGTCAAGGATGTTCTGAAGAATGCAATTCGGCAACCTATAAAAACAAGGCGTAGATAAAGAAGCGTGGGCACCAGTACCAGCATCTACAGGTGAAGTGGATAGACCTCAGACCCACCAAGAGGAAGTCCATCGAGTTGATCGAGATGATCTTCTGCATCATCAACAGCAACAGCATCCCCCACCCCCAGCGTCTTCTTTCAGACGAGATATACGAAGTTTTTTTGCAGCTAGATTGCCGAGAAAAATTCACGTTCGCTGGATTCGCGGTTCTTGCGCAAGGGCGCTGACTTGTTGCAGTAATAAGAGGAGAACTAGTACTAGTACGACTACTAGTTCTGGTTCTTCGTGTAGTACGTCTACGACAAAGCGAGGACGGGTGGCTTCTACAGAGGTACTCGCATCAACATCTTCTGGTAGAGTTGTTGGGACAAGAACTAGTACCGGTATTAAAATTGGCGTCATGCCAGAATTCCGAGCAGCGCCGATTCTTCCCACTTTTTCCACTGCTCAAGAAGATGGTCTTCGTGCTGACTCTGACGAGCATCCTGCATACCACCAATCCACAACGTCCGCTAGAAGAGTCGTGAGTTCTTCCACCAAGAATGTTCATTCTAGGAGTCCTCGGAGATCAGTGGACGAACCTCCAGGTGCTCCGGATTCTGGCTCCAGCTCGTCACCTGAAGATGCCACTGAGGAAGATGATACATCTACCCATCGTGGTGTTTATGCTAGGAATTGCCGGGAAAACAGGCGACGTCTAGCGGAAATGGGTATAATTCCTCAAGATTGTGTGGACGATAGAAATTGTGGTAGAAGAGGTTCTTTAGGTCGTGCAAGAGCGTCTAGTACAATAACGGGAACCGCAACTGAAGAAGCGTCGAGGTCGACAACGGATCATGCTCAGCCGTTGTATTCAAATGAAAGTCGTGAGAACACACACAAAATGAGGGTCATGCCGTTCACAAATGAGGGTCGTGTTGGAACTTCAAGCTCTCATGCGGAAGATCGGAGAAGCAGAGTAGAGCATCCTTCTTCAGGCTCTGCAAACGTCAGTGGAGTACCTTCCAGTTCTGCAGGACCAGAACAGGGCACATCTACTTCTATCTTTGACATGATCCCCAATGTCGGGACAATTGTTGAAATTCAAATTTCTTCATGCGCGACAACTACCGCATGCGAGATGCGTCTGCGAAGTAACGGTGAGGTGATCTGGCGCATACCTCTTCGGACGCTTGAAGTTACTAGGGTTAAGGCTCAACTTTCAATGGTCATTGGAGTTGGTCACTGAGATCGAAAAGGCCACCCCTTGAGAGAACAGGGGAAAACAAAGGGAAGGGGGAGCGCTTTGAAGGGGGTCCCTTCCGTTCAGAGTCATGACGACCATTGAAGGCTGAGCTTTAATAGGGAGTCTGATGTACTGATTAGTTGTGCTGAGGAGAGCATCAGCTATCCTGGCAACACAGAGGCTACGAGCAACCATTATCGTCCTGAACTACCAGATCTGGAGTTATCTTCCACACAAGCGGTCGTCTATCCTTCCGAATCATCAACATTTGGAGGCGGTGGTCACATGGTGGAGGCCCCGGAGAATGTAGAGGCTCCGGAGAATATGGACGAGATAGAACTAGAAGAGGTGTCTCACTCTTACGATCCTGGCACAACATTTGAACTGTTATACTCCCACGATCATCCTAGAAGCATAACTCACTCTCACGATCCCAGCAAAAAAACATTTGAACTGTTACACCATGACCCTGAGAATGGTAATATCGCAATACGTCTTTTTCGGAACAACAATTCACCTAGTAAAAGTAGTGAGATGCAGATGGATCTTGGATACATCACAAGATCTTTCAACGAGGGTCGTGGTCCTGCGGCCTCTTCGTCTTCCTCAGGTGGAGCACCCACGAAGAACAAACGATTTGTGGTGGCACACCGCAGCATCCTGCGCCGGATTGAAGACAGAGGTGGGGACGATGACGCAAGCTAAAATTCATAAATGATTATAATGTGTTGTTTGCCAAACGCAAAGCAAATGTTTCTGGATGAGGGATGTGACATCCTTGGACATATGGCATTCTGAGATGTTGATGGGTGTAGTACCATCCTCGTCTTAGCATCTGAACCTTTGGTATGTATAATTTAGTGGTGTGGTCGTCGATCAGGATCAGGAAATATAGTAGCTGCTAAACTCTAATCGGTACTACAAAAATATAGTGTTTGTGAAACTCTAAGCGGTACTACAAAAATATAGTGTTTGTGAAAACTCTACTACTAGTTGAAGTTCTTGGTGTTTTGGTAGTTAGATGCTGATGTAGTGATGATTGAAATTCAGGCGAATTTCCTCCATCGTCATTCGACAAGCACCCTTCTGCTGACTTGGTTAGGTATCCTTTCATCATCCTAAGCGAAGTAGTCGTTGAGGATGAGCTGCTGGAGTTCACTCGCGCTTGGAGACCTGATGGAGATATGAATCTGAAGTTGACACTGCAGATTGTAGTCAGACAGTCGAACTGCAAGGTAACACTGCCTCCATGCAGTTTGATCACATTCGAAAGTTTTCGTCTATCGAATGCCCAACGTCTTCGGAAATGCTCTATGTCTTACAACATCGGCAGAGAATTAGAAGATCATGAAATGATCGGTGACAGCTCCTTCGGTTTCAAAAGCCTCGGTCACACCTAGGAGCAAACTCATCGTCGGTCAGTTACTCACTTGAGAGAGTTTCGTGGATTTACAAAGTCCGTAGTAATCCCTCTCTACATCTTCGCATCCTCGCGTTTTCGACGTGTTTTAAATGCCTAGAAGAAACCTCGATTTTTCTCTGTACCAAAAGAATAGTACAACATTAGAGTTGCTTACGTTATCTATCAAAGTAAGTAAAGACTAAAATAGAGAGAGTTTGAAATTGAATTCATTCATCTAGCAGCTGACAAGAATACTTCTTGAACAATAAGAACCACGAAAAACTCAAAGTGCTTGCTACTTACGACAAGAACGAAGATGATGATGGTGGGTCCAAAGAGTCGGAAATGCATGCTTCGGCGTGTCGTCACGCTTGCTTCCTTGCTACAACAGTGCTTCGTCTCAGCCAGACAGACTTCTTCTGCCGCGAACAACCTGGAGCATGATCTTGGGAAGAACTTCAACAACAACGACCGGGCACTACTAGAGGCAGAAGAAGAGTGCTCCTCTCAACAGAATGAGCCTGAAGATAGTGGCACCAGTGTGCCACACCGCAACCGTTTTGAGGAGGCAGCTGAGGAAGAAGAAAACAGTGGATTTGACTCCGAGGAAGTCGCACATGGGGTGGAAGACTTGCACCAGCTGGAGCACAACATTCTAGAAGACGAAATGGAAAACAGCATGCTCGCTGTAGATGAAGAAGGTGAGAATGAAGAAGATGGTCCCGCTCAGAGCTTGAGAGGTGGCACTGCGGGAGTTACAACGTTAACCACTTCTGAGGATCATATTGAGAACAATGAGGAGGTTGATAAACAGGACAAGAATACAACATCCAATTCCATCAATTCCAATAGCACCACCAGTACCAATAGTACTAGTAGTACTACTTCCTCTTCTGGTACTAGAGGTGGAGGTCGCCGTGTGATTGATGTTCTAGATGCGTTTGCAAGGGAAGCCAGCAGTGAAGAAGAGGCAGGTTCTCCATACGTGGTTGAGACGGAAAAGTACGTCGAAGGAGCCAAGAAAATGCATGGACGCACGAAACATTCGATGAAAGTGGGAGAAGAGGAACCTCTCTTCTATGAAAACGACAACGGTCTTCAAAATCAAGATCCTGACGGCGAAGAAGTAGAAGATGGAGACGTTTTCCAACAGCATCATAAATCTCACTCCCGAGCACCACGAGCACCAGAACTACATAAGACATTTCATAAGCCCAGGAAAACTGTAGTACCTGCTCTAGTCACGCTCGTAAAGGCTAGGTTGCACGAACTGTGGCAACACTTTCGTCCTTCGGGACACTCTGCTACAGGAAGCCACGGAGACCACACCAGAGTTCACCAAGACCAGGATTCTTCAACTTCAAGAACTGTAGAAGAAACTGCTGCGGAAGAGCTGGCTTTGCCAGGGCACACGACGCCGTCCACGGCAACGAAGCCGCCAACAAGTACATCTTCTCCTTTCTCCTCCACATCTGTTCTGCAAATTTGTTGCCGATGCTGCCAAGTGTTGGTGCTGCTTTTCTTCCTTCTAGCACTATTCTTCAACACGAACAGAGGAATATTTGTTTTCACGAACTTCTGTCCTACGGTGCTGACAGGACTTACCATCAGGAAGAAGGCAGGGCTACTGCAGTCCTCGGCAACATTAAGACCTCCCGCAGAGAAGGAAATTAGAGGCGAAACTCGACAGGAGGGACCACAAAGAATCGATTCAATAGAAGTTCTCGTTCATGACAGTGAGCCAGTTCTTGCAGATTCCTTATCTATAAATGGGAGTTCGCTATTTTCGGCTGCAAGTAACAGAATCTTCAACTTCCTGCAGGACAGTACTCCACGACTGAAGGACCAACGAACTAGGAAAGAGGACTTGGAGACGCGTATTCAAAAACTGGAGCAAACTTTGAGGCGACACGACGAGGAGGACCGGTTGCGGTTGCAGAATTTTCGCATGTTCCCTTCTGAAGAGAGTACTCCACCAGACGAATTCGACACAGAGCACATGTTTGTAGCAGGCGAACAGGATGATTTTGATTCAATAGTTTAGAACGTATCTTCCACTTACATTCTACCCATCGTAAATCGATGACACATGATTTGCATTTCCCTTTTTCGCATCACGAATTCACTAGCATATAAGCATTTACTCAGCATATTATTCCTCCCATTAAGCAAGACCACGAGCTAGATTTCCACCCTGTCAATGTTTCGTTTTCGTAGTGAGCTGCATTCTACGTAATCCCATAATAGAGTTTTCATTCATCGCAATCCTTCCCATTTGAAAACACCTTCATGATAATGTCATACATTCGCAATCTTCCCCATAGACACACCATGATAATGAGGTATTTTCTCGCTTTCTTCTCTTTGAACATTCATTCCCGTCCCAAGTAGATTCTTCACGGCATCAACATTCGCTTCAAGTTGTTCTCCTTCACACACTCACACATCATTCTCAGACATTCAAATGAACAGGTAGAAGTGTAGAATCCACAGACGACTTTGAGAACATCCTTCTAGAGTGTAAGACTCCCGAACCCACATAATAGAATATTAACCAGCAACATATGACCACGACGTAACCACGTTTCCGTCGTAGAAAATTTGGCTATAAAAAGCGAACTACGCTGTTCGTTTTTCATTTCCACCTCAAGAGACTAGGAAAAGGACTACGCTAAGCTGCGGGCGGAGCGGAGCGAATCGAGAGAAGAAAAGAAGCACCAGCGATAAAAGTGGTTGTAGAAGTTGATTCACGCACAATGCGTTCAAAACGAAACACACAAAAATCAAAAAAAATGTAGCAATGCGACTGAAAACTACTCTTGATCTTTATCGAATGAATCAGTGAACTCAGTCTACATTGAGAGTGAAAATGGTCGTGATGACTTCGAACAGCTTTGCGGAGAGCCCTTTCGGGAACGATTTGGGCTCTCCGATGCAAGCTATGCCAGTACAACCGACATATCAACAACAAGGGCATGCCTTGTCATCCAGCTTTGTCGGAGCGAAAACACCGTTGTGGCCGACGAGTACCTCTTCACCATTATGGGCACCACCATCTGCAGCGCAGACCCCGTCGCTGCTGCCTCCCCGAAGCCGTGCAAGTGGCGGTTTGGTAGCGGCATCGCCAATGCTGCAAAGTCAGCAGTTTCAAGGGAGGGAAGAATTCGGAGGAGCTTCGTCATCAGATAGAAGAAATCCACAGGTTGCCACGCCTGTCGTGCAGCGAGGAAGCACAACATTAGCGACTCCTGTAGTACCTGTTGCAGGTCGTTCAGGAGAGCAAGCGACCACCTTTCATGCCAGCAACGCCTTGCCATCTACAAACACACGCCCTTCACCCGCTTACGACCAGTCCACCAGTCACACCAGTCTACAGAATCAGGGAACTGCTACAACTGGTGAAGAACGTGAACCGCGAACGACAGCTATGGTCCGAACAACATCAGGATTCTTGAGAGAGGCATCTTTACCGAAGAATGTGAAAGTGTGGAGTCCACCAGCAGGACGTACACAGAAAGCTGTTGCATCTGACTCAACTTAAGGCATGTTTAAGGCTTCTGTGAACTCTGCGTTGTTAGAATTGTTTTTTCAACATCAAGACCTGCGTTTTTACAACATCACATTGAAAATATTCAACAGGCTTTCTCTTGTATTTTTCTAATTCACCTCAAGTCTCCGGCGATACGAAGTGCCAACGTTTGCCTCGCGGAGGAAAAGTAGAACGCCTTCTCCATCGAGCGGTCGTGGACTGCATTATATTCTGCGGGATTCCCGAGGACCAGGGGTCAATGCGGATGTCAGGGCACGACGACCGCCTGAAACGAAAAAGCCAAAGCCGAAGATGCACGGGAGTTCGTCTCGGGGAAGTAGGTAACAATTAGTTTTTTCGAGTTGGCACGTATCTAATGTTGAAATCCAAGTCGTTCTATTAGAGTACAAGTTCTCGAAGAGGCATGTTCTTCGCCTTTTGCATGCTTCATTGGGATCTAATCTAACAGCGCTAGTGGCCGCAGACGTCTCGATGTTTGGGAGACCGTGTCTGCTTACGAGGAAGACGCCCTTCTACAAAGCACAAGATCACGAGGGCACAGTCCTCGTCACAGTCCTCGAATTTTTACGAATTTGTACGCGGAAGCGGAGGCTAGACGTGTCCGACTCGAGCAATCGAAAGCTAGAGCTGCTGAAGATGAAGCCGAGGAAATCGAGCGGAGTCGGCCACGGGGACAAAGGCAGAGGCATTTAGATTTGTGAATTAGTTTGCTTTTGCTCTATCTTCTCGTTTTTCAGAGCTTTTATTTTTCGCCATTTTTCGCTGCTTTCAGTTTTAGTACGAGACAAAGAAGCAAAGGTATTTCAGGAAAAACTATATCTTCAGTCTTCCACTTACACCAAAACAAAGGCCTTTCTCTCGTTGCGACGTGGATACCCGCAGTTTTGTGCAGCGAGCCGCAGACTTCGTTGAAGCAAAGACACTGAATATCAGGAAAAAAGCCCACGAGCAAGATCAAAAACGAATTGCCGAAGAGACGAAGGAGTGCACCTTTCGACCAGATTTGAGGAAGAGGAGGCGTACTGATACTTTAATATCTTCTTGACATCGTATCACGAGCGATATTTATAGTTTTTATGAAGGTAAGTAATGCTCTCTCGTAGGGAGATCAAAATTACCATGGACATTTGTTCCAAAACGACACAGGACGCTCGTCTTCCTTCTCGCAGCGGACAGGAGGCGACACTTATCGAGGAACGAGAATCGGCGATAGTTCGATGATATCTAACGTGTCTTCGAGAAATAGAATAAACGACAGTGGTGTTGCGATGTCTTCAAGTGGTAACAGTCGCAATCCTTCGCATAAAACAACCTCTGACCACAGTCGTGTGACGCAAGTGTGGGAAGATGAAGCGCGAGATGTCCGAGTACAATTGGGCCAACTCTCTAGGGACTACAATGAAGCCGCGGCGCTGCTATCGAGTGAGGGTGAGAAACTGCGGATGAGCATAGTTACGCTTTTTCTTGGTGTAAATCAATGTGGTCAAGATGAACATGAATGTCGAGGAAAGCACTATAATATTCGCGTTATTGATATTTAACGGGGTGCACAACAATTGTCACATTTCTGCTAGACTCTAATCAATAGCGCGAGGAAACCGAAAGGATTTTGACATTCCTGAAAAGCGAGGGTGGTCACGCTTACCTGCGAGAGCAGATCGAACAGGCTTGTTTAGCAACATCTTCCGATGCAACATCTGAAGGAATCCAGAACAGCTCAACAGCAGCCTCGAGACGCATGCGAGCCCAACAAGTGATTGTAGCTGACCTGGTTCAGAAGTCGACGAAGCGAGTGTGGGCACGTGTAGGAAGGGAGATGCGCTCGAAACAGCAAGCGTTGGATCGAGAATATGCGCAAAGGCGTGGAGAGTTAGAAGAAAGCTTGAAGAAACTTGCAGTGTATTCCGCTGAAGTAGTGGCTTCTTCCAGTATGGTGGATGATCACAATGGAGGAGGCGACGAGTCCAGCTTGAGGGACGATGGACATGATCCGCAGGACTCTTCTGAGTATCTAGAGCAAGTGCAGGAGATACCAGACGCGCAACAAGACGATCTAGTAGAACTTCATCTCGAGGATACGCCAGCACCAACTTCCACTGAATGCTCTCTGCTGGCCGCGGCAGGTCCTCCGAACGCGATAGAGCAGCGTGGAGCTCTGCTTCCTCATGAACAAAATCTCCAGCATGTTGGGAGTACAGCCGAAATTGCTGATGATCTTAGGTACGCAGATGACGAAATCGAATTGCTCTTACCTCCGCCAGAACCAGAGCAGCTCGATTGTCCTCCACCACAGCCGACTAGTCCTCGACGACTGCCTTCACCCACAGAGATGCAAATGCTCGCTTCCAATACCAGTGGCATATTGGGTATGGAGGATTCGAGGGTGGCGAAATCGAGTCCTCTCATGTACTACAATGACAATCATGCAAGATTAGGCAATAATATTCCGCGACACCAGGTTCTGCATTCGGCTTCCTCGCCACAAGAGGATTTGATGACGTCGCAGATGTCCTTGTCCAGTGGGGTCATTTGGAAGAGCCGCCATGTTTTAACGAACAGTAATAGTAGTAGATCCAACTCCAAATGGCTGACCACAGGTACTTCTGGAGGATCTCCACCAATACAACTCGCGCATCATTATACTAGTATGTCCTCCCCGAGTGCATGGATTGCTGCACCCGCAGCAGGAAGTCCGCTTGTAGTTCTAGGTGCAGGCTCCAGTCCCGCTTTTCCGGCATCCAGTAGTGCTAGCCCAGTGTTCGCTGGGTCCTCTTCAGGTGTAGGAACAAGAATCGTAGGAACAACTACAGGATCTACCAGTAGTACTACAGGTCATCATCCTCTACTAAAAATATCCGCATCAAGTAGCCCTCCAACCTCATCGCCGTCTGGGTATCCAAGACTAGCCGGGTCCTCTGTTCCTACTAAAGTAGTTCACCCTAGTACAGAAGATCATTCCCCACAGGGTGATGTCCCAGATGGCCATCTAGATGATGTCCCACATGAAGATATCCCACATGATGAAATGGATCCACTTGAAGCGGAATTTCTGAAACTGCACCAACAACAGCAATTACTTCTACAAGGGAGTGATAGAAGTGTGGCAGAAGAGCAAGAAGAAGTAGTGCAAAGAGGGTGTTATGAGCAGAATGAGGAGAGTCGAGAAGTAGTTAGGGAAAACCCACACAAGGGTCCTCCTCAAGAGGAAGAAAGGAGGAGTAAACGGCCACTCTCTCTAGAAGAACAAGCATATGCTTACGCTGTAAAGTCGGCACCAAATCATTATGCTGCAACAACAACGAGGACGACCCAGGTCAGAAATGATGAAATCAACTACATTGACGTCGAAAACCCTGGCGACGAAGATGAAGATAGTGAGCCTACAACATCACTCGTCGAACCAAGTGTCAAGAAATGGTCTACTCCTACGGAAACTGCGAGACCTCCGATTCAAAAACCAGCCAAGGCTCCCTCTCCAGAAGAGAGGATCGATTTGGGTGAACGTGACACGCAACCTGGTTTTGCCACTAGTACATCTAACTCTAGTAGTATTACGGGTACGACTTCTGCTGGCCAACCTCCTTCCGTAGTCCATCAAGAGACTGTCCCCCGCACCAGCCTTCGCACACCTTCTCTTGTTAGTCGATCAAGAGTGGTCGTCTCATCCACTATCGTGCCTGCATCATCGAACGCTTTTGCTCCTATTAGCACTGGGTGGGTTTCTCCAGCGTCTATAGCTGCCAACAATACGACTCCCATCTATAGTACTTCTACGAACGTGAATCCAGTCTACACAACGAGCTATCACGTTGTTCAGCAGCAGCCGCAGCAGCAAGCACTAAGTACTTGTAGTTCAGGAATGCCTATGCCAGCATCAGCTACGACTACCTACTTTTCTTCAAACGCGGCTATGATCAAAACACCGGTATTGAGGACCAAGAACCCGGCAACTAACATTTTCCGACCCCCTCAGCGCGATGGTCCAGCTGCTCTTACAGGTAGTGTCCAAAGCTTGCCACGCCAAATACGCTATGCACCCGTAAGGACTCCCATGTTTGCGCAGCGACAAGCTGCCACTCCTAATTTTGAAAGATCCGAGGCACCATTGTCTGTTACTCATCCTACTTCCTCAGCAGCAGCAACAGCATCTTCTACTTCCCAGCACTTACCGGGAACTGTGCCGATAATTGGAGTTTCATCCTCATCCTCAACAGCACCAATGGGAACCTTGCCTGTAACAGTTCCTTTCAGTTGTACATCCACAGCTTCGTCAAATTTTCCAACCACAACAGCCGCATCCTCGTTGCCATTTGCTACACCGCTGTCTTCGCCTCCAGGAGAGCGGAAGCTAACGCCAGTTGTCAGCCGACGACCAGGGGCTTACACGTTGGCGTCAGCGAGTAACCGTGCACCAAGCTTTGGTCGGCCACAGGGATCACCCTGAAAAAATTTGAATATTACATTATCTTATCTTATCTACGAGAGCGATGACGTCGTTCCTCCTGAGATTTAGCGAATTCGCTTATACTAACTTTAATCATTTGCATTATGAAATTCCGGAACGAATCACTTCATGGGGTGGAATCTGGTAGAATCTGGCGACTTTGATTCATGAAAACCTATTTTTTCCTGACCCCTAAACATCACTTTTGAACCATAGAATTCCAGGTACTAAAAAGTGGGTTTTTTGCAGAGGTAAAAGCGTGAGGAAAAATGGAACATGTTGGGGATCGATTTTGGAACCATAGGATCATGCAGGACCCGGCACTCAACGTGGTAGCAGACATGGCTACGAAATAAGTATCTTTCGAGGGTCTGGCTAAGCATTCTTCTCTCAGATTTTGGCAGGTCGTTGAGAGGTTGGACGCTCTCAGCCTGATGATGGCAGTCCTAATAAAATTAGCCGAAACCTGCATGATATAGTGGAGCTGTGCTTAGTGTCAAATAGTTTACTCATTCTGGTGATAGAGAGCCTCATCCTAATAGGATGAAGACTGAGATTCATCAACGTGTCTTCCTTTATATCTTTCAGCAAATTCTCACTCTAATTTCATACGCGATACTACTGCTGACACGATTGGGGCGAGCGGTTTCGCTTAAAGCAGGACTATGTCAAAAGCAACTACGTGACTCGCGGCACGAGTGATGGCTACTGATGCAACATCCTCGACCATCAGGAAGAGTAGAGATGGGCTTGATGTATACCGACGGGAATCTGCATACACTTGCAGTTATTCACATCTGCTACTGTCATCTACTTGGAGCATTAGTTGGGAGCACAATCAGGACCAAGAACTACAGGCGAGAAGAACAGGCGATCCAGTAACAGCGAAGCGTGATAGTTCTTCGTTAGTGGCGAGCTGGGGGAGGCCACTGCAAAGGACAACAACGCTTCAACATCTCACGTTCCTACAGGATTCATGGTTTTACATTTATTAGAACTAGAAGATCTAGATCACGCCGGAGGCGTCTCAAAGTACGGGGCTGAGGAGGTAGCAAGTGGAGACGGAGCTACTGCTGCAATACCTGATCACTTCGTCTTCATCTTCAACCAAAAGAAGAAGCTACTTAAATACTTGAATCAGGTTCGGACCATGCAACAGGTGGCCAGGCCTTGCAATTCTGCGCGTGGGAAGCTCTTTTTCACTGAGGTTCTTGCTCAAAGGCCTCTCAATGGTGCCAGGTTGGTTGTGGTAACCTTCGTGGCGTGAGCAGGCTGTTGTGATAAGCATGCGCATGCTCCCCTACGTTTCGAACAGGCGGGAGTATTTTTCATCTTGTTTGTGCTTATGATGATGGCGCGAGGCAGCGAGGAGGTACTACTGCACGGATTGTGAATTCCGATAAGCACGAACAACAAAAACTATAACTGCTGGGCGCGGATGAGGATGTCTCAGGTTGCTGACTCGGTTCTAACAAGAGTTTGCTTGTTGATGATGATGGGCGAGGAAGTCAGTTTTAAGATAGTAGCCACCTTACCTTGTGGCCAGGGGATCAGATAGAAGCTGTAGGCCCAGCCTTATGTACTTTTTTGATGCGTGAAGTCATCTTTTTTCATGTCGGGCTCGGCGCTTGATGTTGAAGCTTGGTTTGATTCCTTGATGTTTGTGAGATAGTTTCTAAGTCTTTTCCCTCGGGAACAACTACAAGAGGTCGTTTGTTTTATACCGAATCAGCAGGAGAAAACGCGAGCATTACGCTCTTGTGTTTTAGAACTCGAATGATGTGCGTGCTGTGGCCAGTTGCGAAGATGATGTCGACATCGAAAAGAGAAAGACATCGTTCGGATCTCCGAAATAAATCGGCCAAGTCGAGAGTGAGAGCGAAGTGTTGCTTGACTGAGATCTAATAGGATCACGAGCGAGCAATCTTCTTCTATTTCTCATGAGGATTGCGACAAGATGCGAATAATGTGACTACATGATCCGACCTTCAGACTGATTGGCCTAAGCCCATGCACGTTCGCCACACTTACTACCATTGTTTTTGCTTTTAGCCGAGAGATTAGACTTAGAACTACAAGACAGCGAACTACTACTTTGTACCACGAGAAGAGCACGAGCAGCCTAGATACCAACAACAGCAGCGACGATGTCCGGAAACAACAACAAGAACAGCCAAAACATGAGCACGCCAAAGAAAAACGACGCGTCGCAAATCACCGAGTCCTTAAAGAAGCATTACTTGCAGGTGGAGAATCGCAATACCAAGCTTGTCAATTTTATTGAGACGCAGGCACTATACTTTTCCCCATGCTGGTTTTTCATATGTTATTATAATATTAGTTTTTTAGCAGGACTCTCCTTGTACTAGTTCTTATTCCAATTCCATCCCTTTCTATCCAGCAACTCGTCTGAATTCAAATTTAGATTTTTTAGAAGTACAGATCAATACCCAACTGAATTCGTCAACCTACTACAGGCTAAGAAGACCTACCAAGCAACTGACAAAGCGATCACTGCAGCGGTTCGCGCGAATACCACTGGTGCATAAAGTTAAGTTCTTCTTTATCATACTAGTCGTAATTCATCTTAGTATTGACCTCGTCCTCATATTTGATGATGCCCGCAACCAAGTGCAACTTCTGAAACATCCAACGTGTTCTCCTTTCATCTCATCTCATCTCATCTCATCTCATCTCACACACACACACATGCATACAAACGAAACTTTTCAGCCAACGAAATTTCCACGCGCTACCTTTCTCTGCGCGAAAACATGGCTGCCACGGCTGCTGCTGCTGCCGCTGCCGCAAGCTCGGCTACGACTACCCCAGCGACTGGCGTGCCTAGCTCGTCCTCGTCCTCGTCTCTGCAAATTGGAGAACCTACCCTCAGCATCACGGCAACTTATTCGGCGCCGTTGCAGAACAACACCGTCCCCATCATCTTCCAGCAGAACCGCAGCGCAGCTGCATCGCCGTCCGACGACGCACGCGTCGCCCCCAACCGCGTGGAGGAAAACAATGCTGAGGCATCCAGCGACATGGAGTTCTAAATCTAACTCGGAATATGAATATATACCAGGAGGAAGAATGAGCTTTGTAGATTGTGTGTTGCTGTTTTTTTGATGAAGTTACTGAGAGAGAAGCTACTAGCTGCACGACTAGGCATTCAGAGAAACTAGTACTTCATCTAGAGCAGTCGCGTGCATTGTAGAGGAGGAGAGTTTATTACTTGAACGATAGGAATCGCGATGGTAGTACTCGGACTAGCACTGGATGATGAGTCTTCCAGATCACTGGTTCGGGCATGTCCTTTGCGTGACTTCCTTCAATAAGTAAGCACTTCTAAATATTATGAAGCAAGATTTTTAGATTTATAGACGATTGAAGTAGAATCAATGTTCTTTGTGTGATGGGCATGTTCTCGATGACTTATCTTGATAAAAATCAGCACTAAGATATCGTGAGCATGTCCATAAATTTAACTTCTCGTTCTTAGTCTCCGGATAGGTCCGCTTGCCTGAGTTTCCGCTTCGCTGATTATGTAAGTGTGAGCATCTCCCCCTTTGTGACTTTTCTCATACCGTCTTGAGTCATCTGTTGTTCTTAATATTTATTTCAATATTATAATATTTTTAATATCATTACAGGACGTAGAAGACCTTACATTATTATTAATGAATTTTTATTATTTAAGAAAGATAATTATAATTTTTTCATATTATGATGAATTGATTTAGATCGGTATTTTCTTCATGAAAAGTATTCATATTAAACAACTTGATGTAGTGAAGATATGTGGAAAGTTATGATCTACTTCATCTTTTCAGTGGATGACTCTTTCTCGTCGCGTGTGGTTCTGTCTTTTCTCATGAGGCAGGACAGGGCTGCGCCGACAACTACTTTCTTTCTCACATGTTGGAGCTGTTTGTCGTAGAAGCAGAGCTAAGACATTGCTGGATGAATTGATTGGTTGACTGGTTGACAAATCACTGATTGACTCAGAGTGCAATCCCTACACGACATCGCTGACTCCGACATGAATCAAACCTGCCTGCAAGGCTTGAACCTTATAGCCTGGACCATTCTGCATGTTGATAAAGAAGTAGAAGAGACCCAGTGCCATAAGATTCGACTGAATTCCAGCACGGAAGCGTAACGTGCGATCGTTTTCCTTGTTCATCGGATCAGACTGCGCATCCAATCGGGTACGAAAGACTGCGTATACAGTCTCGGTTGTTCATTGGGTAAACAGAAAGATCTGGGTCGCAAGTCACAAGCTCCTGCATGATCCTAACTCTAGTTATTATAACGAGAAACAGTGGCTCGCCAAGTGAAGTCATGACTCAAGTTGCAACAAGGAAGCATCTCCCGCGTAGAGTAACTTCCCAAAAGGAATTCAAGTTCTTGCATTTATCAGCGCAGCTCGATGGAGTAACGGAGGCCTCACCTAGAAAAAGATGATAGACGACGGAGAACTTCGCGCTTGATCTTCGCAGGGAGCACTTACATCTGCAACGTCGTTGCGCACTTGGCAGGCAACTAGACTAAACGAAAGGCGCACACTTTGAACTTCGTGTCTGCTGCTAGTGCTAGTTTTAGCTTTCCTAACCCGAAAGCCATGCCGAGACATACGACTTCGCAGGGAGCTCCTATGAGGTCGAGGTCAAGCTGAAGCAAAATTCTGCTGGAAGAATCTTTCATTTCGCCGGGCGTCGATGCTTCTCGGCCATTCGCGGCCGCACCTGCGCGATCATTTCGTGAACAACAACAAAGCAAAGCAAGCGCTGCTTCAACTTGAAACTAGCCTGCTAATCTCGAGGGGCCACTTCATCTTGATCAAGGATTGTGCTGACGCGGGCGAATATCAAGAATTTCGAGCTTCGTTCAATTTTATGGCGGAGCTGATGATACATGCGGCAACGAAACTAGAGCAGGAGCTCCTAACCCCGAGACAACTGGTGCTTCGGCCAGATGAGAGGTGCCCTACACAGTAACGAACTGCTGGCGAGCGTGAAGAGATAGAGGGGTGATCAAAGCGAAAGAGTCAGAACTCCGTAGCAGAATCCAACACCTGAAGAGCTAAGACTTGACAGCTCAACTTCTCTGCTTAGGCGTGACTCGGCTTGAGTCTTCGTGAAGATTGCCAACTGCGACTCACAGGTGACCAATCCACGACCATGCACTTGCCACGCTGCTGCTGGCTGATGTAATACCGTCGTCGTCGAGGCGACTCTCAGAAAAGTGCTGCGCGCGGAGGCCACTGAGGTGTTCGAGATGTGTGTCGGTGGTTCTGTGGAATAGTCTCTCTTCCTTTGTTTGGTAGGAATATCTCAGATACTGAAGCACCTCGGCGAAGAAGAGAGGTTCGAATCGAACCGATGCTAGTAGCGGATATGCATGGCTGCGAACGATTGAGGATCTTTTTACGTTTCCCTTGGAACAAAGTGAAGTAGAAGATGCATTTGTGCAGGCGATGATCAAAATCAAGAGAAGGCTTACTTGTGGCGCGACTCGCTCATTAATTTTGCGTCATTGATGTGATTGCTGTCTGTTTCGTATGTGTATGATGCAACAACGTAGGCTCAGCAAGATAGCAACAACGTGATGGAGTTATAGCGCGTTGGTTCATTTGTGTCTCTACGGTCGTAACAAGATGCGACCTGCTGAACTGGCGCGTTTGGAGGCAGAAAGAGGAAGACATAATGCAGATCCAAGCCGAAGCAGTGGCATAAGCGACGACCTCTTTGAGTTTCTACGAGATAATGGAGCGTTTGATCGGAGTCTCAGAGAGAAGCGCCGTGCACGAGTTGATCCCGACGGCGATACAGAGCAGGATGATCCAAGTGCTTCAGCAAGTACTAGGCTCCGAGAGGAAATCAATTCGATGTTGGACAGCTGCAGCGTCGTCGATCCGCGCCTTCCAGAACATGTTCGATGCATACCAACGGTTGAGCAAGTCACTGCTCACATGGGAACGCTGTTAGGTGCTGTGCAAAAATCCAAAAAAGCGAAAGCAGTAGCGCGAATCGACGAGCTCCGATCTGCCGCTGCGCTTGGAAAGCCTGTACGACCAGCAGAGCCACCAATTTGCAACTCTTTCTGGAAAGGGAAATATCCTCAGGACGACCAGGAACGGCTCTTGCAGTTGAAAGGGAGCGTCGTTTTGAACGCTTGCTTTGATCTTGAAGTAGAACGACGAGTAGCGTCATCAGTAGTCTGCGCGTTCAGAATAGAACCAGACTGCACCGACATATCCGCTAGAACGAAGGCCGTGGATCCAAGTGGTGCTTCTACTTACTTGTCTTGAGTGATGTCCATTCGGAATATTCTACATTATAGACTCACTGATGTTGTGGAGCCTTGATTATAATCGCTAAAGCTGTTTAGTACTTAAAATGATCGCTGAGTCTGTATCTGTTATTCTTGTATTTATGTTGCCATCGACGATGCATTTGCTTTTCTCAAAAAATGCTTGCAGGGGAGCTGGTTTCACTTGTTGCACGAAACAACAAAGTCATTGGCTTGGTATCGTGTGTCATGGACTTGGTCGAAAGCATTGAAACGAAAAACGAACTAGAGCGCAATACACGAGGACGAGTTGTGGCTGCGCGGCCGGCTTTCGACCTCGGCAGAAATGATTGGCGGACTGGTCTTAAGACGTCAGCGGAAAAGCAGGAATCTGCGGAGATGCGTGGAATTATGATTGGGAAGATGGTGTTACTTTATCCTACGAGTAGCTTCGTCATGATGATTCAGTACTGATTTAGATTTTGGGATGGGCAGTCTGCTAAACGTAAAGGGTCAAGGCGTTGGGATTGTAATTTTTGGCATTCTTCTATCTCTTGTTGCTAATACACACACAAAACGACAACGACGAGACATCCGGGTGCGCGCGAGACAGAAAGTTCTGCGAGAGCGGGCTGCTGCAGCGAAGCGGCGTGCACAGTCACTTGATGCGGGTCGAGTCAGCCGTGGCGCTAACGATGAGCTTCCAGCTATCGATGACGCGGACGTGGATCGTGCAGCACAGACAGATGACGAGTCGGAAGCTGTTCTTGGCGAAGGGAACAGCAAGGCCAAACGCAAGCGTGATGTAGGCTGTTTGCATCGAATGTTCGAGAATTTTATGGCACGTGCGGAAATGAAAGCAGAGATCAGACGAAAAGGAATCAGTACAGTGAAATGCCAGGTCCAGGAGGCAACGATAGGTGAAGATATCACTACTCAGGGAAGAAACGCTTTTCGGCAGTTCACACTCCCTGCTCGCTGTCTTGCATCGGTTTCAGCGGTCTCGGGGCAGAATGGGGAATCATCGCGAGGGCGAGACTTTTGGATGCCGAATCAAGGTAAGAAAAAGGCTGCTTCTTCATGTACTTCTAGCTCTAGTTCTGGCCTCGAGCAGAACCAAAGTTCTTCATCCACGACTAGTAGTTCCTCGTCTTCTAGTAATTTTTCTTCTGCACCAGCAAGCGTCAGTCTTCGACCAGGATTAGATGAGCAGCCACCGCGACGTGTGGATTGTAGCGCAGATAGTCGCCATCGCAGTCAAGGTTCTGTAATCGGTTCCGGTGGTGGTGCCATTGGTGTTAGTGGGGCTGCAGTACTCGGCGCCAGTAGTAGTACTAGTAGTCGTAGTGGTTCATCTTCCGCGAGTTGGATGAGAAAGGACGTGGTAGCATCAGGGGCAGCTCTCAACCTCAGTCGTGGTGGTCAGGTGGCTCATGCAGTTACTAGTAGCGCCTCAGTGTCTGCTGCAAGTAGTATCATCGTGCAACATGCAGCTACAGCAAGTGCAAGTGGTCCAGTGGTTGCTTCCAGTAGTTCATCTTCATCGTCGTCTAATAGTTCTTCTTCCTCTTCCTCGTCCAGTTCTACATCTACTAGCTCCTCTTCGTCTTCGAGCCTTCAGGGGTCGCGTAATGTAGTAGCAGCTTCTCCTTCATCAATTGGTCCTCTTCCCTCGCAACGGGAAAGGCTTTTACCTTCACTAGGATCTTTTTCTCCACGTAACGAGCGGCCTTCCGCTAGTGCGTGTGTAGGAGTAGATGCTTATATGGATCAGCAGCCAGGGCCGTCGATTAACTCGCATGCCGGTGGTAGTAGTGGTTCAGATGCTGACCTGGAAAATCCGCGTCACAACGATGATAGAAATGCAGCAAAAAAAAACGATGCTGATCCTCAACATGGAGGGGGTCTAGGAGAAGGAGATGATGAATTATTTCGGGTAACCCGTCTTCGAGAATTCTGGAGAACGCATCCGGCAAGACGATTGCAAACAGACGAGCTTCAAGCTTCGACACAAGCCGCATATGCGGGCACCGCGGACGCTGAGCACCAGTCGTACGCAGAAAGCGACAACGTCAGAATTGCTACTGTCGTCTGTGCTGAGTTCAGAAAAGTCATCCACGCAGCACTAAATGGTAAAACAGAGCACTTGCACTTGCAATTAGTTTCAGACAGGGGATGCGCAGTCGCCTGCCATTACGTCTCCGGATGGTTACTTGGTACCAATCGCGCGATGCGAATGAAGAAGCTGAAGTTGTTGATCAGCTTGGATGTACAGTTTTGCAGATTTCATGCACAGGGAGCATCGGTGAAAGAGTCGACGGAGCGCCTAGTTCTAGCTGCTGGGTCGCATTCAAATATCTCGAAGGTGGAAGACGATCTACGAAAAGTTACTGGGGCTCTCCGAAATAGAGTGTACTATCTAAAGAATAAAAATATATTTTTTAATGTAAGTACAAGAAGAACAGCCCCAAGTGATATACTTGCATTACTGACGAATGAAAAGTAGGAATCTTGTTAAGAAGTAGCAGGTGCTCGAGTATTGCTAGAATCTCCTGGGAGTGCTTACAGCACTCGCTACAAGGCTACGCTGCACTAACGATAGCAGACGCTCTTTAATGGGTTCAAGTATTAGTGCTCTCATAACTCATTTTTTTACTTAGTATGCTTGTACTACACAAACACAGGGGAGATTATCTTACGGAATGCACGGAGGATATGAAATCGAGATTCCGTGTGGTGCCTTCCATGGCATTCGCGGATAGTAAGGTGAAACCCCGGTCGCTTTTGAATGAGGTGGGCCCTGCGGTAGTGCAAGCAAAAATTGCAAAAGCTTCGGAAAA